AAGCTCCATCTGGGAAAGTGTCATAGTCGGTGGAGCGAGACTTGATGCAATATGGAGGTTTCCTAAAATAGGGTTACCCCTAAATCATCCATTTTAATGGGATTTTCCACTATAAACCATCCAGCCATTGGGGTACCTCCATTTATAGAACCCCCCATATGATTTATCTTGATGTATCTTTCAGCTTCCATTGAAACCGTGCCAGGAGGGGGGCCCCACACGTGTCTTGGCAGCTACCGGGCTGCACGAGGCTGGACTGCGCAGCCGATGAAAAGATTGGCAAAGAAACCATGCTGCAGTAGCACAGGCAACCGATGTGTACAGAAGCTGCACAAACTTCCCAGCGGCAGAACTTGTAATTTCAGGGATCCGTATTAAGTTCGCTTCTTTGATGATGTTTTTGCGAAACTTGAAAGAAAATAACTTAGTAACTAACGCCAGAGAGAACGACCAGAGCACTTTATAGTTCTGTGGAAGTTCAAAACAGTCGGAGCCTTCGACGCTTGGAAATCGCAGAGCAGACAGAAGGACGAAAAGCAGCGGTGAATCGGAAACGCAACCACGGCCAGAGCTGTTTGATTCTAATGAAATTGAAAGGCAGATCAAGAGAGATATGGTGCAGTGACACGGAGTGAAATCAGCCAATTCTGATTGAGTTTACTTTCACACATGCATTCGCAGCTCCTTTGATTCCAGATCGACGATTCCATGCTGAGGCAGCTCATGCCATTGAGGCAACTGGCTCAGCGTGCCCTTGGAACAGGACATGGATCAATGTGGTTTGTGTTGATCCATGCCCTCGGCTTGGGTTTGATCGTTGAAATCGCCGCCAGCACAGATCCGAGTGATTGCAGCACGAACTTCCCTGGTAGCGCATCTTGTGATCGCTACCATGATGGTGCAGCCTTCTTGCAAGCTATGCAAAGTCGATCTCAGCAGACGTTGGGAGCAGATCGAGTAGATCTTGAAGTTTTGAGTCAAGGTGCCGAAAAAGCCCTGAGGGCTGATTGCAGTCTAACCATGCTGAACGATGGCGCATGCATAGGAGATGATGTATGTGTAGGATGTGACTTGCCAGGTGCGCAAGGAATTTTGCCACAAACAGAATTGTTCTTCCCGAACAGAGAATTGCGTTGCGAAGGCAACCGCACTTGCTCACAGGTTGTTGGCTCACCATTCACGTTCGCTTCGGCTGGACAAGCCATGGTCTGCATCGGAGATGCGACCTGCACAGATGTTTGGTTCGTTTCAAATGTGGGGGCAGTGTGCTGTTCATCTGCAAATGATGGGGACACTTGCTCCAATTCATCCTTCAGTTTGACGGTCAACGATGTCATTTGCCAAAATGATGTGTGCTGTGATGGCACTCGGGTGTGCACAAATTCTACTATGTCCGACGTTGAAAGCCTCCTTTGCCGTGGTCTTCTTGCCTGTTCCGACTCACAGGTGATCTTGGAGCAAGACTTGTACTGCAAAGCCACCTCAGAGTCCAATCCATCATCATCCGGGAGCACTTGTAGCGATAGCACTTTCACTTTTGTGGTCAATGACACGCATGTGGTGGATTGCCTGGGTGACTTCGTATGCGAGAACTCCATCTTCAGCTTCAATGAGAATTCCGCGATCTCTTTCGAATGTGATTCTCAGGCTCCAGGTACAGGAGGAGGAGCGGTTCTCGGGGAAAGGGATGGTTGTTGGGCTCACCCCATGGGTCATGGGACCCATGGGATGTTTTCCGCGATGTAGCGGGATGTAGTGGTTAGTGGGATGTTTGTTGGGATGTTTGTTGGCAACTTTTATTTTGAAATGGGGCGCATAGAATTCGGGGATACACATGGATAAACCGATAAACCCTAAAAAAAGGGCAGTGATTTGTGTTTCTTTTCATGATCTGGATCCCGAAGGACAGGGTGCGTGCAACGATGCCACAATCAACTTGGCACCTGGTGCCTGCATGGACTTGAACTGCACCCAAAACGATGATTGCATTGACTTGGTGGTGAACCTGAATGGGGGTATATGTTGGTTCAACATGTTCAACCAGGAGAACCGTCCCAATTTTGTCGATGTTTGCAACAGGACCAACTCGTCTCAATGTGGACCTATCACGCCGCGTGAAATCTGCTGCCGAGACGACCCATCATGTGCCTCCTGCTGTGCGGATATCTCCACCACCACAAGTGAGAGTGGGCCGCCGGATGTGAATACCACCAATACCACTACCACGACGACGACTACGACTACGACGACTACGACTACGACCACGACGACTACGACGAAGACCAAGACGATTTACCCTCGCAACCGCCGCAATCGCCGCAACAGGCGCGAGCACCGGAGGAACCGCCGCGAGAATCGCAGGAACAGTCGTCAACATGCACGACAGTACCGCTACAGTTGAGGAGGTGGTGGATGGAAGATGTGAGATGCCAGGATTCTCTGAACATGGGCAAGGGTCCATTGAGAGCCGGGGCTGGATTAGATATATGAACTGGAAATTTTCCAGGCGGCATTTGCACACTTCCGATTTGTATTGCAGCCGTGGTAAAATAGAGCACACTGCAGAAGATTGGTGCTGCTTGTGTGTGGATTCCGAATGCATTCTTTTGCACACTTGAAGAACAGTTGAGTCGCAATTTGACTGCAGAATTGTTGTGTCTTGACCTGCAGATGCCTTTGGCTGCTCAGAATCAGCAAGCACTCACATGACACGGACGAAATTCCACTCAACATGGAACACCCCCAACAAACACCAGGAATCTGAAGATCACTTAAAATATCCACATATGTGGTAGACCCAGTAATAGTGTAAATCGTGATTTTGAATAGATCATAGCCAATCATAGCCAATCTTGGTTCATTATTGGGTTTACCACGGTTCTTTTTGTTGGGCTGTGAGGACCTCTTCTAATCCTGCCTGGGCACGTGCCACCTCTGAAGCGGCCAAGACCGATGCGTGGCGTTGGAAATTGATCCTATTCATGGGATGATCATATGATGGTACCCTGGCGATAGATGATCATGGGATATATTTTTATATTATGAATGGGATTTTTTGAGTTATAATATGTTATAATGTGGTATCATTGGAATATATTTGTCAGGACCATGAACAGTACTGCCAGTGATGCTGCCTGTGTAGAAACAATATGAAGAGAACCCATGACATGAGAGATGATAGAGATGACTTCAGAATTCTTTAGATATCTTTCGTTCACATGGTGTGATGGAAACATGTTGCTGGCCCGAAAACAGCATAGAGGAAGGATCTCTGTCACCTTCGAACAGCCCTGTGAGCCTAGGAATTTCAGCCTGTCCTGATGCGCAGCAAGCAGCTTCCTGTCAGAAACCTAGCAGCAGTTTTCGCCATGCAGTTCCAAAGATCATTAAAAGTCCCAGAGGGAGATATTTCAATTCGAATTTACGTGCCATTTTACTTCCAATTCGAATTATTGTATGGACATGTATGGACTGAATAAATCACGCTGATGTTTTCCTGCCACGTTTTGGAGCTGTGCACTATAGCTTGCTTTTGAGGCAATTTTGGGAAGCACGCTTGTCACCTCACGTTTTTTTCAAATCAACATCTCCCACATTTGTTGACGAGCTGTGACGTGGTTTTGTGCCATCCTTTCCCTTCCATGCACCCCACCTGATGGATTGTTTTGAGGTTCGTGAGGCGCCCATCCGCAAGGCAAGCGGTGGTGAAAATTGGATGAAATTATTGCCTTCGAGCTGTTTGCAGCAGGGGTTGTGCTATGAACATATATGAACATGTTATATACTCAAATTTAACTGCATCCACCGGATGTGGATAAAATTCGATAAAATGTGGATAACATATTCTCAACTTTGGGTGACACTGGCGATAGCATGTGATACCATCCCCATTCTTGCCCTCAGATGAAATCTGGGTCGTTGGTTCAAAAAACCCGGGTGTTTTCCCAGGTCGTGCTTTGGCATTGAAGTTGGCCAGGCAGGGTGAGATTCGGTGAGATGATGAAAATGAGAGTGGTTAGATGTTTTTAGTTCTTCACCATAGTGCCACGCAGTTCCACAGATCACAGGGGGGATGGTCGTCTCGTTTCATGATGCATGGGATGCCAGGCAGGCCACCCGAGAAACCTCTGGGGTATCTCCATGTTGGCGGGTTGATGACGAGCGAGTTTTTGTCGGCGAGGACATGGCGAGTTGACATGGTGCAGTTGCTGGAAGCTCCATCTGGGAAAGTGTCATAGTCGGTGGAGCGAGGCTTGATGCAATATGGAGGTTTCCTAAAATAGGGTTACCCCTAAATCATCCATTTTAATGGGATTTTCCACTATAAACCATCCAGCCATTGGGGTACCTCCATTTATAGAACCCCCCATATGATTTATCTTGATGTATCTTTCAGCTTCCATTGAAACCGTGCCAGGAGGGGGGCCCCACACGTGCCTTGGCAGCCACCGGGACGCACGAGGCTGGACTGCGCAGCCGATGAAAAGATTGGTGCAAAGAAACCATGCAATCTGCAGTAGCACAGGCAACAGATGTGTACAGAAGCTGCACAAACTTCCCAGCGGCAGAAACTTGTAATTTCAGGGATCCGTATTAAGTTCGCTTCTTTGACGTTTTTGCGAAACTTGAAAGAACATAGCTAACGCCAGAGAGCGACCAGAGCACTTTATAGTTCTGTGGAAGTTCAAAACAGTCGGAGCCTTCGACGCTTGGAAATCGCAGAGCAGACGGACGAAAAGCAGCGGTGAATCCGGAAACGCAACCACGGCCAGAGCTGTTTGATTCTAATGAAATTGAAAGGCAGATCAAGAGAGATATGGTGCAGTGACACGGAGTGAAATCAGCCAATTCTGATTGAGTTTACTTTCACACATGCATTCGCAGCTGCTTTGATTCCAGATCCATGGCCCATTCCATGCCGAGGTAGCTAATGCCATTGAAACCCTTGGAACAGTAAGACATGGATTCTGACAGCCAAGATGGCCAACACTGGATGGAAAACCTCGATGCAAAGCTCATAGCATCCTTTGAAGCCATGGGGGAAGACTTCTCTTGGGAAGACATCAGCTGGAGCCACAGGGGGAGAAGTGTCGGATTTGGTGTTTGGCTTCAGCAAGTCTTGGTGGTAGAATCCCATTCTTGGTTCATGGTTGGGTTACGTCGGTGATGTTGGGTTTCCGAGGTGTTGTGACCATACAGGATCGCACAGAACCCGCCAGGTCGGCTGTCCTGAGACACCAAATGTGAGTGGGATTATAGCTATTATAACATATTCTAACTACACCCCCAAGAAACTGGGTGTGAAACCGCCAGTTCTGGGTAGTTCGAATCATTTTGTTTTTTTTAAGGGCTGATCATTGATCATGGTTTGCTTGTCACAGTTCGGTGTAGCATATCAGCATGTCTTGATTTCCACAGCATTCGAAGCATTTCAGCGCTTCATGCCGACAGGCGGACAGTGGCTTCTGACACCACGAGCACCTCCACTTCTGAAAGTGATGCCGGAGAGGTGGGGGAAAGGATTGGGAAAGGATTCAGCAGTTGGTTTTTGTTGTGGCTGGTGCTGCCATAGTTGGCACTTTCAATTTGCGACTCATCTGCTGTGGGCCAGGAATGGCTGGACTTCCAAACCGAAGTCTTGCAACTGGAGGCTTGAACGAAATGCTGGAAATGGCCCAAATGAAACTGAGAGGTTTTTGCCACTGAAACGATGCCGTTTTTCATTTTCACACGTTTCCAGATGTCAAACGGAAACCGAGTCGGAAACTCTGTCAGGGAGACAAAGAGCCCCTCAGCTTTGACGACCTCTTTGGTGAGGAGAATTCAACTGCCCAGGCCACCAATGTGGGTTGATTTATATCCAGAATGAGACTGATCAGTGACTGATCCATGTTTCCCATCATGATAGCACGATGATCGTTGACTGTTGGGTTGACTGGTTTGCTTGCCATTTTTGATCCATTTCAATGCCCCTTCGAAACGAAATCGAAGTTGCAGGCGCAGAACACGGATTTGCCCCTGAGCAGCACTGTGCTTCTGAAAGACTGCCGGCAGAAATTTGCAGTTTGAAAGTAGGTCAAAGTTTCTGTTTGTGCAGGAAACCATGATTACTTGATGTACATGCATTGATGCATTGGAAGGTCACATCCTCATTGCAATCACCACATTCTCATGAAGTATTCCCTGTACAATCTGTATATTTGTCCATGTTAAACATTAAGTTAAAAATCAGTTATTAAATCCGTATTGCTCACAAGGCAAGCCTCACCATTATATATCTCTCTCTCCCTATACTCAGTATAAAACTCAGATTTTCCCGTAGTAAACCCACAATGGGAGATATGATATATATTTTTTTTCCAGTTAGATATCTTAATTCCATAAGAAAATATATGAGTTTTATCCATATTATCATGAATCCAGCATATCTATAATATAGTATCTCTATATCTATATCTATCTCCATATCTATAGTGTCTAATTATATCTCTATCTATAAATCTCTACCATATATCCCACTATAGATTTTCCCATCGTCATCCCATAGACCACCGAGGCCCAGTCTTTCGGAGGCCGAGTCGCAGCTCCTTGCGCTGCGCGCGCGGCGCGCGCGCATCGTGAGCATCGCGCAGCGCTACAGCGGCCAGGAGCTGCCGGGCACGGCCAAGGCGCAGGTGCCACGTGGCTGGTGGATGGGGATCTGGGATCCTAAGAAAAGGTGGAGATGGAATGGAGTTGAATGGAGGATATGTTATTTGGGGGAATCTTATGGAATCTTATGGAATCTTATGGATAATATTATGGATAATATTGTGTAATGAATCTTTTTTGGGATGGAGGATGGACGATTACAGGATGGAATGAACTGTGATATTGTTGGTTCGTTGTGCGGATGTGTGGACACGAAAAACTGAACTGCAGGTGCGAGCAGCCTACGGCCTCGAAGTTGATGCGGCAGCACAGGCCGGACCGGTACTGTACAGTGTAAGTGATTGCCATGGATGGTGCATTGAACACCATGGAACACCTCCCATGTAAATCTTTGTTTTTCAGAGAGGTGGCTGGCTGGGTTAAATTGTTTAAATACATCTGATATCATCCAGCCAGAAACAGATCCGTTGAGAGCTTCCCCAGGTGAGAGCTTCGGAAGCTTCAGCCCTGGAAGGATCTGAGCAAAGCCTCAGCACCGTTGAGGCGCCCAGCAAGGAAGCTCTGCCGAGTCAAACTGCGGTGGAATCTTCGAAATCTTCGGGTGCTCGAAATGGCTACGGTGATCAGAATGGTTGCAGTGAGGAAGGCAGGGTGTTGAACATGTGGTTAGAATTGGTGAGATGCGGAGTTGGAAAACATGCAATGGATTTATTGAATCCGTATTCATTGCAGTCGGATTTTGACCTGATGACTCAATGGGCACTTCATCAGTGGCCTTGGCAAAATATTCGTTTGACAGCAGAGGTGATTGTATGTAGCCTGTTGCTTTGCAGGCCTCTCTGCCACTGAACGCGTTCTGCAGCGACTCAGGAAAGAAGGCAGGTCTCCAGAATGTGCAATTTTTTTGCAGATCTCATTGCTCATTTTAAAAGAGGTGGCAGTGTGGCGTCGGAGTATGACATTTGATTTCGTTTGTTCTCATTTGACCTACTTTACTTTTACATACTGTTTCTAGACTTGGGGGTTCTTGTGAGTGCCCTTGATCCACCTACCCATTTTGCCTATTTGCTAATCATCTGCCATTGCAGGTTTGGGAGACGGTCAAAAGATCCGTGAGGGTTTGGTGAAGGACCAGGAACGCGCTGACGAGCTTTGGCGCGGCTTCCTCTGCCGCTTGGCCCGGCGCGGTCTTCCCATGATTCACAGGGCCCTGGATGGAGCAGCATCACTCTGCAGTGGGATGCGGGACTGAGGTGATGACATGCCGGTGGGTGGAGATGCTTTGCCAGACCCGGATGAGTTTTACAGGGGGAAGAGATGAGAAAAAACAATGCAAAGAGCTGTGCTGTTTGCTGAAGCTGCGAATCAATGCTTCTTGGTGATAGGTGAAGGTGTGTAGCCAGACAGCTTTGAGTTCTTTTGATTGCCAAAGACATTTTTTGAGGTACGGTCAACTTCAACCCGCGTTTGTGAATTCAGCAAGTTTGGCTTCAAGCTTAAAAGGCGTCTCTTCGCCCCGTGCAGTTCAGTACACTGACCATGGCTTCTCCTGATATCTTTGTCGACACCCCCATCGATGAAGTGTCTACTCGCCAGACGGAAATGGATTCTGCAGCCAAAGACATGCGGATGGTGGCTTTGCGCTGCCAGGATATGCCTGAGGTGACCCGGGAGACCCGATTGATCAGAAAGACCGTCAGTGACGGTGCGAAGAATATCATGAGTGGCTTGGACTCTTCACAATCGGAATGCCAGAAGCAGCTCTTGGACATCTTGGATGATGGAGAGAGTAGCTTGGTTGCAATGAAGCGGACGGACAAACCCAGATGTTCTCAAGTGCTTTCATGGGAGATCCACTGAGAGACCATGTAGAGAAACCGCATGCCGAAGCCATTCCGTGTGGTCACTGGGGTAGCTCTCCAGTGCGCATACTGAGTTCGCCAGTCCGCGCTGGTCATGACCGTTGTGAAGGGCGGCCACGGTTGTCGAGAGCTGGTCCAATCAGTGATGAACCTTCGACATCGGATTGATCAACTTGTTGGCCTCACAGGACAGACCGAAAGCCCCCATGTAAATGACATGACCCTCAAATGCCCTCAAATGATTGTTTTAGAAATTTTTGAGCAATGGCGGATTCTGGGGAGTCGATTGTGTGTCTAGGTGTTTGATGTGCGGACGGTGTCAGCTTGGACTGACCTTGTTTCAAGCAGGGTGATTTGATGTGATTTGTATAGTTGCTTCTCCAAGTCCGGAGATTCTCAATCTTTGGAGAGACATGCGCTGCTTGCTGTTCTTACTCATGCCTTCTGCATAATCCGTTAAGTCTGCCAAAAAAATGTTTTTGCGGGTCTTCTTGCGCTGGGCGACAGGATCAAGCGCAGGTTGCAATGCGAAGTTTTCCAGCAAGTGCGTCAAACCGGAGTTGGACGGGCTGAACAATGTGCTGGTGGAGTTCCAGCAGATGGAGAGGCAGCTGTCGACATTTTGTGATCCGCAATACCGAGAGGCTGCTTTGAAGGCCATCCAGCTTGCCAGTAGGCAGATCTCAAGCTCCGACATCTTGGGCGAGATTGCTGGCGTCTGGGAAGAGTGGAAGGAGCACGAAAGGAACCAGAGAGAACTGGAGATGGAACAGGGCAAGAAGGAAGGAGTTCTGAAAATCAAGGAGGCTGAGAAGGACTTCTTGAAAATCAGGTTGGATGCAGCTGCAGAAGAAACAAAGCGAGCTGAGCAAATCTTGAGAGAGAAGAGGGTTGAGTCTCAAGATTTGAAGCGCAACAAGGACAACTCTGCGAAGGATTTCATCCTTCGCTGGAAGGCAGCCAAGGAAGAAGCCAAGCGAAAGTTGCAGGAGTTGCAGGAGAAATTGGAGGAAGCTGAGCGTGAGAGCCGAGGCCCAGTGGACGCATGTGAGGAGAAGATCGCCTCGTTGCAGAGGCAGTCCTTGAATTTGGACCACGTCAACATCAACCACATCATCTTTGTGGTTGACAACAGTGGTAGCATGTCAGGGTCAAGTTTTAGATCGGCAACGAAGGCAGTCGAAGACTTCCGTGCTGCTTGTGTGCATGCTGGCTCGATGGACAAGGTGAGCCTCGTCTCCTTCAACCACGTGGCAAAGTGTCTTGTTAAGGCCGCTCCAGTAACGACCAAGCTCGCAGACAAGTTGCAGGCTGAGGGATGTTCCGGGGGTACTGCGTTTGTGCCCGCTTGGCAACAGGTTGAGAAGTGCGTGGAGGATGACCCCAGGTTTGCCAAATCTTTGTGGTGTTCCTGTCAGATGGCTATACCTGGGATCTGGGCCAGGCGGCAACAAAGGCCCAAGCCATTTTCAGTGCTGCTGAAAAGAGCAAAAGGGCCATGACCACATGCTTCGTGCACATTAGCGAAGGAGGTTCCAACGAAAAGATTCGATCTGATCTGGAGCCGTTGGTCAAAGCCGCCAATGGAGGGCTGACTGTGGTCAAGTACGTTGAAGAAAAGATCCCATTGTTGCAGATCGTGAAGTCGGAAGAACTTGTCCAAGCCTTCATGAAATTGACCAGCCTGGTGAACATGCAGAAGTGCCTGCTGGATGTGCGCCTGTCCATCCTGCAACGCCAGGAGCAAGAGTACAGAACCAGACAGGCTGAAGCTTCGAAAGCTTTGCAGGCACGATTGAGAGATGAGGCGAAGAGGCTTGAAGAGGTTGCAAAAGAAGCAGAGAAAACGAGCAAGGCAGGCAATGATCATGTGGAAGGCTTGTTCAAGAGCCTGCAAAACCAGATGGACCAGGAAATCAAAGAGCTCGGCAAAGATGTTGACAAGGCTCGGAGGATAGAACAAGATCTGAAGGAGCACCTTGTGAAATGCGAAGCAGAGTACAAAGGTTTGCAGTCTGAGTTTGAAAAGTCAAAGCCAGCATATGAGCAGATGTCATCTACTTTGCAGAAGATGACGGCAACCCATCTGTCGCAGACCAACAGAGTTCACGAGAAGCAGAAACAGCTGGTAGATCGATTTGGTTCAACCAACTCAAGACTTTTGACTCAGCAGCTTGAGAGTTTGCAGAGGATGAAAGATCAGCTGTCGCGAAACAGTGTCATTGAGGAGGACCGCTCTGCTGCAACTTTGAAAATTGCAGTTTTGTTGGCGTGTTTCCTCCTTCGCGGTCGTGATTGCAAAAATGTGTCTCTTGTAAGGGGTGGTTGCAGCACCACCTGTCACCAACAGCTTCAAATGTTAGGGGGCCTCTCAAGAGAGCGTTGCCCGCCCCCATTGATTGGCAGGATTTGCACTGCATTGTCAACAGCGTTGTGCGCTTCACCAACATCCTGAAGGACGCTGGTTGGTTTGCACGGGCAGGTTGAGATGTTGCCTGGTTGGGGGTGGCGACATGGCAGTTTCGCAAAAATGTATTTGGGAGAGCATTGCCAACCATAGAGGTAGCTGCATGTCAGGGCCGCTTCTTTGCCAGAGTTTGTTTGTTTTGGACTGTCTTGTTTCCAGGCTCAGATTGAAAACCCTGCGCCTCTTTCTGATCAAGTATCAAACGCAAAGGCTTGCTGACAGTGAAGTGAGTTGTTCGAGTTGTTTTAGACAGGTTCAGAAAATAGAATGATTCCCGCGTAACTTTGGAGTAGCTGGAGAAATTGAAGAATTAGCCACGGTTAGCTACATACAGACACAGAGTTGTTGCAGGATTCATGAACGTCGCCAGGGGCCCACGTCCAACCCGTGCAGGTGGCTTTGAAGATGATCTCGCACCAGCGTGGCTTGGAGTACAAGAACAATCCACAGGAGGACATGGCGAAGCTCTTGGAATACGAAGCCAACTTGCAGTGCAAAGATCCTGAGGAGGTTTCTTGGCCACAATAGCTTTCATGGCAAGTTGGCTATTTGGCGATGGGGTTCTGATTTCAGCTTCAATTTGTCCGCTCAACGGCTGATGGCACGTGCTAAAAAGCATTGAGAAGAGTTGTGAGCTCTCAGCACTTCCAGTTTTTTCTGGTGGTGAGAGACCAAGACAGGCAAAGACCAAGCTTCCAACCAACACAGTGCCATGCAACATTGATGGCATCCTCCGTGTGATTCTCCACGTGTTCATAATTTCAGGAAACGGGTTGCAAAAGTCCAGCCAGCTACTGTGAGCTGTTCGGTGATTGGATACATGGAACAGGTGACTTTTTTTAAAGCGCTGCCCGGTGCCAAGGCTGCTAACATCACCAAGACCTTGGTGGATGCCGGGATTTCAGCAGAGGAGATTTGTGCAGCGATCAATGCAGAGGATGCTGACCGAGTCAAGGACTGGGCAAGTTTGTTGCTAGCGTGCTGGGGTCAAGAGGGCTTTTGTATGGTTTTGTGGGTCCCCATGTTGCATAGCGCACATTCCAACTTTTGCTTTTTGGAAACCATGAAATTGCGGTCCAAGGTTTCTTCCATCTCCGATGTTCATGAGAGGGGGACTGCGATGGGTGCTGAAATTCTGCTAGTAGCGGCGAAAGGTTCCCATGCTGTGCGTTTGGTGCGTAGACAGGGGTGTAACAGGAGCTGGAGGAATCCCGAGTTTCAATGAATCTGTAGAATGGGATGCATGTTTTTTGGACCTGGGCACCCTTTTTTTTGACCTGTACATGTTTTTTGGACCTAATTAGATTTTTTTTTGGACCTAGGGTCACAAAAAATGTGGGGGACTTGCTTTTGTGTTTTCTGGACCCTGTGGGGATATTTTTTTTGGACCTGCATGTATTTGTGCTGGACCTAGTTTTTTTTTTTCGACAGCCAAATTAAGTGTTTCTGAGCTCGATCTCTGTTTTTTGGACCGGTGCACCTGCTTCGTGGACCTTGCCTCCATAGGGTGGGGGGGAAACTCCATTGTTATAGGCGCTCACATTGGGCTGGATGTTTTTGGACCTTGGCGCCTTCTTTTTTGGAACCCGTGCGCGTTTTTTTTGGACCTGGCACAGGGTGGGGGGAATTTAGATACTGAGACAAGATGCATGCAAGAAGTTGCTGATGCCGGGGAAGTTCCGGTATTGAAACAATGAAAACGTAAGAAGTGGTGGAGAGGCCAATGTGGGAAGTCTCCGTATGAAGCGAAATGGATGCAGGAAATTGACGGGCAGATAGGGGAAAGGGAAAGTTCGATATTGAAACAGGATGAACGCAAATAGTTGTTGAGAGATGAGGGGTGAACCCTAGACATTGAAACGAAATAAAGACACATGAAGATACATGCAAAAGATTGCTGAGAGACGCAGGGGGAATTTTGGGACCCGAAAATGAATGCCGGAAGACGGTGAGGGGAATTTAGATATTGAGACAAGATGCATGCTTGGAGGTGAAACGGGGGAACATGTAGATATTGAAGCCAGGAGCCCGCAGAAAATTGGTGAGAAAGAGGCAGGTGGGAGAGGGGAAAGTTAGACATCGAAACAAGGATGAACGCAAGAAGTTGCTGAGACAAAAAGCGGAAGTCTAGACATTGAACCCAATCACGGTGCATGCAAGAAGCTGTGGAGAGACGAGGGGAAGGTGAGACATTGAAACCGCATGAATGCGGGAAGCTGTGGAGAGGCACAGGTGGGGAGGACTTTAGGAGGCCACGGTGGAGCCAGATATAAAACCAAATGAATGCAGGAAGTTGCTCAGGGGCACCGGGAATATTGAAGCAACATGAATGCAGGAAGTTGTTGTGAGGCACCGGAGAGGAAGCTTAGATATTAAAACAGAATGAACGCAAGAAGTTATGGGGAGGCTGCGGGGGAAGTATAGATATTGAAACCCAATGAATGCAGGAAGTTAAAGAAGTTTGATGAGAGGCACAGGGGGGAAGTTAGATATTGAAACCAGATGAGCGCAAGAAGTTGTTGAGAGACAAGGGGGGAAGCTTAGACATTGAAACCAAGTTGAGATGCATGCAAAAAGTTGTTAAGAGGCCAGAGGTGAAGTCTTGAGACCAAGCGAATGAATGCAGGACATTGGTGAGAGGCACAAGGGGGGGAAGTTTAGATATTGAAGCCAGGTGAATGCTCCCAAGTGGGGCACAGAGGTGTGAAGAGTAGAAATTGAGAAGAAGAGGGCAGAATGGGAAGGAGGTGGGAAACCCAATGTGTCACAAGGAGATTGAAGCCCAATGAATGCAGGAAGTCAAAGAAGTTTGATGAGAGGCACAGGGGGGAAGTTAGATATTGAAACCAGATGAGCGCAAGAAGTTGTTGAGCGACAGGGGAAGCCGAGGTATTGAAACCAAATGCATGCAGGAAGTTGCTGAGAGGCACAGGGGCGCAGGAGAAATTCGGATTTTGAAACAGCATAAAGGCAAGAAGTTGTGGAGAGGCCAACGGGTGAAACCTACATATGAAACCAAATGGATGCAGGAAGTTGAAAGGCACATTGGGGGAAGAGGAAGTTAGATATTATATAGAACAAGATGAGCGCAATAAGTTGCTGAGAGTTGACGGGTGAAGCCTAGACATTGAACCCACATCGGCTGCAGGCAGCGAAGACAGTCATGGACAGATGTGCAAACGTACCGGCGAGGGATGCTCCTGGACCCAATGTTCGCAGCTGAGGGTGCCACGTGAGTCGACATCGAAATCAATGTAACCTCGTTGGTTAGCATCCGGTCACAGGACGTATGGACATGTAGACGCGGCTGGAATGCAAGAAGATGAATGCAAGAACTGTGTTTGAAGAATTGCGATCAAGACGCAGCTGGACAGAAACTGGAGAGTCTATCCAAAGGGGGTATTGTTTGGGAGCAGACCGTGTACAGGAAAGGCTTCCTGCCATGTTGCATGCTAGCTGCTAGCGCGGTCAAGGCTCCCAGACTGGCTATACCCCTCGCAAGCAGCAACGAACTCACCAGGATGAGTGCCCAAGTCGGTTCAAGCTGTGAGGACAACACTACATGGCACTTCCTGCCCAGTTGCATGCTAGTGCAGCTCTAGCGCCCTACTGTCTGAAAAATTGCGATGCAGACGCGGCTGGGCAGAAACTGGAGAATCTATCCAAAAGGGGTATGGTTTGGGAAAGGGCCAGGTCGAGCAGGAGGGAAGGATGAGGTCCAGCAGGAGGGCGCGCAGGTCCAAAAGAAGGGTAGCCATCTCCAAAAGAACTGTAGTAAGGCCCAGTAAAAGTGCCCAGGTCCAAAAGAAATGTAATGAGGCCCAAAAAAAGTGTTTTCCCATGAAATTGCGGTCCAAGGTTTCTTCCATCTCCGATGTTCATGAGAGGGGGACTGCGATGGGTGCTGAAATTCTGCTAGTAGCGGCGAAAGGTTCCCATGCTGTGCGTTTGGTGCGTAGACAGGGGTGTAACAGGAGCTGGAGGAATCCCGAGTTTCAATGAATCTGTGTGAGCAGGTGTGGGAATTTTGCGGGGGATGCCGCCAGTCCCTAACAGTCAGAGTGAATTCTAAAAGACGCGTGCACCACCGGGGTCAAATCTGAATAGCTGACTGACTACATTAGACTGTAGCGGCGCTACTTAATTGAGGTGTTTGTTGAAGAAGGCTTGCAAACGCTTCCGCGAAGGAAACCAAGGAAGAGTTGATTGCCAGCTTGCAGCAGAGGATCCTAGAGCAACAGGACTGCGGTTCAGAAGGTTTGGAGCGGAAAATCAAGAGCAAAAAGAAGGAACTTGAGGTGAAGAAGGAAGAGTTACTTGGTCTTCTGCGGGAGGTGAAAGCGTCGAAGAGGAAGGGAAAAACTACTCGAAGCAATGTCAGCACCAGTACCAGCGAGGAGGAGAACCAGGAGTGGGAACTCATTGAGGACTTGGAAGAGAAGGTGGAAAGTCTGAAGGAAGAGAAAGAAACCCTGGAAGAATCTTTGAAGACGCTGGAAAAGGACCTAAAGGATATCAAGAAGGACCGATTTTCATCGATTTTCTTCGATTTTCCAGAGAAACTGCTATTTATTGCTCTTCAAGTTGCAAGTTTCAAAACGGGTTGTGCTGCGAAGGACCAGAAAGCGATCTGCAAAGATTTGAAGCCCTGTCGCCTTGTCTTGGAGTTCACCGTAGATTCATGTCGCACTGCATTCCTGGAGTATCTTGCTGAGAAGGCTCGGTATGGCTCGGGGGCTGTGCCGGCTGTGAACGCAGATCAATTCAATGATTCGCTGGTGATGTTACCATGTGAACTATGTGAGGACAAACTATGTTGGCATTCCTTAAAATTTGTCGGTGGATGGCGCTACAAAAGATTGAGCATAACAATTTGCTGTTTGGCATTCCCTTTAAGATGCTTGTTCAGCACACACACACAATCTTAATGACAACAGAAGGTATCTGCGAAGATGAGAGCTTCGCCCCAGTTTTTTCTGGTTTCAAAGTGTGCAGGAGAAGGATGCTCTGAAAGGCATCTTCGAGTCTTTCCAGAACAACGTCAGGGCTCCCATCACTGCTTTTGCCGCCATGACGGAACAAGCTCGGCAAGTCTTCGAGCACGACGCCTCCATTCCCTTACCTCAGAGCAAAACTTTATGCGACACGGACAGGAATCTTGCTTTGCAAAATGGACGGTAAGATGATTCAGTGAGGCGCCAGAGCCAAGATGTGCTTTGATCATTTGGCCATCAGCCGTTTTGCCATGAAGGATCACAGGGCATTTTTACCGTAACACACGCGTTGATGTGTCTTCAGACCCTGCATAAACTCGAAACATGCGGGAAACAACTTGAAACAACAACTTTTTTTAAATACTTAATCGACTTAATCGTTCTTCCTTTCGTCCTTCATGCCTTGTAAGCACAGTTCCTTTTCCAGGCTTCACAGCAAGCCATTTTCCCCAAGCAACTGTGCATAGTTTCAATTTAAAGCAGGCAATTCTTGCGTCTCAGCATGTACAAGGTGAAGTTCTAAGGTGAAGGATTCCTGTTTGCCTTTGCACAAGTCTAGGCTTCGGAGTCTTCCGTCTGCAACGAGCTTCAATTTCAACTTAGATTGTGCCTGTGGCCAGTGACCATTGCATGTGGCTGAGGTGAAGGCATGATTGAAGGGATGCCCGATTATAGTAGGATTACGAATGCCCCGCACAGAAAGGGAAACTACAGCTTCCAAACCGTCCATGGGCATTTCGATCCAAAAGACTGACAATATCGCCGCCTGCTGATGCAGTAACTTTATTGTAAATTTGGTCTTTAGCAGGAGAGGGTGGGCTTTGTGATTGATATGATTTGGACATCATTTTATCTGTTCGGCTGATGTGTCTTTGCTTTGCATTTGTTCTGTCATGTTCAGTTGCGTTGTTCGCAAGATCCACGTTCGGCCGTCCTTCAAGCCCTCAAAGAAACAGCAGCTTCAGAACCCTAAGAGAAGATCGACGCATGGATAAACCGTCATTAAATACATTTAAATACCAAGTTATGTGTGGACTTAATTTGAGTTGCACTTCAATCAGAAGGTCATCACTGGGGTTCTGAAAGCTCCTCCCCGAGTTAAGTTCAGTGTCCTGCTGCCTGCCCTTCTCAGGTGGGAGGGGGTTGAACCATGCATCGGTGGATCTTAAAATGGATCATTTTCAGCTGGGAAAGGGAAGCGGTTGAAAGATGACATGGTGGATCATTATTGAACATAATTTACATGATTGATTAGGGCTATGTTCCGCTGAGTGATCAGTTGATGCCCTTGGGAGACCATGAGGCATTCCAGATGGCCTTCGGCCGTGTCGTTCTTCTGCAACTCGACACAAAGTTGTGAAACACCAGGAGTTCGGACATGCTTGTCAAAGATGTCTTTGCCAAAAAAACCAGATCAGTCTGTATTTCGCTTTGTTTTAAGCGACTTACAAAAAACCAAGGTTTTTTTTCTGAGTTTTGCCCTCCAACTCCAAGGTTTTCCAAGACATATTTCGTTGAAAAACCGGCCATGAGGTGGATTCATATTTCTCTATCACTGGCATCCCGCGGCGATGAGCCAGCTGAAGCTGTGTCCCTTGGTGAAACCGCAGATTTTTCTGCTCGCTGTGAAGTAAAAAATCCTGAGGACTTCTCAATCTGAGAGCTCCAAGATTTGGGGTGCCTTCTCAGTATCTTGGAACAAAAAATTGTGAGGATGTTTTGTGGCTGTGAATCATGTATCATGCTCACTTTTCTTTTTTTTGCCGGAGTTTCAAACAGTGTGATGATTGCGTGACATGTTTTTTTCCAGAAACAAAGATGCCTTGAGACATTTCCACTCTATTTGAGGTGATTTTCCTCCTTTTTTCCATCATTTTCCACAAAAATCCCTTTGTTCTGTCTGATGTCCCATCTGAGGCGACGCATGACTGGCTCCACGTGACCGGTCCATCACCCATGGTGACCGTGATGTCGCAGCGCGGTCAGCTCTGTGGCTCGATTTTGATGAATCCGGGGGTTGATGTGAGGTGGAACCCGACACAAAAACCAAGGATTTTCCAGCGATGTCCCCAGGTTTTTTGTCCGATTTGTCCCGCAACTGAAAGGTAGCTGCCATCCGTTGCCAACGGCAGGCACCATCTGCATCTTCGGCCTGGCCACCTTTGCCATGCTGCGGCAGATCTATTCCGCCTACCAAACCTTGATGCAGGGCATTCAGCAGGTCTCCAAGATCCAAGAGGAGGCTCCAGTGGGAGTTGAATTTTTCCATCACACCATGGTGGATGGGGGTTGATTGGGAAGTTTGGTTGGTTTGGCTTAGGGTTGGTTTGAAGTAATGTTCTGAATCCATCAAAACTCATCAAAGATCCGATCCGAAATAGACCCAACACATGTGGTGACTGTTGATCTGTTGATGTTGGCTGGTTGTTGCTTGGAGGGGTCAAACATACTTTTGAGGTGGGTTTCTTGTGAGTTCCTCCATCATTTTCATGGAAATTTATCACACAGTCATGCAACTGGGGCGATCTTCGTTATCTCGGTGGATTGGACCATTGGAGGCCCCAGTCCAGATGAGCCCGGCATCTTTCGTGGCTGCTGCGAATGAGGCAGGTGATCCCCAAGTTATCCCCTGTGGCAATGGGAAAATGGTGATCAACTTGGAGATCTTGGGATGTTGGGGAGTCTATTTTGAAACAAACCCATGTGATCATGTGATCCATGTGGCCAAATTGTGGGGCCCCGGGATTTTTGTTTGGTCTTTTGGTTCATACTTGATCATACTTGTGGATGAGTAGAAATATTCCATAATATTCCAATCTTTCTCAGCTCCAAAAGCTATGTGACAATATTTGGCATACATTAATATATACATGATATGGCAGTTTTTCATGTTTTGTCATATTTGTTGCATTGGAATGAGCACAACATGCCGAAAACCTCATCCCTAAAGGGCTTGTTGCGCCACCAGGAAGCCCTACGGCAGCAGCGCGGCAGCGCGGAGTTTCGACGGCAGATGCAGGACAGCCGTATCGCAAGTGCATCAAATGCCCCAGTTTCCATTGCTAGACTGCACAGATCAAAGCTATCACATCAATGACCCTCTGGTAATTTAACGTAGCTATTGAAAATGGCCATTAATAGTGGATTTTACCATTAAACATGGTGATTTTCCATAGTTATGTTAGTTTACCAGAGGGTATGATCTAATTATCAGTATTTTCTTTGGTGAACCATGTTAACATATGTTAACCATTGTTAACCCACATACTGGGGCACCTTTCCCATCGTTGTAGGCCCGCCGTGGCCGGCCCCGCAGCGCCGGCGCCAGCGCGGCGGGCGGCCGGGCGAAGGCGGCGCGGCGGAGCCGTAGCGCTTGAGTTGGCGGGATAGGAGTTGATCCAGACATTTTCAGGATGATCAACTATAGTAACTATATTAATAATAACTATCATAGACACATCAACTATAGTAATTAGTAACTATAGTAACTATATAGTAACTATATATATATATATCAACTATCGATATCTATAGTAACTATATATGAACTATTTCTGGATCAATTCAAAGATCAACAGAATGAACCATATCAAAGCATGTCATGAGAAGACAGTATGAGAAGACAGTGTTGTTTCAGTGAGTTTCTGCAAACTTAAACATGCAACATACCATATATATCCATATATTGTTGATGTTTCTATATGTTTCTCTTGGGTTTGTCATGGCATTTGAGCTGTGCCAAACACAGACACGAGCCGTTGGGCATTGCTTGAGCGCATCCATCAAACGTCTCACCAGGGACGATGGAATCTGCTTGAGTTGGTGAGTTGGAAAAGCCATTTGAATCTGCTGAGTTTCGATGGTGCCACCTTGGTGTTTGGTGGATTTCCATGGACAAAAATGGCTCCTTTCAGGTCCAGCTTGGAATTGCAGGAACATCTTTTGATGGTTTCAGCATTCCTTTCCATCGATTCTCAGCATTGTCTAATTTCCTTGCGCAGCCATTGGTTACAGCACCATGCAAGCCAAAAAGGCGTCCATTGAGCTTTTTTCCATGTTTTGACCTAAACCCGACGGTGTAGAGGACCCAAGGTTCGGAAGATTCTAAGATTTTGTTTGCAAACCAGTGGATGCTTTCGCCAACATTTGCAGAAAAAATTATGCAAGTTTCAATTTTCCTCATCACAGCTTTCTGCATAGAAACCAGCAACCAATGTCAAGTCAACCTGTCAGGACCTGAGTCAACAGGTAAACAGCCCGCTTTGGGGTGCACTGCTGCCATGCTGTGCAGATCCAACTTCCATGGGCTGGGATCCGTCCATGGCCCCTGGGTGCAGAGACGGACCGCGGCTGGGCTCTTGGGAGAGCTTCAAATCGATTCTTGTTGATTCTTGTCACAAAAATGCCACCCATTTTTCCACTGGAAAAAACCAACAGAAAGTCAGATGTAGAATTCCCATATATTCCCATATTCAGATGTTTTTCCACCCATTTTTCCCCCAGCTGATGGAAAGCCGGGATTCCCCGCAGTTCCAGGAGGCCGCCCGGTGGCCCTGCGGCAGGATGGCACCTGCCCGGGGCGTCAGCGGCCCTGGCTGCGGGCGGGTGCCTCCTGCGCCGTGCTGACCGTGCTGACCGCGGGAAGCGCCGGGCGGTGCCGCTGGCGGAACTGCTGGGGCCGGAACTGGCGGCTGAAACTCGGCTGATTTCAGGGATGGTTCAGCTAAGATATGATATCAATTATGATATAAATGGCTATAAGTTATAACTTGTACCCAGCTAAAAGGCCATAAGATACTACACCATACTACAATTATCTATTTGATAATATTTGATAAGCAGTTCTAACCCGGGTTTTTTGTTAGTGTACTGAACCTTTTTTGGCACCTGTCCCATCTGGGCCAGCCAGGATTGGTCAGGATCGCTGGAGGTTGAAGGGATGCAAGTGGTAGCGGCAGATCTTATGGATTTGGAGCGCTGTATGGGACTCGTGGCGCCCGTTTTCAATGTGAAGATGGATGACCCTGGCGAAGTCGAGAGCGTGAAAAAGGGCACCTGGGTGATGACTGGGTGATGAATTGAATCGGATCTTTTCATTACTCTTCGTTGTCCAATTTTACCACTTGAGCAAAAGTTGTCAAAAAGAATCTGATAGAGTCTGATATAGTGATAGATAGATAATAAATACATATGTGGGGATTCTCATGGATTATCCATGATCATCCACCATTTTTTCCATAATTTTTCGATAGTCTTTCCAGGTGATCTCCCCCCCAAGGCATCGCGGGTCGCCTGGGCGCCCGGCGCAGCTTGGTGGGCCGCGACGCGGCCTCGCCCCGTCCGCGGCTGGCGCGGCCGGCGCCGCATGGCTCCACGGAGCGGCCGGAGCTGGGGCTGGTGACTTGGTCAACTGAGCCTCTGGTTATGTCAACAGCTATTGAGGATATGCCCATTATACCCATTAAAATGATGATTTTCCATAAAATACCAGAGGGTAATAAGTTAATCCATTAGCTAATCATAGTTAATCCATTAGGTGATTTTCCATAGTTTTTTGGTATGTTTACCAGAGGATAACACTAAGATATCCATTGATCAATGGGAATTTCAGGATCCAATTGATGGAGGTACGTTAGTACCATATTTCAGGCCATATGAATTGTGGGGATATTCCCTGAAATTGAGGCCTTAAAAAAGGCCTTATATATGGTAGGTACCTCCAATCCAGGATCCTGGAATGGCCATTGATATATGGTTTATATAAACTGGTTGGTGGTTTGGAACCATGGAATTTTATGACTTTCCATATATTGGGAATGGAATAATCATCCCAACTGACGAACTCTCATATTTTTCAGAGGGGTAGGCATACCACCAACCAGTAAATGATATAAATCAGTATGTATGGAGTTGTTTTTTTGTTGATTTTCGGATTTCGAATGTGGATTTGTCCAATTTGTTGAGGTATAAATTTTGCATCCCATGTCTGGAAGGTATAATAGGTTTTTCTTTCTGATTTTGGACAATACCCATGGGTTGATGATCAACCAATGGTGGTCCTCCCGGATGGCTGGAAGGTGATCGCCCTGCAACGAAACGCCGACTTCGTGGCGCTGGTGGATCTGTCGTTGTGGCCGGATGATGGCAGAGTGAGGGCACCAGGGGCGACCAGCAAACCTGGGGTGCCATGTAAGCCGTACATTTTGAATCTCTGTGTGGAGCCGGATTTTCGACGTCAGGGGCTGGCCAGGCGTTTGATGAAGGTCAGTGAACGGCTGATTCGAGATGTTTGGGGCGATACGGAGATCTATCTGCATGTGGAGGATGATCAGGTGGCGGCCAACTATTTGTACGAGAAGATTGGATATGTGCCATTGAAGTATACGCCACTCGGCGGTATCAGCATACCAGTGGATGTCTGCTTCTTAGATTTTCTTAGGACATTGGTGTGGGTTGCTTCACGATTGGCTTGCCATGATCTTGTTGTCGTGAATATCAGGTACGACAAAGAATGTCCTTACACCAAGGCGGGGTTGAGACTTGGGTTTTTGCAAGGTCCAACGGTTAACTTTCAGCTATCCTGGGATACTTGGGGTATCATTTGCAACCAGGTTGTAGGAATAGATTCGAAATCATGGAGTAGGCAGCTGGTGAGCTCGATAACAAGGTGGATCTGTTTGATGTCAGGCAGAAGCCAAAGTTCTTCGCACCGAAGCTTGAAGAAACAGTATGGGAGCCGTTGGTTCCAGGGAAGGTTCACATCAAGCAAGGGATGTGGTGTCAGACAACAGTCACAACAGTCCTCTGTTTATTACTGAAGTAGAGGCCTTTCAACACTCCCCGTGTTTTTACCGGCAAAATCCACTCTACTCCTCTGGACCGAAGGTCCAGTATATTCCAATATCTGAGGCTTCGTATCTGGTTGACCAGGTTTTCCATTTAACATAGCTATTGAATCAATAGTCCATTTATAGTTGATTTTCCCATTAAACATGGTGATTTTCCATAGCAATGTGAGTTTACCAGAGGATATCACTTGAAATCTGATGATCTGCAGGCCATCTCCAGCCATCTCCCCATCGAAGATCCCCAAGGTGACCTGGCGACGAAAATTCCTGGATGCTGCCGCTGAGGGAAGCCCTGCGCGATCTGGCACCCTTTTGCCCGAGGTCGGATGGGCTGTGAATCCGTGGGTGAAGCCGGTAGGGCCGGTAGTGACTGTAGTGCTCATGTCAGAAATTTCTCCCAGATCATGGCTGACAAATAGGCTGACTCACAATGTGCTGTCTATAGATTCTATTGCTGTCTTGTTTGAAAACTGGACAAATCCGAGCACCCCTGTTTTTTTATTTTGAGGCGCTGGAAAAAGACGAACCTGTGGAGAGCTTGGATGATGATGAAGATGAGGAAGACGAAGATGAAGATGAGGAAGAAGAGGAAGACGAGGAAGAGGAGACTCGAAATGTTGGATTTGAATGGATTTTTGCGGAGTTCTTTTTGGACATTGGGTCTAACTTCAGATGCATGGACACTGCCGCCAAATTTGGTATTCCACATATTTGTTTTTTGGATATTTTTGGATCGTTTGTTTGATGAAAAGATGCCCAAACTCAGCAGCATCTCCAAGTCCTGCAGATCAATGATCTCCAGTTTTTCCGTTCGAAAAATCTCTGCTGACTTTCTGACGAAACTGGCAGGAGGCACCAACCAAAAACACTGCCGAGGCATCGGCAGTTAGCAGGATGTACTGCAAGGGTTTTGAATGGGTTTTGACTTCTCGTGTATTCTGTGGTGAATTTCCATGGATTCCCAAAGCCCAACTTCAGGTGCATGGCACAATAAGATTACAGAAACACACATAGTGACACGATGGTGTTTTCCCATCGGCACGGGTGGATTGGGATCTTTTCTTTGCTAAGGATGAAGATTTCGATTGGGTGAAGAGCTTGATGAAGTGAAGAGTGGAGACTGTGAGTGGTCAATTTTCCGGCATCCCAAAGAAGGAGGCTGTCACCGAGAAACCATTGGTTGAAAAACGGGAGACTGCGCAAGTTTCTATGATCAAATTGGAGAAATTGAGAAGCTCCTTGTGGATTGATTTTTGTGAAAGGTTTGGCTGGTTTGGCTCAATCAAGTGCTATAGATATCTATAGATTTGTTTTACATCTGATACCACTATGGCAACGAACACAAGAGGAGCGGAGCCGGACTTCCTGTTGGAATCTTTGTAATTCCTCAGCTTCTTAGCGTCAAGGACCAACGAACGGCCACATTCTTTTGATACCAGCCAAGAATCATCAAGTTTGCCCAGAAATTAAGGCATTGCACGATGGCCGCAAACAATTCAATGCTTGAGACATCCAACAGATTCATACAGATTGCCAGTGTGATGCCAGTCTGGGATGAAGAATTAAACAACTTCATATAATCTTCAAGATATTTCAAGATCCAGTTGGAGCAGAATTTGCACCAGTTGGGGGTGGATCTCACGAAATCAGAGATGTACGCATCTCAAGTTGGGGATGACTGGCTCCCACCTGCAAATCGCTTGTGCGGCAGCACCGTGCCTTCCTCAGCGAAAGCGTCCAATGTTTTTTGTTCCCTGCAGTAAGACAGGACGCATAGAAAATCATGGAACCCGTTTACGTAAAACAGGGAGGTTATCATTCTCATTCGCATTATTAGTTAATTACCAATCTGGTAATTTAACATAGCTATTGAAAATTGCCGTTTGTAGTTGAATTACCCAATAAAAGCTGTGATTTTCCATAGTTATGGGACAGTTTACTGGAGGGTAGAATTCTTTTATTTTTTGGTTTCATTTTCTTTAGCAGTTCCAGATGTTCCAGCATCGTTCAGGTGATTGGTGCGATTCTGCTGTGGGTCCTCACCATTGTTTGCGTGGTGATCACCACAGGTGTGGGCTGAACTGCAGGGGGTTCCTTCCCGGACATCTCCAGAGCAACAACTGATGAAGGGTGCTTGGGAGGTGATTTTCCTGTGGAAAAATATGATCATATTTTAAGATTCCATAAGTTATAGATTATATATATATATATATTACAATATATATATATATATATTATAGTATATATTATAATATATTATATATATTTTTTACATCAGATTTCTGGAGAGTGGAATCTGAGTGAACCAAGAAGCCCCTCGGTTTTTTCCCCCTGGTTTTCCTCAGGCAGTGTTGTGGCGGTGAAGGAGTGCAGGGACTACTGCGGCTACTGGGCTCAAAGTGGACCACAAACACGACCTTTTTGTATCTTTTCTGGTTGGTGGTTTGGAACATGAATTTTTATGACTTTCCATATATTGGCAATGGAATGTCATCATCCCAACTGACTTTCACTCATATTTTTTTAGAGGGGTAGGTATACCACCAACCAGTTTTTGTCTGACGCATTTTATGGAATTTTCTGGATTTTGACCAAATGTCGTGTTTCTGCTGCGCATTTTGACATCCCGAGGTCTTGGCTGTGTGGCCCACGGTTTTCCAGTTGCCTGTGATGGCAAGGCTGAGGCCAGAGGTTTCCGGCAGTTCGATTTGACACTGTGACAGTGTTCGGATGTGAAGTCTTGAAACATCTTGAAACATCTTGAAACATCTAAGAAACATCTGAGAAACATCTGGGAAACATCTGAGAAAAATCTAGGAAACATCTGAGAAACTGCAGATGTTCGTCATCCTTGCCGTCCCCATGACCCCAGGGGTGTTTCGTTGACTGCGACCGGGGCTTTGAGGAATTTGACAAGGAGGAGGAGCTGGGGATGGTCGGTGGCGATAGGGAGAAATTGGGGATCAGCAACAGAAAGGTGAATATGTTTGAATATCACCAATGAGGGCCACAGAACGTGGCAAAAGGTACTGTATCTAAACTGTTCCAAACATTTCCAAACTATGTCTTGGTCATCGATTGGTCCTATGAACTCACAACCAAATCAAGATCCGTTTCGTTCTGGCTTGGGGCCATATTAGGTCCATATATTTATTGTTTATGTCACGGTTGAACGGTTGAGCCCTCCAATTCCAGCCGCTTCCCATGGCAGCCATGGCAACGGGCAAGGAGTGTATCGCGAGTGAAAAGTGCGAGGACGCTGCCAAAGACGAGCAGCGGATCGCAGAGGCCTGTGAGAAGCAACAGGCCTGCGATGAGAAAGGCTTCCTGGGAAACTTGGTGTGAATATGCTGGGTGGGACGAGATGTGGATGATGTGGATTTCATCACCGTTCTTGAGAGGTTTGGAAGTGGATGAAGTGCAAATAGGGTTAGAAAAAATCTGGAAACGCTGAGCTTTGATGAAGTGCCTGTGAGAATGAGGCACTGGCCCTCGATTCGTCTTGATGCTGGCCATTGTTTCCATTTTGCCGCTTGGTGTTTTCAGTGGCTGAGGGTTGTTCGGCACAAAGACATTCAGAATGAAGCAATACTGCAAGGAAACTATATAATTCAACAAAATGCAAAGTTGTCCCCTAATATTCCCAACATTAAATTATGACCAAGTGAACCATCATAGAAATGGTATCCAGACCTGTTTTGATCGCTTGGAGCACTGGTGCGTCGCGGTAAGAAGAGCGACATCGCTTACATTTTGAAAAGAAATCAACTCTGCAACCAGGCCTGTGGCATCGACCCTCTGCATGGGCTTATACAAGGCGCGCAGTTTTGAACGTTAAACAGCAACCAATACGATCATTCTGGTGGCTTGTACCATTTTTTTTGGTAGTATCAAGTATCAATCGTATCAATCATGTCACCCAACTATTTCTTCCTGCAATTTCCCCTAGAAATTCGGGGACTTCACAGCAAGTGACCATGAGGATACCCATGGATACCGGCAGCCGCAGCCGACCCTGCAGGAGGCCTTTCGCTGGGACGACTCGGTGTGGGAGAAGCTGAATTTCTACGACGGTTTCGGCAGAGTGGTGCTGGTTATAGGTGCCAGGGCTGTGCCGCGGTGCGGGACTTAAAGTCCTAGGTCTTAGGAGTCCTAGATCCATCGGGATCATATCACTCCGCTGGGAATCCAGTTTTGAAGCTGGAACTTGAAGTCTTTTCTGCCAGGCGCCTGCCTGACCATCTATGTGTCTTACCTACTACTGGCCACTTGGCTTGGGTTCAGAGGTCTGGGGCAGCCAAGATGTTTCCCCTCGAGGGTGAGACAACGGTTCCAAACCACCCTGCCGCTGCCAAGGAGACTTACATCAATGGCAGACGGAAGGGAGCCGGGTTCATTGTGTCTCGCCAAAATATCCAAAATGGCATCTTGAGCCGATAGTTCAATAGATTTGATGCAGAGTTCATAGTATTTCATAGTCATTTCAGCACCTCGAATTTGCAGATTCATGAACCATTGGATGAAGATTCATGAACCTGGAATATACAAATACTTAACTCATAAATATGTGAAATCAGGTCACCAATGTCAACTGATTTTGGGTCAACTTCCACCATGGATTCCCAATGGATTCTGTTCCTGGGGTTCCTGGGTCATCCTGAAACAGGGTGCAGTGGTGAGTCTCTTCGCGTTGATGGTGAACTGTGGGGCATGCTTCCTACTGGCGCTAGCGAGGTGCAACAGTTTGAAAGAGAATGGAAGTTGCTGGGAGATTGTTGACTTGATCCTGGTTTGTTGCAAATTCGGTTGCTTTATAAGTCTCTTGCACCAACACTTCGGCTTCAAGTTGTTGAAGGGGCTGGTAGAACGGACTCCAGTGAGCATCTCCCTTGTCACAGGTGGTGTATGTCCAAAAATGGCTATTCTCGATTGGCGCGATGAACACAGTGTCTTCAACATCTTCAACACAGGGTTGTGGATGCAAAGCATGACGTTTCTGATAAGAGCCGGATGACCTGACGATCCACAGGGTCCATTACAGCGTTTCTACGTTTCTATTCTCCGTTTGAAATAGAGACGGATGAGACGGTAGATCATCTGCAGATCAAAGACCAAAAAATCAGGTCTTGAACTGCAGATCAATCCAATTGCTGCTGAGCAACAGACTAGACAGCAACAGAGCCATTTGGACAGTCAGAGTCTCTTGAATTTGGACCAAACTTGGAATTATTTCCTCTCTGATCCCACTTCTGAGCTGGTTTTTTCAATGTTTTTCAGGTTGTTGAAACAGGAATGCAGGAAGGCATTGCAATAAGATGACTTTGGACATCCATGGCTCGCAATTCATCATGTGTCCTCCCTTTCGTCACACGAACTCTGAAGGCCGAGGGTTGAGGCAGATTGTGTGCGCCAACAGTGCGACAGAAAGACCGGCTGGGCATGGGTTGGGTTTTGTGGGGGACGTAGATTGGGCATGCCTTCAATTCTATGGACATGATGACAAGATTGAGCAAGTTCACGGTTGCTGAAACCGAACTTGCAGAAACTTTAGTGAAACTAAACTTGTGATTCTTATCAAAACATATAAAAACTAACCGTAACTAACCTAAACCACACTTTTGTTCACCGCCTTTTTCAGCTGTTGATGAACCGACTTGACATGTCTTGGCTCTGAGCGTGGTGGTGGCTGCTGACGACCTCAGGTTTTGGAGGCTGGGGATTGTGACAGTGCTAGGTTTTGTAGATACAGTCTAGGAACGTCATATAAGACCACAAATAATGACAAGAATGGATGATGATGATGATGATCATCATCATCATCATCGTCATCATCACCATCATCATCACCACTATGATCATGACCATATCAATCCATCTGGTCTTTTCCACTTAGATTGATGATCTCCCTGATGTCGCTGAAACCTTGCAAAAGTGACTCCTGCAGGTTGCTCAGCATGCCAGCAGTCCGGGGACGAGTTGGCCGCCACTCGGAAGCATTCAGGGGGAGTCATGGGCGATTTTCTAGAGATGTTTGGAGGTTTGATGCTTCCCAGTGCTTCCCGGTGCTTCTCGGTTCCCTTTGAACACCCATTGGACCTCGAATTTTTTCAGTGGCCAAGGTAAGCCGCTCACCGAGTACCAGGGATGGCCCAAAGGCTGGGACGTTGAAGATGTTGAAGTTGGGTACAGATGTCTTTGAATCTTTTGAGATTCATTTCGAAACACCATTGATTTGCAAATAATCTGCAAATCTTCTGAGGTTTCATCAGCCGATCACCTGAAATCTCCTGAAATCTCCTGGGATCCTCAGAGCATCTCCGCAGGCATTTACCCCATGAGTGATGGCTGGGTGCCACCGTGTTATCCCAAGGAGGAGGACGATGTGTTTTTTCTGCTCCAACTTTTGTGGTTCATCATCGTTTCTATGATTTGATCGATTTGATGGCCCAATCTGTGGATATACCCAATTTCTCCAATTTCTTGTTGCTTCACCATCTGTTTCCGGGGCAAAAACTCCCCAAAATTGCTGGGACACCGAAGTGCCCGAAAGAGTGCAATTTTGTACCTGGCAGGACTTGATTGCGTATGAGGAGCGCATGAATGCGCGGAAGAAGGCCACCCTGGTGAAGAGGCATTTGTGCATGAAGGAGTCCAGCCATGTGCCGCCATGTCCAGCAGTAAGAAACCGAGCTTTATGGTCAATGGATTCAATGGATGTGGTTTTTTTTGGGCCCACGAATTGACAGGAAACCATGGCTTTTACATGTTTTTGGTGCCGGGCATCTGAGGAGGCCCCCGCTGTTGTCAGTTTTTGACATTACACTAAAAACAACATCATAGACGAGGGGGGTGGGGGGTGTGGGGTGGGGTGGGATAATAGCGTCATTTGCTGTACGTTCTCATGAATGCACTTGCACACATACGTCATGCTACGCTGCTGTACGTTTTCATGCACTTGCACAAATACGTCATGCTACGCCGCTGTACGTTCTCATGCACTTCCAGATCGTAGGGCGGGTGTTAGGTGGATGGTTTTGGATATGTAAATGATGATGATGATGATGATGATGGTGATGGTGATGATGATGATGATGATGATGATGAAATAGCTCCTGACGCTAAAGTTTCGTTTTTCAGCGTTTTGTGGTCCCCCCTGTAAAATGTTTGAAAAGTGGCAACAGCGGGGCCCCCCTCAGATGCCCGGCACCATGTTTTTGCCTCACACCCAGAAATCAACAAAATGTCCTGTAGATTTTCAGCAAAACCGATAGGAGGTCATGTTTGAGAGAGGACTGGATGTCCAAAGTGTCAAATTCTGGAGAGCTGTCGCTGCAGGAGCCGCAACTGCATCAGCTCAGAAAGAGAGAATTTGCTCAGAAGAGTTGGGAATCTCAATCTCAATCAAGGTGTCTTTACTTGATGAAAGATGCCGGTGGTTTATTGGTCATGAGGTAATCAACACAGTTCGATCCATTCATGAAACCAACTGCGGTTGGTGGAAGTTGTGGGCCTGAGGCGAGTATTCCATGCTAGCCTATGCCATGGGAGAGGGCGAATATTCGGGTGAAGGCCTGCAGGGCAAAGAAGTCCCATGACCTGTAACTATCTGAAGCAGAGGGTATCATTCTGGTTGATGTATGCAGGTTACAGACATGACATGCTCTTATATGCAGGCGATGACCGAAGCTATTTCGCGATTGTCTTCTATGAGCCCTCCAAGAAAAGCAAGGCGCGGATGTGGCAACAAGATGGCTAAGACAGCAGCGCACTATACATTTTCTTTTTGGGAAGGTTGGATGGCTGAAAGATGTGATAACCAAGACATCCAAGATACAACTTTGATGATTCAGAAACAACCATGAAGAGTTTTCGGGTGTGTTGGTGGTCAGGTGGAAAGAGCCTTCAAATCCACTGGTTTGGAGCTGGGAGACTACGAGCAGGTGGTCGTGGATCCAGATTCCAAGATGGAACAGGAGGCAGGACATGAGATGGAACGCAGATCCATCGCGTTGAGGATGTTGAGGTAGAGTGAGGCTTCCAGTTATAGTTATAGCGTTGAGGATGTTAATACATGCTATATGAATATATAGATATAAACACAACTATGAATATATATATATATATATATATGACAGGTCATGAAATGGTGCAATTCCCACTTTTCGTTGGTTCACTCCTCTTTCTCGCTTAGATGTTGGAAAAATGGTGGGAGTTTCAACTCCAGGTTGGACAGTTCGGAGCTTTGGCGACGCGCCAGGAGAAATTTATGTATGCGCACGGCGCGGGTGAAGTCGGAGAGGTGATCCTGGGCGAGTCTGGTGCTTAGGCGGCCACAACTTGGGTGGTTGAAAATGTCTTGAGGTGAAAAAAAACACATGAAACGCAGTGTCATTAGATGTCATTAGTATCATGATGAGTATCATGGTTTATTTTGTAGGTACTGTGTTTGCTTTGCTTGGTTGTATGTTGATGCATTTGTTGGGGATGAGAGGCTCTGGTTTCCAAGGTATGATTCATTATCATCCATCATGACAAACATATACAAACGAATGAATGTTCGCGATTTACGTGCCGTCTTTTTTTGGCATGTCCCCAACGATAGTCCAGTGGCTTCCCTGCGTGCTGATTATCTGATGTTCTGAGGTTTGAGTATCAGGTGGTGCGCAAGGGAAGTCCAGAATACGATGACCCATGGGGGCCTTCTCACCCTGAAGGCAGGAGCTGACATAGAAACCTTCCCAGAGGTCATGATCACACTGGAGTGGATTAAAAAAATTGTTCCGCTTCACGTAAGAGTTGGGGGATTCAGACCTTGATTCACATATATCATGTATATATATATACATATCATATATATATATAAATCACATATATATATATATATATACACATGATGTATATGATTGTATCTTATAATAGAATACTACAATCATGTTTGGACTCCGACAGGAACAATTCCCAAATGCAGTCCCGAGAGCTTTTTGGTATCTAAGATCACGTTTTAGCCGCAGTGAAAAACCCGTGGGCTCACCACAAAGCAGTTGCTTCATCACAGGTATAAATGCCCCTAGAGTGGATTCGCCCGCAACATCTGATGCAAAAGTATGGACGAATGGATTTTCAGCCAGATTTCTTTGGATCCAGTTGCGGATTTCGTGCAGTTAAATGGAGTAGAGTGAGTAGAGTAGAGGTAAAGTAGGGAATACTGATTTCTTCATGTTTTCTTCATGTTTTCGGGCCTGTTCCAACTAAGAATGCGACTGACTATCACGATCGATGGGTTTCCAAGTCATGTACGGCCAGAATTAGTTCTAGAATCCATGAAGGGTAGATTTGACCACTGGTAGTTGGTTTTCCAAAGGCCTGCTAGAAATGCAATAGGACAGAGAAAATGAATGAAAATGAACTCAACACACACACACACATTCTTGTATTTGGCGAATATGGTGACAGAGATTGTACCGAAGTTTGGATGAACAGAAGTGGGATGCTTTTTACAATTCAAACTCTGACACGATGCATGTAGCACCTTGGGAAGACACAAATTGAGCGGAGAGAGTTGATTAATTTTGAATAGGAACGAGACAGCCGAATGCTTGAGTTGAATCTGCTATTTTCTCCGTGTGAAGTAGGGCAATGCAATGCGGAAATATCGTGACGATACCTCAACTCCAGGTTTGCATAGGCCATAGGACCAGCGTAGGCCATAGGACCATGGTAAGTGGTATCTCATGGACGTTGTCCATTCGCCCGATAGACAGTTTGTGACAATTTATGACAATTTATTGAGCATCAAAAAAGCATCCCTGCTCTAATATCCTCTATAAAATGGAGGGGGACGCGGCTCAACATGAGCCGTTTTCTTCCTGATTTTGCGACCGTCCAGTCAGGTGATTTCATAGAAAACAGTGTTTTTTTGTGCTTTTACAGCCCAGCTCTATGTTTCTGCTATGGGAGGGAGTGTCAATGCAACTCAATAGAAAGGTCAACTGATTGGTGATGGTTTTTAACCAAACAGTGTGTCCACAATCAGGGGATCTGACGATAAGAGTAAGGCCGGTGCTTGACCAGGGTGCTCCATCTGGCTTCCGGCATTTTTCCTGTAAATTCTCGCATAAAGTGGCTCTTCCCCACCGACATTTGCCCATGTGTTGGTCGCTGCGATCTGATCAGAAGATGCAAGTGCAACGCATGGTCTTTGTCGATCAGAGAGGTTTTCCCGTTCTGGCTCCAACGCCGCGCAATTGGGCCACGAGCTTCCCTCACAAAAATGATTCTTGCACCACGGGCGCCAGCAATCATGTGAATGAGGCCGGCATTGAACGAGCGCAAACATGAACCGCGCGTTTGACGGCGCATACGGCGCCATGGATCGAAGCAACTTGGTTCCCCTGCCAACGACGGGAAAGTTGGGAGATTGTGCCAGGTCGGTTCTGGGTGTGAGAATGGCCCATGGCGACCGACGCAAGTGGCCACCTCAGCAATGATGGCTGCCTGCTCTTTATCCGAGCATGTCAGCATCACATGCACCTTAAAATGGACATCTGTTGCAATGTTTGTCAGCAAAACCCCAAGCAACCTTGAAATTTGTTGTGTCTGAGGCATGCAGGAGTCGGCGCGAGCCTTGATAGTGGTCCCCTTGTCCATAGATCTCCTCAACAAGAGGAGGATTCTGTTCAAAACACCTGCAGTCCTTGTGAAGTGGGGCCACAACACACGACGGATTCAACGGCACAACTGCCGCAACAGTAAATTGCAGAAAGAGCAACAATAAACCATCTGAATACTAAGAATATTGTGTTGACTCCATGTTTCATTATGAGACTTGCAACGTAAAAGGATATTCCTTTGCTCCGGACTAGAAATCAATGGGTTTCTGTGGACACTTTGCAAGAGCTGTTCTTCCATGATAGCGTACAAATCCAGTGACGCTATGGAACAGAAAGAATCCTTTCTAGTTTTCTAGCTGGCAGTTTAGCATTGCGTTGCCATTTTCCTCATATTGTTTGGGTTGAGACGCCCAACCCACCAAGAACACGCTTTATTTGGCAGGTTTGTTTTCATGGATTCCCCAAGGCAAAACTATGGCACGTCCCCGAGTTCTGTTGTCCCTCTGCCGTTGATTTTTTTTTGGGGGCCCAGTTGGACGAACAGCCTGGATTCTATCCCTGTCACATTGCATCTGGTTGCTGCAATCTTTGCTCTCTCAAGTACTGAGCTGTATTGGGGCCAAAGCGAAGCCTCAAACATGCTTGGAACCCCAAGAGCTCTGTTTGTGCTGCGCTGTGAGACAGTTTGAATTTTGTTTGAATGGCCAAACCAAGTGTTGTCAGCGGAATTTCGGGCTGCAAGAGACTGACATGGCAAGGCAGGCGAAGATAGCCCTCCTGGGAGTGCTGGTGAGCCTGACACGAGTTGGTGAATGAATTGGACCAATGATGGCTGTGAAGTTTGTCTGTTCAGCACTGCTAGTACAAGCAACGCATGGCAGGGCACGAGTCAAGCCTTCTACTTGTTCCGATCTCAGTCATAGTGAGACCAGTGGGACCCACCTTCAATCTGCAATCGTGGTATCGATGCAGCTGACACATGAAACATGACGGACAAACCATGACAAAACCACGTATAAGTGTATGAACCGCTGCAAATTTGGTGAATTTTAGAGGCATGTAGGCAGGTGAAGAACACTGGAAGAACATGTCATAACATGTCTTACCCTGTCTTATGAACATGGGTCAATGGATGTCAATGCATCTCAATGGTCACTATGGTTGGTGGTTTCAAACATTTTTTTTTCCACAATATATGGATATATATATATATATATACATATGGGATAACCCTTCCTCCCCATTGATTTTCATATTTTTCAAGATGGTTATTGCACCACCAACCAGTTCAGGTCATGGTCATTGATCCTTTCCCCAAAACACAAAAAACTGGACCAGGCCGGGAGTGGCGCCAGTGCAATATGACGATGGTGCACGGGTTGATCTCAAGGTGAATAAGCCTGGATCTTGGTGCACAGCATGACAGCCTTATGACATTCTATAGGTGTCATAGATTCGTCATAGATGATCTATTATAAGATGATGATGATGATGATGATCATGATCTATTATAAGTCATAGTAGTTTCGGTTTCGTCCTAGGTTTGGTGAAACGGTGAAACTCGTGACTGGAATGTGGCACTGATACGGGGATTTTCTTGAGGCTTACATCAGTGAAGACCCAGCTGCCGTACGACTACTATACGCCCGCCCGCCAGAAAGCACTGCAGAAACCTGGGACACCTGGTGGACACCTGCGCAGGTTGCCATTTTGCAAGCCAGTGTCCGTGGTGCAAAGCGTGGAGAACTTGGGTGAGATCTTAGCACCTCAGCGCAATTCAGAGCTGCGATTTTATCAGGACTTACCAAAGTTGCTGTATTTGAAGATGGCTATCCCACTTGATTTCTGTTGCTTCTCATATCAAGCACATGTTTGACTGTTTGACCTTGAAATCCTTGAACTCCTTGGAGTCTTTAGTCTCAGTAACCTCCAAAACGATTGAAATCCATGGAACAGCAGTTTACCCATTGTATTGACAGGATTTTCCACCATGTTCCAGAATGTGTTTCGTTCTTCACCAAGGCTGGTGATCTCATAGAGAACTCACCTTATGACCTCCGGATGGGTTCAAAGCTCAGAGGAATCCATGGGATGGCATGGTGATCATGTGGCAAAAATCCGTCAAGTCTTCGACGTGGCATGACACGCATCTGCGATTTTGGGTTCCCAAAGGATTTCTGGAGACGATTCTGGGAAGGAGCTTTTTTTGGGATCGCGATGATCGCGGCTGAGGTGACAACCAGAATTGCAAGCTGCTCTGCAAGCAAGAGCTGAAACAGGTCAGTCTGGGATGGGCTGGGCTCAACAAAAACCCACAATTCATGTTAGTGATTAAAAGAGGTCATCCTACTTGGTTTTTCATGATGTGTATATTATATGTGTATGATTGTGACCAGTTGCCAGTATTGTGACCATTGGAAACCCCTCTAGAATTTTATATAGCAGCCTATGATTTCAATCAGGATTTGAACCCTGGAGGATATCTCCCATCCGAGGCGGACAAGGATCAATTCAGAGCCAGGATCGACGATGAATACATGGTTTGCCTCTCAGACTTTGATCTTCAAAAACCCAGAACTGGATCTATTTCTGGGCCATTTCTGGGGTGACACGATTTCAACATATTTTTTCTTTGCCTATTTTCGCAAGTTGGGGTCGAGGTCAACATGATTGTAGACAACCTTCCAGTAGCCTGCTCAGTGGCAGCTGGGTCCGGTCCTTGCGTGGCCGAGCACAAAATTGAGCTGTTGTCCCTGAGGCTGCGACCAAGTACATCCGCAGAAGTGATGGAAACGATTACATGTGCCCACTATAAACTGGACGTAACTGGACTCAGCAGAAAAATATTTGGCGGAACAACTCACAGACTGGATCTGGATAAACAGACCATGAAGTTTTGACCCAGGAAGGTTTTGATTTTGTTTCGTTCTGTGGTCTGAAATCTCAGCCCTTCGAGCTTCAATCATATTCGAGTTCATCCACAGGCAGTAAAGCGATTTCATTTGCTGAGATCTTGAAAGCAAATTCACAGGAGATGCCCCAACCGCTGAAGCCATAAAGGGCTGAAGATCGTCTTGTGAATCGTTGAGATATCTTAAGATCCCCTAGGGTTCTGGTTTTTCTGCTTCCTTTGCCATGTCCAATGTGATGCGGGAAGCCGCCGATGTCTCAGGCCTCGTCACTATTTTTTGTTGTCGGGGATGGGTTGACATGTTGAAGCCATGTTGAACCAAAGATATCAAGGGCCAACGGATTCAGGGGTACCAACAAGGCAGTCAGTTATTTGAGATGATTAAACATGATGAAACCATATGAAACCAAGAGTTTTTGTCACCATTATCGGGGTAATGGCGGACCCCCAAAGCTTGAGCTGTCCAAATTTGGCTGACCAAACCGAAACTGTAGGATTTGATGTGCTCGGGCACTTAATCAAGAACATCCTTTTTGACAGGAAGGATGCCCGCCTTTTTAAAGCATTCCAATTCAAATCCAATTTGACGACTTGGTAGTCCCCCGGTTGGCACTTGCTAATAGTATCTAACAGTCATCAAACCAGAAATCCCTCCAAGTTTAATTTGGGGTCCCCTTCAAATATGTCCCAGATGATCAATTATTCAAATCATTTCAAACCTATTAACCAAGCACTGTGATAGTCATTGGGAGTCATTGGTCAAAAGCGAAGTTTGAAACCGCCCCTGGACAGTTCTACCTCGAGCCATCAGCGAATGCCTGGAGCGTCAACGCATCGAGCTCCAACGAGTTCTTAGCACCTTGCCCAAGGTCGTTTCGTTGGGAGAAGAGCACCATTTGGACATGTCCAGAGTCCAGCCTTATACATGAATGTTGGGTTCAAAGATGATGTTGGGTTCCAAAAATATGGATGAAACATTTGAATGGTTTGCAAAGGAAATACGTTCTTGCATTCAATTTCAGCTGAGCCGGCGCAGAGGCAATTGGACTGCAGAGTTTGACATCATCCAGGCATACCCGGACGAGAAGTTGGGTTAGCTGGAGTGTGTGTTACATGCCCAACTTAGTGTACTTTAGTGTGCCAAAGGGTTCAGAAAACATGGCTTTTGTGGATGTTTCTGAAATTTTCAAAATATTTTGGTACACTACTCAAGAAACGCGGCCTTCAACATCCATGTGGTTTTCCAGCTGGGCACAAGGACTTTTCCGTGCATGGGACCATCATTTTGATTTTTGCAACAGCATACCAAGAGCCAAAGTCTGTCTTCGCGACCAACATTTGATCCTTGTTGGGAAGCATTTAGCCCAGAGTCCACGGGTTTCTTTTCTGAATCTTGGAACATCTTGGAACCGTAGCCAGGCCATACCCGATGTGAAGATTGGGGATGTCAGCAGGGATGGGTCAGTCTTCGGCTCAGCTGGTTCGCTTCAGTTTGACTTGGACTCTGTCAAACATATGGAAGATATCCAGCATATCCAGCATATTCAGCAACCAAAGTTACCAAAGGCATATTCAGCATCTTGAAGCACTTGGTTTGGAACAAAGACCTTTTCAACATGGGTCCAGACTTTCTTCTTTGCTTGGGGACGACCTTAAAAAAACATCATGACTATCCATGACTCCATCGGCTGAAAGACTGCCGAGGTAGCTGAGATGCCCGAGACTTTGCCAGTACCAGGTGCATCAGTTGAAGCGCGGGGAAACAACACCTAACACCCCGATTTGACGCTTGTGACAGTTGTTTCATGTTGTTTCTGCATTTGAGAAGCAGCACATGGAGCCTCAAACGTGAAGTGACAAAAGCCGTTCGGATCTCTGCGAAGTGACCATCCCGGTCGCCGAAGGACATGTGGAGGAGAATGATCCACAGACGACATCCTGGACTACTGAAGCGACTCGAAATCGCTTGTGGATTGGACACTTTGTTTGGCATTCGACATGATGAAACATAACATGTTTGTTGTGAATCCTGGGAAAACGTTGAATACCAGGCCTGGAAACACTTCTCCGAGCTTGACTCGGAGAACAGCTATGAAAGGACAAAGAAGAAAAGCTGTTACTGGGAAGGCAGGGTAAAACGAACCGCTGAGGGCTCAATTTGTGGATCAACATCTGTGAGATGTCAGACAGGTATGGAAATGTAGTTTAGAATGTAGTTTATGTTGATGAGTTCGAAATGAGTTTCTGATTTGATCCTGAACATGTTTCCTTTGTGCTTTTGGTTGAATCCCCCAAACCTGATGATGTGGAAGGTGAAGCACGGAAAGTATCCGTGATACAGCAACCGGAGCAAAGTATTTGGGTGAGGATACAAAAGTCTTGCAGTACCATATTACGTTGCTTGGCTTCTTTCAGTGTCGAACTTCGAAAGTTTCAGAGTGGAACCCCAAAATTGGCAGAGTGAGAAAGGCAGCAGCAGGTTCCAACGGTTCCAAAAAAAAAATCCGATCTCAGAGAAACATGTTGAGGACACCTCTCGGTCATTCTTGTTTTTTTTTTCATGTGCCAGGTCACCGAGCTTTTGATCTGGTCTCTGGATCGGTGATTCTCCTGAACGCTGCGTGCATTGGCTGGAGCCTCAAGGGAAATCCAAAATTAGGCCTGTTTAGTATAGAAACCTACGATTTGTTTTTAAAGATCAGCTATTTCCATCCATTTCCCACAAAATTTGGTGATTTGAAGTATCTCAGATTTTGGGTTATGGATGGCCCACATCAGTTGGCTATTGAGGATCAGAAGATTTGTGGCTGCCTAGACTGCCCTGAGTGGTGTTGCCGAGGAGCACAAGTGGAGTATGAATCCTGGAGCCATGGACCAGAGGAACCCATCTGGAGAGCGATGCAAATTATCTTTTGTACCTTGGTGGCAAAATGGTGGCAAAATGGTGGCAATAGAAAGGACCATGAATCTAAACAGCGTGGATAAAGTATCTCGTGGCTGCACGCAATCAGTATCAATTCTAAATTGGAGTGGTGAGAATTGGCCAATATGAGATTTGACTAAACTTGTCGCTTCATTGGAAACTTCAGGGTTTAGGTTCGTCTAGGTCAAGACTTGAACAGATTTATCTCATCCACACTTGCCACTTGCCCAGGTCTTGCTTACACGTTCGAGCTCCTACTCAGCACCTTGAGCAAAGAGATGAATAATCAGAACATCCACTGACTTTTTGGCACTTCAACGGATTTGTTGATAGTAAACCATTCCATTTCGGAGGCAAGTGCGTAAATGTTGGTAGTAACGAGCTACTAAATTTCCAGTCTTCTGGCGATTTCCCAGGTTTTTGCTCATGATGTTGCAATGATGCTGAGTTGCTTAATCAGTTGTCATTGAACAACCTCAGTTGGGCATGGCGCACCAAGGAGTTGGTGGTCAGGGTCGACATTTCTTTGGTGCCTCAGCTGCGATATGCTGCGCTGTGTCCTTGCAGCCACGCGGGGGCGCGGTGTGTGGCAAAGTCGTTGCTGAGGTGTGGTGGATTGGAGGCTGGGATGGGCTTGAAGAAACCATCAGGAAACTAGACCTGGGGCCAGTTGAAACGAATATACCCTCTGGTAAACATACAAAAATCTATTGAAAATGGCCATTTATAGTGGATTTTCCCATTAAAAATGGTGATTTTCCATAGTTATGTTAGTTTACCAGAGGGTATTTGCTTTTTGGAGTTTTGGAGATGTAGATGTCGATGGATGTAGATTGGTGTAGATTGCGGACGTGACGAACAGATGATGAGGCAACCCGTGATCTTGTATGCGCCAGATACTGGACCAAAGACACTGACCTGTGGAGACAAGACAGAGACAAGACCGCAGATTGTACATGTGCGATTGCACTTTCAACTCGTGTTTTTTGGGCCAGATGGAATGCATTTGACCTCTTCATCACTTTGGCGTCCATCGTTGACGTGGTCATGACTTTCACGATGGATACTGGAAATGTTGGTGCTCTGGGCATTGCGCGCGTCTTGCGGATTGTGCGGGTGGCAAAGATTATTCGTTGCTTGGAGCAACAGTGGCAATTGAAATCAAGGTGAACTACTGTATTTGCATTTTTCTCTGAACATGTGACAGCTTAGATGTTGACCACAAACTGTTGTGAACAGGAGGGTTGGAAGATATTGGTTGATCTCAAACTAGGACCCTGAAGTATCAGTTTTCAATAGTTTTCATGGAATTATGAACCATAAAATTCTGGGTTTCAAATTTTGAGACAAGCCAGACAGCCCATGGTTCAATTAGTTGATGTCAATTGTCTTTAGCTTTGGCCTGAGGTGTCGTCAGATACCTGCGGAATCTCCGGGCCATGATCTTCACTCTGCTGCACACCTTGTCGTCTCTGGGGTGGGCTTTGGTTGCTCGGCTGCAAGTTGCCATGGTTGCCATGGCTGCCATGGCTGCCATGGCCATGGCTTTGTTGGTTCAGGAACTTGTGGTGCTGTGGTGCTCAAGTTTTCCCAAGTTCTCCAATAGATTTGGTGGTTTTTCACAATGGCGCGATGTCGTCCCACGAGGGTTGGAAGCGTTGTGCTCCTTTTGAGCCTGGGATGGTGGGCCACAGTGGCCACGGTGGCCATGGTGGCTGCAGTCCCCGGCGCCATCAGGGCCATCATCACCGATGTGGATGGCACGCTGATGCCTTTCGCCACCAGCTCCAAGTTGTCGAACCGCAACCGGGCAGCGTTGACCGCGGCGAAAGAGGCGGGCTGCGCCATTTCGGTCGCCACGGGCCGCATTCCTGGCCCGTGGTATGACTCGTTGCGCTCCCAACTGCCAGGTGTCTTGGGCCCAGGAGTCTTTTCCAACGGAGCTTTGGTTTTGAAAGGTGATGAAGTGTTCCATGCATCAGTGCTACCTGCAGAGACAGTGGCAACTGTGGTGGAATGTCTGGTGGATGGTCGTGTGCATGGCCGAAAGATTGGGGCTTTGGCTGTGGTCGCCGCTGATGGCTTTGAATATAGCGAGTTGGCACCTGAGGGGCCAACGTGGGTCACACGACTGATCCAACGTGCCGGTGAACCTGTGACACCCAGAGGATCTTGGAATCCGTGGCTGCTGCAGAGGGAGGTTCACAAATTTGTGATGTTCACAGCACCAGATGACCCCAGTTGGGCTGCCATGGATCAGGTTGTCCCATTGCTTCGCGAGAAGCTGGCTACGTCTGCTACAGTGTTAGATTGTGGTGCGAAGCAGTGTGAGATTCTGCCGCCAGGGGAGAACAAAGGCACGGCGTCGGGATTCACCTCTCGCAACCGTGGGTTTTGGCCTTTACTTTTTGAAGAAGTGAAGCAGCACATGGTTTTTTCATGTTTTTTCTAGAAACGATGGATGCAAATATATAAAAACTGGCAATTTTCATCGAACAAATGATGATAAACTATGATAAATCATGATATACATTGATAAACCATGACAATTCGGATTGGTCATGACATGTCATGACTATTATTTTCTTTTCAGACCAAACCCATGAAAAAACGATGGATGCCAACGAGAGGCACAGGCGTACAACGTCTTCTCTCCGTTCTGGGCATTGATGAATCTGAAGCGATGGCCTGCGGTGATGCCGTAAATGACGTGGAAATGTTGAAGCTGGTCGCCAAGGGGGTGGCCATGGGCATCTCGGATTGAAGAAATAGCTTGGGGGGATATTGGGGGGTAAGATGTTTTTGACCGTTTTTGGATTTTACAAATTCATCAGGTTGGGCGTATCCATTCTTTTTGACCACATGATTCAGCTCTGTAAAAAGGCGATGGGACTTCCATTGCACAAGCTGCTGCCGATGTGGTCGTTGCAGCGCACACGGAGGATGGGGTGGCCGAAGCCATTGAGCGCTATGTATTGTGAGGAGAGCTGTATTCAAGCACTGGTTGCGATGTGTTGATGCCTTCCTTTCACTGGTTGCGAATGTCAAGTCCCACTGGATTCAGGCACTACAAAAGGTTCACGTCGAGTAGCAACATCTCGCGAAATAGTCTAGTTTGGTGCAGTTCCATTTCCAGGCAAAAGAATCCTAAGCACAGGGCCAAAGTGGAATCAGGCTGCATTGCGCTGTACAGGTTGTTTTTGCAGACGACCCAAAGAAAGAAGATGCAATCTGTGAGTTTTAGATAACAAAGAGGTGCCTGTCGCATGTGCATAGCCTGATTATAGGTACAGCAGAGGTTCTTCTGCGAAAACCAGCAACTCAAGTAAGGTTCTAACACGATCTTGGCAAATTTTATGGCTTCAAACGGATGACCCTAGTAGTGGTGATTGTGACATGATCATGGTGCAAAATCAGCAGAAGTTGTTGGTGACGTTAACTGGGATGCGGGAACCATGAGACCCAAAAAACCAGGCCAAGGGTGAGAAATGTGAAGAAAACAGAAACCAAGCAACAGATTCTGTAGTAAGCTTGAGCCATGCAAATCCAGGTTTGTACAATTTCTGGCAGATGCATAGATTTAGATGTGGCTCCTGATAGCAGCGTCGCAGATTTGAAGCTGCAACTTCAGGAGGGGATCTTGGAGAATCAACGGCTTTTCTTTTCTGACCTCGAATTGGATGATTCCAAATCATTGGCAGAGTCTGGGTTAGAAGAAGGTGTTGTACTTCAGCTGGTGGTACAATCCGACATCACTATTCGGGTGAGGGCTGTGACGGGTAGGATGTTGTCTATTCAGGTGGACTCTAATGATACCGTGGAACACTTGATGTCGCGATTGGAAGCAGAAGATTCATCCTTCAATTCGGCCATTGGGGATTCCGCGTTGATGTTTTCGGGGCAGCGATTGGTATCTGGGAAGATCTCCGGCTATGGTATCAAGGAAGGTTCCGAAGTTGTGGCAATCGTGAGGCATCGCATGCAGTAGCGCAACAACCTACCGCAGATAGTTGGGGCAAAGATGTCCCCTGCTCCGGGATGAGTTCTGGTCCGTTTGTAGAGATAGCAGAGTTTGTAGAGATAGCAGAGTTGAAAAGTGTGGCTTGTTGCAAAGCTCGTGAGTCAAACCTTGGACGGCCTCTCTTTCCTGATTCCACCTTTTCTGTCTTTCATGTTGGTGGGGTGGATTTTAGGTGTTCGTGGTGAAACTCCGAAGCCCAGAAAGACATTATTATTAACACCTATTAAAACATATTTGAAGATGATCTGATCTGGCATTCCTTCACTCTGTGGGCAAACATCCAATTTTCGATGCGGGTCCAACCATTGTGAGCGGGTCCCTTTTTGCAGAGCCAAGTACAAACCCATGGCTATAATAGTTTACGTGGGTATGCTCCAGTTGTTTGCATGATCGCGCCGCAATGTTAATTTAGAACACCAAAATTTGCAAGATCGAATCATTCTCCAATTCAAGAATCATCTTCCAGACATTTCCAGACCTCCATGTTTTGGGGTTTCACCTGGTTTCACGGTTTCATGTGAAATTTCGGTTAGGCCTTGATGGCGATGATCATGTTCCTCTTCGCCGTGGCCATCACGGAAGCCACCACTGTTCACGTAGTTCACCAAGGATCGATCGATGGATCGATGGATCGATGGATCGATGGATTGGGCATCGTGTGACTTTGTGAAAGTTTGAAGATTGAGATGTTTGAGATGTGTGAGACGTGGGAGTGGGCATGTTCTGGAAACTTTGAATTTCTTGCGGGAAGTTCCTTGGATTTCCTTGGAATGATGAAACCTGATGAATCAATAAGTTCTTTGCCGCGGAAATGGGATGAATTGGGCATCGATTTTTGGTCGTTGGATGCGGCAGGAACTGGTGACACTGGTGACACCACTAAACTGATGAGATATTGGAGTTCGATCTTAGGCTGGAGTCGGCTGGAGCAATGAAAGATCTAGCTCTGTCATGCTCTGTCCATGTATCGATGTGCTCCACATATGGGAAGGTTGTGCCTGCCAGGTTCTATGTATACGCTGTTGTTGTCCACTTCTGGTGGTACCAACTGGATAGAGCCCGCATCTGCACTACAAGAGCTACATTTTATCTACCCGATTCTCTTTGCAGCTACGTGGACTTTGGGCATTTTTGTTTGTTTTTTGACCCTGGAAATTTTGGGCCCAAGCGGCCAAAGCCCCACATACTTGTCAATGTAGTAGGTTTGATGGCTGTTTTGGCAAGATCCGTTTCCTGGATCTGGGTAGATTGCTTCGAAACTAGGATTGAACATATGTTGGCGGATGGCTTGCTCAAATGTGAGCACAGAGCCCATTTGCACGGTATATTATATGATATTACCTAGCGCATCAAGAACCCACAAATTTGTAGGTCTTTTTCCAAAAACCCGGTTTTTTCTTCAATTATGAAAAAAAACGTTTTTTCTCAGAAAATATGTTTTTTTTTCTTTACTAGGGACCAGGGAAAAAAACCCTACTTTTTCTCACACTTGGTGTCATGACATCTCATGATTCCTTCCCCTAGACGATTCAAACCCCTCTATTGATACCAGCCTTGGATCTATCCCTCTCAGTACCCTTCATGCTGATTATACTTCCACCCCGCTGGCTTTGGCTGGCAGTTCTCACAAGAAAGGGCCCGATGCTCTTGGAACATGTCGGACAACATTAAGTGTGATGACAGTCAATTTGGAGTCGTTGGATGATTTTTGGTGTCAGCACACCTGACTACAGATTTGACAATATGTAAGTCAGCCCCTATGTCTATAGTTGTTTTCAAACCCGCTTTGCTTGCGCTTCCGTGCTCCAGGTCATTTCAGCTGGCACGATTTACAGTTGAAACTAGGAAAGTATCAGTACAAGTAGAGCCCAGGCAAGCCGGGTCGCGGAATTTTCGAGAGGGGGCAAAGCCTATAGGTCCTATAAAGACAAGGAAGAGCCTATAGGTCCATATAGGAACGATGCCGTTGACTCCCTGATTTCTTGGACCTCGATGATGTCTTTGTCCTTGGCATTTCTTGCTTTCGACATGATTCGACATCCTTGTCTTATGATGCCACTGTCTCTTGATCTGCTTGATCTGGCTTGCGCTTGTCATCTTTGAATCTTGGCAACCCTTCCTGTTGCCTGCTGTTTGTCTGGACGTCTTTTTTCTCCTTGACGTTTCTCTCTCTCAACTTCCTCTTCTGATGATGGCACGTTATGCGCCGAGAGCCACTTTATGCGAGAAAACACAGGGTTTCATGCGATTCCTACCCTCCAAACATCACCTTGACGCAGCAATTCCACTGCGATCTGCAATCACTGCCATGCAAATCACAATCGAACTGCGTCAACCAACCCAGCAATTGGAAGCTTGGATGCAGCCGTTCCAATACACATTGCAACTCTAGATCACCAACACATTGGCACAGAGCAGTCGGTCAGCTCATTGAACTGCTTCGTCACCCCGAGCGCCGGCCGCTCATGTTTACACAGCCAAGTCGGGCTTGGATGCATGCATCAGCGGTAGAATTACCACAGTTGCCCACGCACATAGACTACAAAGTAAAATTTTGCGAGGCCAACTTCAGAAATAAGTTTTTGGGGGCCGGGCAGGGATGTTGTGCCCAAAAGGCTAAGAAAGGCACAGTTGCCCGACCCCAGTCATATAATGGAGAACGCCAGACATCAAGCATGCGCACTGTGCGAAGGCCTTTGCACCCATTGAACGCTCGTCTCTTTATTATCCAAAACACCGGATGTTCGGCAGTTGCACCATGTTCGCGCATTGCGAGCAACATTTTCTAAGGTATTGTATATATGTTTCATGGTGTTTGCCATGTTCAACGCCAAGCACCCAGTTTTGCCAAGCCGATGCTGATGATCTGTCAGTTGTAAAGCACGTGCAAAGATTGATGGTCGTATGGGTTTTATGCAGGCAACCAAGCAGACAAGCAGTATGTGTCACATGGTCGTCGTCAGCCTCTAGCCGCCCTTTTTGTTGTGAGGTCCTCACTGGTTTTTTCTGTGAGCACGCCTTTGAAATGGCCCGGACAGAAAAGGAATCATTGATTCAGGACGTTGTGGGACCGATCGTCCTGGGGCAATGTGGTTCAACGCTGGAGATTGAAAACAGATTGGCTCAAGCAGCGGGCCTTTGGCAAATTGTGATGCGTTTGGGTTAGTTGAGGGACCAATCCCACCCAACTGTTGACGACGGCCAAAGTGGCAGGAACAGCTGCGAAGGAAACACATCTACGTGAAACACTTTAGGTGCATTGGGTGTGGGTCAAAGTTTTTATGTTAACATGTTAACATTGGCCGTTTGCCCTTGAGCAAGCTTTGGAAAGTGTTGACCACTGAGATTTTTGGCGTTTGAGCGGCAAAGAAAGTCATGCATGGAACGAACATCAAGTGTGCATGCTTGGTTTTCTTTGCTGGGGCGTCCTTGCCAGCCAGCGGAGACCAGCAACGCCTTGCTCGATCAGGCAATTGTTTGCTGAAGGTGATGCTGACGGCAGCGGGTTCATCAGTTTTGATGACGCCGGGTTGCAAAAAGTTCGCTTTGCTCGTTTCATTCCATGTCCAATAATGGCCGCTAGTGCTCCTGTTGGTATTTGGGTATGTTATGTTGCAAACTTCACGCTTTTCGGATATGGCTGGTTTCTATCCAAAAAGATCAGCAAAAAAGCAAAACATCAGCTGCTGCGTGAGCGCAGCAAATCAGGAGTTCGAGCGCTTTTTGGAGGATGAGCAGCTCCAAGCGTATTTGGCGCATTTCAATGTCGATGTGGACAGCGCTTGGCAGGCGCAGCATGGCTGGGCATCCCCCAGTCCCCATGTGATTCGTTTTTTTGTCGTGCCTGGATTTACTATAGATACCCTGGACTTTGAAACTTGCTAACCTGGGTCTTAGATGTTTAACTTCAACACAGCACTGTTGTTGTTGTTGTTGCTGTTGTTGTTGTTGTTGCCGTTGTTGTCGTTGTTGTCGTTGTTGTCCTTGTTGTCGTTGTCGTTGTTGTGGTTGTTGTTGTTGTTGCTGTTGTTGCTGTTGTTGTTGTTGTTTGTTTGTTTGTTTGTTTTTGTTGTTGTTGTTGTCGTTGTTGTCGTTGTTGTCGTTGTTGTCGTTGTTGTCGTTGTTGTCGTTGTTGTCGTTGTCGTTGTCGTGTTGTTGTTGTTGCTGTTGTTGCTGTTGTTGTTGTCGTTGTTGTCGTCGTTGTTGTTGTTGTTGCTGTTGTCGTTGTTGTCGTTGTTGTTGTTGTTGTTGTCGTTGTTGTCGTTGTTGTCATTGTTGTCGTGTTGTTGTTGTTGTTGATGTTGCTGTTGTTGTTGTCGTCGTTGTTGTCGTTGTTGTCGTTGTTGTCATTGTTGTCGTGTTGTCGTTGTTGTCGTTGTTGTTGTTGTTGTTGCTGTTGTTGCTGTTGTTGTTGCTGTTGCTGTTGTTGTCGTTGTTGTCGTTGTTGTCGTTGTTGCCGTTGTTGTCGTTGTTGTCGTTGTTGTCGTTGTTGTCGTTGTTGTTGTTGTTGTCGTTGTTGTCGTTGTTGTTGTCGCTGTTGTCGTTGTTGTCGTTGTTGTTGTTGTTGTTGTTGTTGTCATTGTTGTGTTGTTGTTGTTGTTTGTTGTTTGTTGTTGTTGTTGTTGTTGCTGTTGCTGTTGCTGTTGCTGTTGCTGTTGCTGTTGTTGTTGCTGCTGCTGTTGCTGTTGCTGGTGTTGGTGTTGGTGTTGTTGTTGTTGTTGCTATTGCTGTTGCTGTTGTTGTTGTTGCTGCTGCTGTTGCTGTAATCATCATTATTATTATTATTGTTGTTGTTGTTGTTGTTATTACTGATCAATGAAGAACAAATGAAATCCGAATTTCTCAGACTCGCAGGTGGTACATTCATGTTTTGTTGTGAACCAATAACCAAACACCGATTATTTTCCGATGGCCAGATCTTCCGGCTGATCGACTCCAACAAGGAGATTGTTGAAGGGTTGCCGCAGGGTTGCCATTAATTGCAACGAAGAACCAAAAAGGTTTGTTTTCATCATAGGGCACTTCAACTTGTGCTGGTTTATCACCATCTTCCCCAGTTAAACCAACCATTTCTATCGGTATCCACATTTTCAGACATAGCCAAATGGAGGATTTTGGTCGTTTTAAGTGGCAGATTTGGTTGAATCAATGATGATCCATGTGCTTCATGTGCATTCAGCGTGTCACTGTGCCAACTCGGTCGATTCCGGTTCAGTCTCAAGCAGGTTTATTTTACCAATCACGTTGAAACCGATAGGGTTCACACTGATTTGACCACAGTGTTTTTAAATGGTTCACTTCTACTTTAGCAGTCAACATCAATGAACAACATGATTAACCTTCACAAAAAAATCATGAAACAACATCAAAATCACTTCTGAAAAACACATTCTTCATATTTGTTCAACATTTGTTCAACATTTGTTCAACATTTGTTCAACATTTGTTCAACATTTGACCATCAAATTTGGTCCCCCAATTTTGGCCCTGCGATACCTCTGCAGGACGGCTCTGTGACGCTGGAGGAGTTCATCTCGGGGCTGTTGACCATGAAGGGCCCAGCGAAGGCCATCGATGTGAAAACCATCGCCGCTGGTCCCGGTGATATCTGGGGAGGATATCCCCCAGTATTGGAGTATCAGAGATATCAGATATCCTAAATATGTGAACTATGTGGAAAATTGGATTGGATTTGGGGATTCCACATATTTTGCCATAAAAATTGAGTTTTGGGATGATGAAACGATGGGATTTGAGGGTTCACAAGTTCACAAGTCTGAAACATATGGGGATGGGATGGGTCATATTACTCTCTTGTTTGGGGGGATGAAGAGTCACATCCGTCCCGACTTGCTGAGAAAATGCAGAAATGTATCCTGTGATTGAGATGGCAGACGGAAAACCCAGTGAACTCCAACAGGAACTTTCATACATATTCATACACTGATGGATTTTTATCCTTTCATTCTCTGGGCGTGTCTTGTGTTTTCGATCAAGTTGGTGTTTTGAACTTACAATCTCAGTCAATTACCTTCAACTGCGACACCAGTGGAGTTTCAATTTTTTCCCTCTCTCTGGAGATCTCTGGGGCAACTGAGGGCTATGACATTGGCAAAGAGTTTCGAAGAATGAAGCGACGGATGCAGAACCTCGTCCTTTTTGCTGCTGTCTGTCGCAGCCCCATTGCATGTCAAGGGAGGTGCAGTCCATTCCATTTGAACCTTGAAAATTCCACTGTGATATGTCGAAGTGGCTCTCATGTTCAGATCATGAGTCATAGGATGTCAGCAGCGAAGAGGTTTCACATCCAGCAGCTTCTCAGTTGCTGCCTGCTGCAGCCTAGGAGTGTCGATCATCAGCTCAAAGAGATCCGCGGGATGCTGACCAAGTGACAGCGCCACTTGGCATCGGGTCACAATTTTTTTACCCCAGAAAGATTGGATGATATTTGGATATATGGGGATCCGTCCCCATGGGAAGATTATCAATGATGAAGATTATTAATGTTATCAATGCCTGAAGTGACCAACACCTCGATGATGTATGATGGATGATTTTTGCTTGGGCCCACAAAATGCTCTGAATTTTGACCCGTAGCCCATGTGACCCCCGTTTCTGCGAAGAATTGTGAAGAATCTCATTGGAGCCAAAGGTAGCTCTGCTCGAGATATGCAGCAGAAAGCAGCCCCAAGTCATGGGTTTCAGCTGTTTCAGTACTAGAATGGTGTAATGACTGGGATGATTTGGGGTACCTTCATTTTAGGATACCTCCATATGTAGCCATGCTCCAATGCTCCAATTTTGAAAAATCACAAGAGTCGCCACATGACTTCCGGCAGCTGCAACAGTGAATGATGGCCGACTCCGAAGGAGTGGCTGTTGGGTGACGCCCCAGTTTGGTCGGAACCAGTTTGGTCGCAAAAAAAAAGGTTCAGCGGCAAAGCATCCAGCTGAAATTTTCAGCTTGCAGGAGCATCACTCGGAGGATTAGCTGATATTTTCCATGATTTACTCACAGGTACATGAATGGCTTTCCGATTGGAGTCCAGAAGAACAACAAGTGCCCAATCAGGATGTTTCTTGGACACATTCCATACATGTAATACATGGTGCATGGTATTTGAGCTTCAGGTACTACATCTACAACCATCTGAAGTTTCTGCTAAAATACCACTCCAGCCTTGTTCTCAGCTCCAACTCAGCTGTATCGTCGGTGGTAAATTTCAACGTCCTGTGGTTGGAAGGGTTGGCCCTCTGCGAGGCGATGACTTTGATGGTCACCGAATTGTTGGTTTCGAGGTGGAACCCCACAGTATCGTGCAGGCGGGGGGCGAAAATATGCGAAAATCGCGTAGTGAAAGACCTGGCTGCGGGGAAAAATGGATGAGAAGTCATTGAAAGATCTTTCAATGTACATACTACATAATCATACTACTACTTTTATATAGTTTTAGATCTTGCTTCAAGATTTAGATGATTTAGTTGAAGGGACGAGTCTGAATGCGGATGGTCAAGCAACCCTTGACATTTCACTGCATCCCATCTCCACAGACCCAAGAAATGGCACTAAAAACCAGCAAAATTAGTTCATCCAAAACTCATCCTGATTTTTTTGATGGTTGAGTACACATATGTTGGGGATTTCTTAAGGGGCCATGGATTCATGGATTGGACACCTCGTTCAAGGCGACACAGTCGGATCCCGCGCAACCGGGTGGCCTGAAGGCTGTGTGCCAGGACGCTGGTTGTGGTGGATTTTCACCAGCAAATGGTGTTTTTTTTTGGAGGGCCATAGCCGAACTGTTGGATGGCTGCTTTTTTTTGGATTTTTCATGATTTTTCAGGATTTTTCGATGGATGTTGAAGTCTCTTTATATGTTGATACATGCCTTACCCTCTGGTAATTTAACGTAGCTATGGAAAATCACCATGTTTAATGGGAAAATCCACTATATTTATTATAAATGGTCATTTTCAATAGCTATGTTAAATTACCAGAGGGTAATCTTGATGTCACTTCTGTATTTGGCCGGATCTTGATAGGAGGGAGCAGAGGCGACCTTGATGGAATTGGATTCTTACCCAGTGCTGCCTGCGAAGTTTGCGCACTGCGCATGTTTCATTGATGGAAACAATGAATCCAATGAAAGGTGATGAATGTGGTTTGGTATCATCTAAGTTGATGAATGTGGTTTGGTATCATCTGGTATCCAGCAACTTAGATGACTTAGATGATTCATCACTGTTAAAAATCAGCATTCAATGCAGCCATCAGTTGATGTAGACATGCGGCATGTCATGCTGAGACATGCTGCCAGGAAGTGATTTTTACCTACGATGTTACTTGGGAATACAGTTCGATGTCCCAGATCAGATGGAAGTTGTGCCCGAAGTGAAGAAACTGAAGATGTAGGTCAGTCAACGTAGCACTGGTTGATAACTGGTATCTATCAGTGAAGAACCACTAGGAATTGAATGTCAGCGACCCCGAAACTTTCTGAATCAAAGGACGTTTTTTTGTCATCTTGGACATCTGAGGTGATATTCGATGGGTCTCAAGGTGGGACAACTACCTGAAGATGTGGTGATCTCGGTGATCTCAGACATCTCGGGTGATCTCGGACGCATCGATTTGGTCTGATCATGTCTGATCATCTCGCCAAGGACTGGTGACAAGATTCACTGGTTCGCCATCCTGTTGCTTGGCATATCTTGGCATGAATCAAACAATAAAAATTGTCCTCCAAAATGTCTGGACACTATCCACTTTGATGATCTCTGTGTTTTTCTTGGCGGGAAATCAATGAGTTTGATATTTCGTGCATCCAAGTATGCTTACATTTTCAACAGACGCAGAAACACAACTCCACGAGAAAGGTCCCAAGGTCGCCAAAGTCCCCAAAGTCCTCAAGGTCCCCAACAGAGGAAGAGACTGAGCGGAGCTCAATTCTGCAGGAATTCCTTGATGATCATGCTCTTCTTGTCCGGTATGGTCAGGGTCTTAGCGTAGCTCACGCAGAGCTCAACACTCTGGTTGAGCAGACTTTGGTTTGGTGCAGCGCTGGGGATGTCACAACATGTCACAACGACAATGGGGGAAGAAAAGGAGAAACGAAAAACATGGTAGAACCGACATGAACCAACTTTGTTGGTTTTTATGTTTACCCGCCTTATTCTCATTGCACACCTTTGACAGCGCACTACTGGGAAGAGCATGTGTCCTGCATCGTGCGCCTTTCGTTTTGAAAACTCAGCCAAGTATGCAATCCAAGGTAGCTATGATCCTGCTGCGGACCTTGTATCGTGCCTTGGCAGGAAGAAGTGGTCATGTCATGCCACGACTTCCTTTCTTGACTTTGCAGAAACCTCATTGGTATAATCCTGTTACGATGGCTGGTATTGTTGAGGTGACATCACCAGGTACAACGAACTCGCCACAGCTGAAGAAGCTGCAGAGGAAGGGGACAAACGGTAAAGGGATGGGTTTGAGATTGATGTTCTTTGCTTTTGGAGGCTGGAGATCTTTTGATGCTGAAATTGGTGGTAAAAGCTTTGAATGGATGAGGGGGACGATTGCTGAGTTCTATGTGTGAGTTTGATGCTTGTTTGCCCCATGTGCTTCGTGGATGCCTAAGACATTGTTTTCTCTGCGCGGAGACCCAGATTCAAGCTCAGGAGATGCCTTTGCAGTTTGACAGTTTGGCTTGAGTTCTAGCAGGCTTAAAGTATTTGACATTTTATCAACGCACTGAAGGCGAGCCATTTTGGGTCAAGAGTGCACGAGTCGTCACTTTTCTGGCTTTCTGGACAATGGTCCAGATTGATTTTGCTCGGGAGTTGCGCGCTGTTGCACTAGCACCTGTCGACGCAAATGTGCCTGTCGATGCAACCGCAAATGTGAATCTCAACGCAACCGCGAATGTGCCGGTGAATGTCAATGCAAGTGCCCATGTGCCTGTGACTGCCACGGGAAGTGCAATGGTGCCTGTGAATGCCACCGGAACAGTCCAGGAACGTGCAGTCACCTTTGAGCCTGGATCGTTCCAGGCGCATATGTGGCCTGGTGCTAACCAGGTGTTGCCAGATGCAGTGCGCAATGAATTTGACATGAGGAGCACCAACCACCTCCACCTAGGGCAAGGTGCCAATGTGAGTTGCTTCAACTGCCCTGGCCTGGGCTCGTTGTGTGAAAAGATGTGTGGAACTAGCAAGCGGCCAGCAAAAGATGTTGCACCACCTGCCCCAGCAAGTCCAGCTGCGCCAGATCCAGCTCCACCACAACAGAAGCCAAACCTGAAAGAGGATCAGTTTAGACTCGCTTTGCAATCTGGCTGTTGGGTGCGACATGCTCAATTTGAGGAGTGTGAGGGTGTCGAGAGATGCAAGAAACCTGCCTTGCTGAAACTCAGCTTAAAGTCGCAATACAGATCTGGTCAGATTCAGATGAAGAACTGGAGACTGAAGCAGTTCAAGTATGATGATGACCTACCTGAGCGGATCATGGTCCTGCTTGGTCTGGAGGAGGCAGGCAAAACAACATTCCTGAACGGCTTGGCAAACTACATCATGGAGGTGGAACCTGAAGATCCTTTCAGGTTTCAATGTGGTGATGCTGGTGGAACCACTGAGGTGGCCCTCTATACGCTGCCCGCCTTTGAAGGCAAGCAGTACGCATTCAATTTGACAATTGTGGACACTCCTCCAATTAGAGATCCAGATTCGATGTTAGACATCCTGCGGGTGCTTCAGGAAAGCATCGACGCCGACATCATTGGAGGAGTTGATGCCATCAACTTCATCATGCGTGAGCCTGCCTCCACTAGTGGGAGCTACAAGAGTGATCCATCGCTGGGGAAATTATTCCAAACACTTTACAGCATGCTGCCTGCTGCCAACATGAAAAGTGACAAGGGGCGCCAGCAGTGAATGCTTGAAAGACTTTCTGAAAGAGAATCGGACGATGATTCCCCGTGCCTTTGCATACAACCTGGCGAGTCTTTTTGCGGACTTTTCTGATCTTAGTCGTGAAGAGTCGACTCATTGCAAGGAGATCTTCAAGAGCGTTCTCAGCTCCCTCATCCACTGCCAGAAGCTGTGCAGGATTGCTCCAGTACAAGCTCTTTCAGCTCAACTGGTGGTGGCGTCAAAGGCTTTGCCAACAGAGGCAGTGAAAACAGAGGCTGTGACAACAGAGGAGTTGGGCCAAGCAGCAGGACTATATTCCAAATGGGAAGAAGAGCTTAACCAGAGCTTCTTGGACATTGGGGAGTGATGCCAGCAACAGCACGATAAAAGGTGGAAAAGCAGGCATCCTTTTCCTTCAAAAATATTCAGTTTGCTTCCAGAGGTACCTTTTGATCCAGTCAAAAGGAATGAATACTTCCTTTCCAACAGCCATTTCCGCACTTATGAATTGGACCGTCCTGCTCTTGAGGTTGCACTTGAAGTCGACAATACGGCCCGGTCAAAGCTAGACATGGCCCTCCTGAAATTCAGGAGCCGCATGCAGACCCTGGGCATCCAAAACCCATCGCCTCCTGAGTGGGTTTACGGGTTTTGCACTCGGAATGATACGCTGCGCAGGCTTGTCAAAAGTGGCTCTGGCTCCTCACCACTGAAAATGCTGTGCCAGTAGTTTTGTTTTAGTATATTTTACTGTCCTTCAGCAAAGTCGGACATGGCTTCCTCCTATGTGCATTTGGTACAGAGTACAGGAAGAGCTCAGAGGCACAATCAACGCCAGGAGTCCTGGCCAGGAGTGCTAAAAAGATTCACTCAACCGGACGCTAGAATGTTTGACAGAGATCCATGCAGGTGCTCTTTTCATTTTGCCCACTATTTGCTTTCATTTGCCCTTGTTCCGTGCTGAGGTTATGAAGACATTCGCCCATTTTTATCTTCTTAGGACAGGTCGCTAGGTCGCTTCCAAGTGCTCGTGATAACCTGAGCAGCCTCAAAAACCTCCAAGTAAGCAAGCAAAATGTGGATGAAACATGATGAAACTAAGTTGGGCCTCGGGAAGTGAAACCCACGTCCGCAAGCAGGGACTGATCGTCCGATCGCGGAAGGGCCGCGGAAGACGATTTCAACTTTTGATCTTCATGAGGAGTTTGTTTTCGCGGAAGCTCCGCGGAAGCAGAATAGACTTAATTGCCAATCATCCGCGGAAGTTGAAACTGTGGTCGCGGAAGCGCGCAGAAGATCGCGCTGAAGACAAGTAGGATTAGCAGAGAATGACATAGGGTTTTCGCCACCGCGCACATTGATGTCTTGATCGGCACGCACATGAGGAGCGAATGACGTAACCAAAGAGTCTTCCAAGCCTGGACTTTTGTGTATATAATGAATTTGAATTCAAACAGTTTGTTTGTAACACTCTCTTCAATTTCTTTGGGTCGATCCCTTCAATGAGCATCTCTGGCTTGATTTTCTGAACACACGTACCACCTTTCGGCAGCAGACCCAAGAAAGCCTACCGTGTAGGTATGATTACAGAAGCACATGGCAACAGATAGACAAAAATAATATTGAACAAGGATGGATTGATTTGTAGAAGCTCTTCACCAGTCTATCACTTGCTACTTCCTGCGCAACATCCACTCGTTGGAGAGCCGGCCGCATTTGCGACAAGAAACCATTTGGCCCAGATGTCGATGTTGCTGAACATGTACCGAGTTGAAGCCTAGTCTAACTTTACAGCACCCCAATCCCCAGCCCCGGCCCAAAGTACTTGCAGTGCGCCATTTGAAGTATAAACGCTATAGCACGAGGAAACCCTTGCAGCGCTTACACCAGGTTGTATTGGAATGCCTTCTATCATCCAAAAGGATCCAAAAAGGGTCAAATGACAGGAACTCAAAAGGGTCAAAAGAAGCTCAAGACTGGAGATAGGGTTCTGGACTTTGACGGGATCGAAACTCGAAACCCACCTCAACCAGGTTGAAAAACTTGTAGTCAGACGATGGACTAGAATTAATGTGAACTTGAAGAAAAGAACGGCATGAGGTAGACAAACCTGGGCAATGACAAAGCACTCACAGACATACAAAAGATGCAAAGCAACTATAGCCGACGAACAACTTGCTTTCAACAATTATAATTGTCTGTTCATATTTTCCCCAGCAACATGAATCACGCTTAGACTGTGACTCATCAAAGCACTGCAGTATCTGAAATACAAGGATATTAGATTTAAGATTTGAGTATCTCAAGAAGCAGAAGGGAATCAAGGTTATGCATGAAGAGGACAAAGAGCAGGATATATATCATCACCAATGAATGAGAAGATACCCAACGTTCTTAATCAAATATACCAAGTTATATAGAATACCAAGAAGAAGTCATGGAAGTGTCTGAAAGTGGATTTGTGGTCACAGAGATTGGTTGAGTCAAGCAAGACGATGAACAACCAGACTATCCACTAGCACCAGAAAACCTGACTGGCATTTTGTTTGGATTTCTGTTTCCCTGCTTCTTTGCTTCTCTCTTTGCTTCTTTGCTCTTTGCTTTTCTGTTTTTCTTCCTTTCTGTGCTTCTCTGCTTCTCTGCTTCTTTGCTTTTCTGCTTCTTTGCTTCTCTGCTTCTCCACTGTTCTGCTTCTCCGCTGTTTTCTGTTTTTTGCTTCTCAAGCCTGAATAAACCCCAAGTGCATAATATCAATACACCCTAAACCTATCCTAAACAAACACCACACCAACCCCCAACAAAACTAAAACAACTTTAAGTAACCCCTTAAAAAAACCTAAAAGCTTACCCCAGACCAACCCTAAATAAACCCAAACTACAACGATAACCCCTAAACAAACCCAAACTCTGAAACTTACTGTATATACCCTAAATAAACCGTAAACCAGGCCTAAATCGATCATACACCCACCCCACTTAGATCTTAAACCAAGCCTAAATAAGCCCTGAACAAACTCTAACTAAAACCAAAACCAACCTTGAATAGATCCTACATAAATCTTAAACCACGGCTAAAAAAACCCTAAACCAACCCTACATAGATCCTACACCAACCTAAATAAGCCCCAAACCAACCATAAAACTAACCCTCAAAAAAACAAAACCAACCCTAAACCAATCCGAAATAAACACCCAAACAAACCTAAACAGACCCTAAATGGACCCTAATCGCAAAATAACATCCAACATGAAAGTTTGAGCACCAAAAAAATTGCAAATAAAAATGAGAGGTTCGAACTCCAAAATGTCGCAGTACCGTTGAAATGGCAGCTTCCAGCTCCAAAATGCTGCAAATTGCAAGGAAAACGGACAGAACAGCAGATCCCCCCAAAATCCCAAAACGGCAAAAAAGTAATTCCCAAAACAATTCCGGACCCATATTGAAACACTCTTAGCGATTTACTACAACGAATATGGTAATGACGACTTGGGTGACTTGGATTCCACTTGGAGACAACTTCAAAGAAGTATATCCTGTGAAATGCGGTGAAATACAGAAGACACTATCTGATGGAGATTTTGAAGATGTTTTGATGAATCACATTTCTACCAGTATCAACATTGTCAATCACCTTGAGCAGAATAGACGTGAAACAGACAACTCGTGGTTTACATATTTGTTTTGAAACGGAAACCTGAATGGCTTAAAGAGATCCTGCCGTTATCCAACAGAAATTAGGGGCGACAAGATCAACAAAATGAACATGTAAACATCCGGCAGAATACTTGTAGATGGCTCTAATGTCTATTGTATTTGCTTCGCAAGCTGCTTCCATGACGGGGGAAAGTCAATGTCTGAAAAGGAACCCCCAGGACTAGGAGGAGGCTAAACCGAGTCCTTCCGGTTTCCGAGCAGGGCTTCTCCTTCACAAAATCTCAGGGGCAGGATGAAGTCAGTTGATGTACAACAGACCCCAATGATCTCTAGCGATCTCCTGTTGGGTACGCCTCAAACAAAGGTGTGTGAATGGATCCACAACTTCGAAAATATCTAGTTCTAGGATCTGAAACCACCCCAAAATAGGGGCCAACAATTTGAAGCCGGGCCTAAATAAAGACTGATTCTGGTACATCCCAATATTGACATATCTATCTATCTACAGAATATATAATTATATAATATATATATATATATTATATATATGTATAATATAAATCTACAAAGGGTCCCATGTTCAGGTCCTTGCAGCATGCTATGACTTCTCGCATAGGAGACTGGCTGGAAGTTGGTGCACGGCGATGTCTTTCGGAAACCGCGCTTCGGCAAGCTGCTGGCGGTCTCTGTGGGATCCGGCGTGGCTTGGAGCGGACTTTGCGGATGGAAAGGGATTGGGATTGACAGCAACGGCTGGAAACGTTGAACAACGTAGCAATGTATTCAAAATATATCTCATATGGGCATTGTTGTCATTGTTATATATATATATATATCTAATATCTATATCTATATATATATATACATTGTATAAGGGCGCTATATGAACTTTAGAAAGTTATGGGTCCACGGCTCGGACCCCCGTCAGGAACTCGGGGTTGGAACTCGGGTGCCAGGTGCAGATCCTGGGGATGTCGATAGTGACGCTGATCTTTGCCCTTTTGGGTTTCCTGTCACCTGCGCACAGGCGCCAGGATGGTGGCAGTGGATGGTACTTGTGGACAGAATCACAAGAGATGAACGGAGTTGAAGTTTTTTTCGGTTCAAATGGATTGATCTGGGTAAATTATAACGACCTCACTGCGACCTCACTGGAATCATGGTTAGTAAGGGAAATCATCCCCAAATGGCCTTAATTCAGGTTAGTGAAATATTATAATTTACCCAGATTGATAAACATTGAGACTCATGGATATCAAGAGATGTGAAATGGATGATATGAAGGAATCCTCAGATCTGGATGTCAGGGGTGGCCTCCTACAGTCCATGATGATGCTGTTCACCTTTATGGGAGTGCCTCGGTTCAAAAAAACCTCAGAGCTGCACGATGCTGCACGTCATTTCCAGTTGCGCTGAGGTGTTTGGAGGCTATTCCTCTGTGCCCTGGCTGAGGGATGCGATGGATTTTTTATGGTTTCTTTAGCTGAGAATCACTTGGCATGTCATCATGGACATATCCTGATTCTGGAAGAGTGTTTTGGCCTCTTGTTTTGTTTTTGCCTTAAAAGAATGTGCCACTGATGAAAAAACATATTCAGTGGTTACAAAGAAGGTGGACAGTCGAACCAGTTGATATTAGTTGTGCTGAGTTTGGTTGTCTTTGTGGCGTCACTACACATCTTTGCCCTCTGGGCATATTTACTTCTGTACTCATTTCACAAGTCTGCTGTGCTCTGAATACGACATTAGGTATGTCAGGTATGTTTCGTTGGAAACACAATCCAACTTGCCTAGAAGGCACTTTGATAAGATGGACCTTGTTCCATCTTGTTCCTTGCTATTGGGCATAGCTTAGTTATGCCCAGCCATGCCCAGAATCGTGGAAAATCTGTGGAGGCCAGGCTCTACAAGGTCTTCAATGGAGAGGACTGGAAGACCAACACCCTGATGACGGCCATGTTGTACCCAGGGATCGGAGCTGAGAACCTGATTGGAACGAAAATTTTGGGCATGAACCTGGCTTTGTCCCAAAAAAAATAGATGGATGTAGATGGATGTATCACCAAACTTCGCCCATTGATTGCCGATTTTGACTGGCAAATGATGATCAAACTATGTTGATTTTTTGGGATCATTTTTGGGACAAAGTTCAGATGGGCCCTGCTGAAGCTTATTTTCTGTGACCTGAGGGTGATCTTTCTGGTCTTTTTCATCCTGAACTTGTTCATTTGGGGTCAGAAATCCTCTGGTCAGATGCTCAGGGATGCTCAGGGATGCTGCTCAGTCACCAAATGGACCGTCGGATGGGTTTGTGCTTTGAAGATGTGGCAGGTGCCGTGCCCTTCACAACGATGTTTGCGCTGTTGGTTCTGTGGTTTGGTATTTCTGTGCGGCAGCCTGGACATGCCTGGACCACCTCGAAATGTCGCTGCTCGATGTGGATGTATCAGGTATTTGCCTGGTATTTCTGCAGCTGCCCGATTCAACATCTGCAAAACCTGGTCTAGTAATTCTTGGAATATGCAGACTCATGGACCATGAACATTTCCAGAGAATTTTACCAGAAAAAAAAATAACCATGAGTCTCTTGCAAAAGTGACGAAAAACTCAGCGAAGTTGCCCTTCTAAGGTGCCCTTGGTGTTCTTGGGCTCATACTTTGGATTTCGTCGAGAGGCACACAGCGCGTCCCGTTGCGCGTCGCATTGCGCGTGGCGTTGCGCGCTTTTTCCGCAGATTTTCGTCCAGTTTGGACACTTCCAGACACTTCAAGACACTGCACACCCAGATTTTCTGAGTTTTTTTGGATCTGAGTCTGGTTTGAACGGCTTTCTAGCCTGCCCCTTGCCTTTTGTCATCCTGCATCGACCTTGCGTACCTAGAATTGATGAATCTGGCTGAAGGTGGGCGAGAATTTGCCAACACCTTTGGCACACACACACACACGTTTATGCATGTTTGTATATTCGTATATATTCGTAGAGTTCCACATGATTCCACATTATTCTGTTTGAACTTGACCCATAGGCTCAAGTGGGTGGTTCTCCACTTGCCTGCCCTTCGACTAAAGTTCCTCCGTGTTGTTTTGTTTTGCCTTGCCGCGCTCATATCAGACATTGATTCGACATCGATTCGACATCGATTCGACATCGATTCGACAGTATCGATAGGTATCGATATCAGGATCTGAAACTATGGAGAGATCGGAGAGTTTGGAGGTTTCGGTGACAGTCCACAGCCTTGGAGGGGACATCCTTTTGGAGACATGTTCGGTGTCTTCGATCCAGGATATCCATGAGCTGGCAGATGCGTCGGCTCAGAAGCTGAATGCGAAGAAGTGTCACATGGTCTCCTCTGACGGGAAAATCATCTCTGAGTTTTTTGATCTGAAAAATCACGATCGACTCACAGCAGTGGCGCAACATGTGAGCCCTTTGTTGCAATTAGTCGGGTTGCAGAACGCACAGGGCGACCTGGTGGACGCAACATACGCAACTGTACCGATGGAATTGCTGGAGCAGATAGCTTTGGAGGTCGCTTCTGGGCTTGCGCACATCGCCTGTTGGTTCGGAGGTCCTCAGCATCTCGCTGGGTCTCCGAGTCTTCCCTGGAGGTTCGGCTCCTTACCGCCTCCTGGTCCTTTCAATGACGAGATGCGACTGAGGATTGGGCCCGGCACTCCCGTGGTACATCTGGGCGCCATGGTGGTTTTGTCCATCACAGATGGTTTGCCATGTTTTCCTGCCGTGCAAAAGATCAGAGCAACCAGAGAGCTAACAGTTGATGACATCATCAAGATCCGATCTGCCCATCAAGATGAATGCAACAAGAACAAAATGAAGTTGCTGGAACAGCATCCAGGGGCAGATACAGTGCTGGCTATCATGAGCTTGGTGAGGTATACAGCGGAGGAAGTGTTCTTTGAGCTTAGGCACCGCGCCGTGAAGCTTGGAGAGGACATCTAGGAAGACGAGGTGGACTCTCAACTCATCTCGACTCGTCGACTCAAATTTCAAGTGACTCAAATGAAACGACAACGAGACTCGATTCGTCGAGTTTCGTCGAGTTCCGTCGAGTTTCGTCGATTCCTTGGCAAAACTCGGCGCTCTCATTTTGTTTCGGGAAGATTCCGAATCCTTGGCCTCCATGGGTCGGGTAGAGGGGTTTCTCTGTGACAGCAACTGGGTCGTAAGCGAAATTCGGAGCATGCCCTCGGTGACATGCTGTCCCTGTGATAGGGAACAGGAAAATGGACACATCGGACAGGATATATCAAAGGCAGTCACAAGCTTTCATAAGCAAATATTACCAACATCTACTCTATACCATCAATACTTATCATCTACTCATATAATAATTATAATATATATTATATTATATCATACTAAGTATATAATTTATATTACATATGTCATATCCACTTTGACTTGCTTCAGAAATCGAGAATCCTTTTGTCCGGGAGACTCGAGGAATTTATCAGTTGCAAGTGGCTATTCCTTGCGACCTTGACCCAGATGACCCAGAATCAAACCTAGTCCAGCGACGGTCTGTGCGTCGCTGATAGTCGTCCTTGTCTTTCACCATTTGGAGATTATTTTTCCAAGACTGCTGACCCGAATTGATGATAGGATGGAAAAGCGACCGCGGGGAGTGATGACTGGATTGTCTTTAAATCAGCAAAGGGCTTGCGAGAATTGGCAGACCAGGAGAAAACTTAAGAGTGGTGGAACTTGCATGATTTCGAATCATGTTCAAGAACTTTTGGGCATTTTTTCCCCACATTTTTCCAGATTTTTTCCATTTTTTCCCGGCCAAGTTCTGCATTTTTTCCGACTTTGTCGCCGTGTTGTGAAAGCCGCTGCCTCAGGCCATTGAGCTGCCGGTGCGCACGAATCATGTGCCGAGGCCCGGCCTCATCCACTGGTTGAGTGTTGGTTGAGTTGAGTTGGGTCAAAATCTCTGAGTTTCCATGGTTTTATGATGGTTTTTATATGTTTTTATGAGTGTTTTAAACTCAAAGTATGGCCAACATATGGCCGACATATGGTTAACATTCACGGTCAACATTTAAGGGACATTCAAAGGATTTTTACTTCTGACCAGTGTTTCTTGGATGAGAAACTTCAGGGCAAGGGATAAACCCTTGGCTCGTTGTGTACTTTGATTCAATTTCTTTCTAAGATGACTTGCTGTGCCGCGCTGATCAGAGTTTTTGTGAATGCTTGGGTGTGAATTTTGTAGCAATGAAAATTTCCTTGTCAATTGGATAGTGTTGCACTCTGCTTGGTAAGTTCCTATTTTTTTACCATAAAATCATAGGAGTCACGGAACTCATATTTGAGAGGTTTTTCGCACGGCAAGACGCATGTTGCAGTGAAAGCATGAGCTAACCACTACTTTGAATCAGATTACACCAACCTGTCATTATTTTTTGTCCAAGGGTTGGTGTCAGAGTTGTCCGCGCAGATCCATAAAACCCAACTTGGGCTGATCTTTCTTGGTGAAACATGACTCAATGCTTCACTGTCCGGTTGAACCTGCTGCATCCACGTGTGAATCACATCACAACACCATGACTTCCACGACTCCGTGGGCATGGCGCGCTTTCCGTGGGCCATCGTGGGTCTGGGGCCTGAAGATTTGGGAGTCTTGAACCCGTGGTCAGATGTGCAAGAAACCGGTGAAACAGTGAACCTTTAGGACCCCCAAATCCACCAGTTCATGGTCTTCGAGTCTTCGAACGGCTAAGAAATTCATTGGGCCACCATGCACCATATCCAGATCCAGCTGTATGCTGTCAGGGAGGACCATGGAACCCTGTCATTTTCGCCGCCACATTTGCAGCTCTTTCTAAACGTGAAATCCCCGGCTCGGGGTTGCCCCAGGCAGGGGTGGGACACTGTTCATCATTCAGAAAATACTGAGGAGTTTCAAGAGGCATTTTGGTGCGAGTAGATGCTTGGAGAACCCCTGAACTTAAGAAAATCCAATGATGTGGTTTTTTGGGCCACATCTTCCAAAAAACGGGACGGCTTATGACCAACATCACCTTGGCCCAAAAGAAATCATCCGTGTTTTGGGGGCGTTCGGACAGAACAATTGGGTCCACATCATGATTCTTGAACCTGATATATGGCACATGGCAGAAACATGGCAGGTTCGGTAGTGCCACTTTGCGGCACCAAACGGCGGGCGACTCAGTGGGGAAACCCTGGGGGAAATCCCATCGGATTCGGTGCCAGCTGAGGACGCCATGCCGGGATCCGTTGCGGCCATGTCCACGGGCAGTTGCAAAAGCCAAACGCGCTATCGTACCTTGGAGATGGAAAGATGGGGTCTGTAGTTGATGGTTTTTGATGGTTTTTGATGGTTTCTGATTGATGCTCATTCTGTAAAACTTGTTTTTTCCTAGAGGAATGTTTGTGGCAGTCATCAATTTAAATGGAAGAATCGATGCGGTGCAAATCAAGCAGCTTTCCACACTGCTGCGAGTTGCTTGGAGAGTTCTCAGTCTCTCCTGGTTGAGGCACCGTGAATCACAACGCAGATGTGGATGAGACACTGTTTGGTTCTGCCTCTCGGCAATGCCAACTTTGGGTTGGTGAAAAGAGGGATCCGAGGCCCCAATCCCACTGTTTGCCCAGGAAATTAAACATATTCAGAACATTTAAGAATACATTTAACATATTTTATCATACTAAGCACTATTAAGGGGGTTTGTGATGGTTTGTGCCTTTTTTTGGGTTCCCAGAATATCTCGGTTTCCAAATTAGTTGACGTCCCTTGACTCTGGAAGATCAGAACCTTGAGCACTGAGGCTCGCGACAGGACAGTTCGCAAGGAGGATGAGAGAGAAGTGATGATTGTAGGAAAAGACACCGCCCCCTGGCACAGGTGACGAAGTTATTTTTTTTCCCTTTTTTCGCAGGTCAACTTCCAGCAATGAAGGGTTGGAACCATTTGGAACCAAGGAAGATTGTTGGTGACATCCAAACATCCCTAAGATTTGGTTGGGTATTGTCCAGGAGTTAATGTTAATTGGTTGGACGTTGGAATGGTTAGATATCTTCCCTATTTTTCGGTGGTGTTTTTGGCATCCAAGCATCTGATTCTTGGTCACATCACCTCACTTAAACTTAGATCATCTTCCTTTTTTTGATGTCCCCAAGCCAAACCAGCAAGTTTTCTTGGCTTTGTGAGTTGTTTCAAATCTACAATGGAACCATGATTTATTTTTCCATGAAATCTAAGTTATCAGTTTACCTGCAACATTTTCATTTCAATCCAGTGAAGCTCCAGTCAAATTTTTATTCAGAAACTTTGGAGCTTTGTTTCAAGCAGGTTTCAGGAATCATCATCATCATCAGCAGCAGCAGCATCAGCAGCTCAGGTTATGGTGCGCAAGAGGTACGACAGGCATGCCAAGGCCAGCTCAAAGGAGCAGGCGGTGGTGATCGCGGCCAGTGAGCTGAATCGCTTGCGAGCCTTGGGTTGGAATGGTTGGAATGGTTGGAATGATTGGGTGAAAACACCCATTTCTGTTTCCTGATGATCCTGATGTGAGTATATGAGCTAGAAATTTTTATGAGCTCGGATGAACATAGTTGGGATCTTGATATTGGGATTGGGGGATTGGTGGGCTGAGTCCCAGAAATGGTGTTGCAGAGACTTCCAACTAAATCAAAACAGCAAAACCCAGTGGATGGTTGCGCTGAGGAGAGAATGCCAAGCTCTTGACCAAGGAAGAGGACGGGACATGCCCTTCCCGAGACGGGCATGCGGGAGGTAGTGGCAGTGGTGGAACACCACTAGTGACTTAGTGCGACGTGACAAGCAGCCACGTGTCACACTATGCAGGTGTACCTGTTGTACCTGTTTTTTTTTTTTAAATCTTGCATCTTTGTGGGTTGGTTCAAATTTTCACGAACATTTTGCAGGAGATTGAGCAGAAGGAGCGTGAAGCAGAGGCCGAAATGACGCCTGATATTTTGTGGTGTTTCAGAATGGTGGGTCAAAGATCAGAGCAGCCCACCTGGCATGTCTTGGTCCTTTTACTTTTTCAGTTCCGAAATTCAATCCCACCTGGATATGCGTCAAAAACATCAAGATCTAAAAAGACCTCAGGGACCCAATATTCTGTGGTCAACTAGGAGCAAAACCACCTGATTCTGAATTCCATTCCATTCCATTCCATTCCATCTTTAGGACCCTTGGAAGTGAGAAACTCATTCAGGCACTTGCAGAGCGGCAAGCCAAATCCATTGCGCGGAAGGAGAAGATTAGGTCAGGGGATAGCTGAGGGATAGCTGAGGGGATGGAGAATGATGACGTGTGATCTCCTGCAATGGAGGTCCAATGGAGGTATCCTTTGACAAGGTTTTTAAATTTGGCTTGAAGTGAGTAGAAACTGTAGCAATCACTTCTGATACGATTGATATGGCTGTAACATGTTAGAAGTTAGAACATGTTGGAACCACTTCGAATTGCTGATCCATCACATGTTTCTGCACGAAAAATAAAACAGCCAAGCACGAGCGCTTGCATTCTATGGGACTTGCTGGACTGGAATTAATGTCCAGCCGGCAAGACTCCCAGGCAAATGGAAGAAGAGCGCAAGAGGAATGCAATCCAGAGCGAGAATGCAAAGGACCAGAGACTGTCCCAGCTTCACCTGAAATAAAACACATTCCTGATAGCTTTTTTGATGCAAAGCTGTTCTAGAGTCTGCTAAATTTGCTTCCAAGTCTTTGCGTTGGACCCCTTTGACTGGAGATATGTTCAAATGACATAGATATTTACCATATTTTACCATATTTTACCATGGTTTTGAGTTTTATAAATCCATTTCTGTCAGTTTTTTCGTTCCTTTTTTTGAGTTAGCGGATCGAAGAGCCGGCTCGTGGAGGACGCTCGTGGTCCTAAGGGCGGAGTTCTGGAACGCGCCAAGCAGATGTTGGATGAAGACATGGACGATGCCGCTCCGCGACATTTTTGGGCTCCAATCAGTCAATCAGAAGCCCTGGGTGAAACATATCAACTGGCGAGGATGAATTTTGATGGATCTTGGGTTTTGTTTGGTTCACTTGCCCTAATTCTTGCAGCATTTGATTTTTTTGGGGAACGGAAGAGGCCTGAGATTTGTGGATGAGGTGAAGCATATGAACCAGATGATGCTTTACTCCAAGATTGTCACCATCAGAGATGCGCAAATCCAAGAGAAGTCCCTTGGACTAGCAATTTGAGTAGCTTTGTGAAGCAGCATCTCATCGAAATGACTGCCAAAGACGATCAGCCGGGGTTAGCCTCTCCCTTAACATGTTTTTGATTGTTTTTGACATGTTTGACTAGTGCATTATGTGCGCTCTCCCATCAGATGATATTGGCAAGGTATTCAACAATCAACATTTTATCATTTGTTTGATAATAATTATTGTGTCAGTTGTGCCCCCATTTCTGATGCTCACCAGACTCAATGGAAAGGCGCATGGTGCAGGGTGAAAGAGAAGAGGAGGACTTGGCAGCTGAAAATGTGTGAAAATGGCTTTGTGTGAAAATTGGGTACACATTTCAAAGGAGGATCATCATTTTTCCCACTGAAATGGATTGAAATGGCATGTTCTTTGGGTATCACGGTATTTTTCGAAACCTACAGGGGGATGGGGCAAAGCTATCAGCCCCTAAAATGGATGATGGTGATGATGCAGTATCCCCAAATGGCAACTGGAAATTAAGCAGCATGCCAGGTTGGACTGGGTAGTGTCGTGCCCATGCTGGCTACCAATATGCAACCAGTGCAGGGTGCATAGAAAATTGGGCCCAAACACCAAAGTTTGATCCTCAGAGATCCATGTCTGGTACCTTGTCAAATATGTTGGGAATGTCACATCGCAAAATCACCAATGTTGCGTTGATGAAATCCATGTTTTCTTCGTTGAACTATGGATTCTGATGGTTCTGATGGTTCTCATGTTGGAGTTAGTTCGATCCATGGTATATGCAGGAACGTCATTTGGATGCGATGATGGAGATCGAACGCCTCAAGGCCAGGTCTTCCAAGCAACAAAATTCGGCATCCGCATAGAGTCCATAGATGCACAGGATATGTCCGGATATGACCAGCTATCATGGTGCCTCATACTTGCATATTCTGTGACCAGCTATGACCAGCTCATACTTGCCTCATACCCAGTGTTCGGGTTCCGGCATTTTTCAATGTGTCCTACTGGTCCAGGCACTGAAAATGTATGAGGTGCGAGAGCAGGTGTTGGACTCAGATGAATGGGACCTTCGTCACAACTATCATCACCACCCCAAGAGGGATGTAGCGGGTTCGTTCTGTGACACAGGAAGCAATCCTTCAATTCAGCACGTTCTGTGGCCGTTCACAGGAGCGTCTTCAGAGTCAACGATCTGGCGCCAAAGTCATCATCGAACAGATCAAGGTGCAGCATGATTCCAGTGAAGTTCATTTGAGCTTAGACAGTTAAGATGCGTAGCAAAAAATGGTACCAGTCAAACAACAGATAGGTGAAAAGGGCCCGACAGGTATGTATATCATATTTATCATATGATATGATAATATATATATATATATATATTTGTAATTACATTTTATGTACATATACATACGGAATTGATTGGGTTCATCTGTGATGTTTTCTACACATCAAAGCGGACCCCTGACACAAAGGCTTGTGTTCAAACGTGTGGGTATCAAACTTAACGGCCTGATCTTTGGAACGCAAACGGACTTGTCCGTTCATTCCCTTTTGGACAGTATAAATCCACGATAAACTCTACACTAAACTCACTAACCCAGCAAAGCAGTACTGAAACCGACATCTGACAGAAAGGACCCATGGCCGCCGCTCCGCCAGGATCGCCAGGCGCAGCGAATGAAGGAGGAGGAACAGCGTGATCAGGAGATCACATGAGATCGCATGAGACATGATTTGTCGCGATCAACGACCAACATGGACATTAAAACACTCCCCATTGGCCCCGCTGGTATCTGTATCGATTATCGATTAGATATTGCAAAATATCGATGAAATTGCAAACGATGTAAGATTTCTAGAGATTTTCTAGAGTCCTAGAGATTTTCTAGAGATTTCTAGAGATTTCTAGAGATTCCCGTATTTCCGTTGATGAAATCTCAGGAGCGTGCCTTCGTGCTGAAGCAGATCGAATCCTTAAAGGCCGAGGAGGTCGAACAACAGCATCTCGGCGGAGGTAATGGCTGGCTGTAAAAAAACCATTGGAATACCATGGGGATATTGGAGTTTTCTATGAAGAATTCTGTCTTGATGGTTAACATATTTGATAACATGTAACTTATTAATACATGATATACTAGTGTCCATATATGATAGATATATCATGTTGATGTACGTTTACGTATAGATTAAACATCGCCATCAACGGTGGAGATTACCGACAGTCCCATGAGTTGTTTGAGCTGCCCCGAGGCAACAAAAGAAGCTGGCAGCCGAGCGTCTGATGCAGGAGGCGGCTACATCAGGGTGGCCATCGGATCTCTGAGGATGTCAACCAAATTGGGGAGACGGTGGCCATCAGCATCTTGATTTTTTGGTAAGATTGGTAAGATTGGTAAGGGATGGTAAGGGGGGGTGTTAAAGGAACAAACTAATTACTGTAGCTGTTAGATTTTTGATGAAATCCCTGACTATGTAGCAAAACGCAGCCTGCCGTTCTCCAAAAATTCAGATCAAAAATAGCTGGTAGATGTTCAGATCCAAAGATGGTGAGCTGATTTCGTCAGGTGAACGAAGCGAACTCAGCCGCTATGAAGATCAAAGAGGTGGGATCTGGTGGGATTTGGTGGTCAAAGCCACCAAGAGACCATGGGGTTGATGAGCGTTGATGAGGCTTGAGGAAAAAAAAGGGGGCAGAAATGGGTTCAATATATGTTTTTTTTTCCAACTTTTTCCCCATGCCAAGCTAGTTGTAGCAAGTGATGTGGATAGAATCGGGTTCGGAACAGCTTGGTATCCCTATGATTAAGGACCATGGACGGCGGCGGGTGTGTAGCGAAGCAAGTGCTACGAGGGACCGACACCTGAACTCACCTGTCCGAGGAGAAGATGCTGGCGGAGAAGTTGGAAGAACAGCAACTTGGGAAGTCATCGGAAAGACATGGAAAGACCATGAGAATTGCTTGGAAAATGCTTGGAGAATGGTTGGAGAATGGGGAAAATGATCAGATGATCAAGAGATGTGGGATTGAGATTTGGTGCCAGGAGCATTCGCAGCATCAAGTTTCTTTATCCACGAACACAGGGAAGGCATGTTCTGCTCTGAGGAAGATCATTGAATACCAGGAGGCGAAGGACGCCGAAGGGTGGAATGAGGGACGAAAAACTGAGAGGATTCAATGTATAAAATGCTCATTTGAGAGTTCCTTGTTTACCGTGCCAACTTTGCTGGGGGTTTACCGATCTCATTGGGATCAATCAAGACGGGTTTCTTCAGGTTCTGGGCAAAAACAACTGCCAAAGCCATCAACAGTCATCACTCAGGAGGCGCGTGAGCGTGAGCTGGAGGCTGAGAAAGTTCGTCTGGCTGCAGACAAGGTTGGAACTCCAGAAATGGCGGGTTGTCTCGTTATACGTCGTTGCACTGCGATGATTTCTGATTGAGGGATCAAAAAAGGTAGGTCTATAGAATTCTATAGATATTTCACCTGCCTTAATCACGGAGGCACAGTGGGATATATCGGCAGCATCGATCAAGCGGTAAGCAGCATATAATCCCTTGCAGGAGCGGGAGACTGCCCGGCTTCGTGCCATGTAGGGAACCCAGCAGAGTGGATGTGCCATGACAAGCTGATGCGACGGGTTGCATCGGGTTACTCACGAGACGGAATGGACATCCATTGGTTTTAACAGAGACTGATGATTGCAGTAAAGTAGAAGGGATGGACATCCATTGAGATCAATGGATAGAGTCACCATTGGTTCTGTCAAATCCTAATAGTGAGCTTATTCACCATTGGTGCATTGGTGGGCACTGCTCCTTCGTACTAGGTAGATCACCTTCCTGATTGAGGTATGACAGAGATAACACAGGTACTATATATATATAATATTTCATGATATTACCAATGGTATATAATGATATATCTCCATTTTCCTTGGTTGACCCCAAAATTTCGTACCATTTCCCAACAACTATAGCAGGATGGGACTGTGAAATTGTACGACCATTTTTGGATTACTAAAAACATCTATATGAAATATCATTAAATATCATGTGATCATAGATTTTACATGATTTTGCATTAGATCGATCATTTTTTTTGGGGTTTTGCTGCACAAAAACATCCGCCAAATATCACTGATCTGAGGCAAGAGAAGGCGCAAGATAAGGCGGCTGAGATGGATGCCTTGCGTGCGAAGCGTCCGGCGACCCAGTGGGGCCTTATTAAAAGTGCACTGGGCGGGACGAATCGATTCAGTTGTGGGGTTAACATCATGTTATATGTTAAACATCACCTGAAAATCGATTTCCGCTTACAACTTCTAGACTTCTACTATCATCAACTATCATCAACTATCTACAACTATCTACAACTATCTACATTAAAGTTCAATGATCTACGTTTTACCGATCTTAAAGTTGTTTGTCTTACTTCAATGGAGCAACGTTTTTCCCATCTCAACGGCTGACGAAATCTCCCAGGAGCCATGGAGGCCGCGGAACGCACTGCGCGGCAGAAGGAGCAGGCGGAGAAGGACAAAATCGAGCGGATGAACGCCGATCTGAAGGAGGTGCTGGTGATCTGCTGGTTGTGTGGCTCGGGATCTGGTGATGATTTTTGATGGTGATGGATTGTGATACCACAATATGTAATATAATGTAATACACATGATATGTTATGTTATGGTATGATACTGAGGCAGTATGGATACTAATTCAACATAATTCAACTATATTCAAGTGGTTCAAGTGATGTTTGAGTTGACATTTTCCATCCGGAAAATCTGCAGGCTCGACTTCAGCAGCAGGCCGAGAAGGAGAGGCGCCTGGGTGAACAGGCCAAGTTCGAACGTGATGAGTTTGAACGAATCATCGAGGCGGGGATTGGATCGTGGATTTCAAGTTGACTCAGTTGACTGATGTGTTATTTCATTTACGATGTTTATGATGTTTCATGTAACATCATGTGACTCTTAAAATTTGTTAAGCAACTCACAATTTGAACATTTGAGCGTTTTTGTATTGCTTGGGTGGTTTATTTGTTTTAAAAAACTCCAGTCACGGAGTTTCACATCCATCTTCAGAAAACTTGGTTGCATCAATCGTCATCTCTGAAGGGAAAAATCCTTTTCCGAGCCAAGTCGATAGCAAAACTCCGAAACATCCCAATGATTTCCATTTTCTTCATTTTTCTTCCTCAACAAAGACATTTTCTGAATTTTGTTTGCGAGGTGCAGATGCAGCAGGAAGAAGCCGAGCGACAAAGGCAGGTGGAAGAACACCAGTTGCGAGTTCAACATTCCCAGGAGCTGACGACAATCCAAAGGTTTGGTGGAACTTAGAACTTTTAGATACTTTTAGTGAATTTTTAGATATTTTTAGTGTATCAAAGATGATCAAAGTCACCTTTTTTTGGGTGAAGAGGGCTTTTTTCAACGATGGACATACCAGGTCCTCATGTTTTGGCTTGATCATTTCATCCAAAAATCGTCATCTTCTGCCGGGTTTTGGCGAAAGACCTGATATCTTCAGGAGCTGCGCCACCAGATTGCTACGAGAGAGGAGAAGGCCTATCAGGACTGGTTACCATCAGAATCCATCAGATATCTGGGGGTTGGATGGGCTGGCTTTGGAAACATCGCCTATAAAAATGGATAATTCTCAGGGGATTTTCCATTCCTATCATTGATACTTGTTCAACCCCAAAGAAATGGAATATTCACAGCCAGTTGACAATGGAAAACTGATGTAAGCTGATCCACCTCGTGAATTTCTGGGAAGGAGCGACGCGACTTCCTTGAAGAGGGTAATGCCGTCCGCGCGTCCATTGGCAACGAACGGAAAAAGCGCGGGCGCCCAGAGCCAACTTTCGTGCAGCAACTGGTTTCGGTAGCACAAATTCCACATAGGTCTTACATGGTATTTCACCAGAAGTTACCAGTTGGTAACACATTCCCATTTTCTTACATGGTATTTCCAGAAGTTATAACCCCATATAACCCCCAGAGGTTGTAGCCTTGCCTGCCTTGTTGAGACCCACTTCAACCTCTGCAGGTTGGAGAAGATCAAAGCTCGTGACCTGGCTGCGCTATGCGGTGTCTTGGGATCTTGATGATCCACTGAAGTTCAAGATTTTCGGTATAATTCATCAATAATCTGATGATTCATGATATATTAGATGATATTAACATGAGATTAATATATTAACATATGATATTAACATATGATATAATATATGATATTAACGTATGATATCAATATATATATATAATATATAATATATAATATATATATATATATTAATTGAAATTGAGATATTTGAAATGTTCATCAACAATTCAACGGGGTAACCAGAAAACTTTGGTTAAATCTGGTGATTTGTGTGTTTTTATTCTACTGAAACATAGTTGTGGTAACGCTGCGGCAGGGTATCTAGATTCTATAGATACATTTGGGAACCCTTGGGTCCGCCACATATCGACAGGGCATGCGTGGGTGAGGTAAGATCGATGAGCTCAAGAAGAGTGGTGTGCCAGGAAAGTATTGGGCCGAACTCGCAAGGCATCAGCGAAATGGTCCCAGAAAATTGGGGGTCATGGGTCAAGGTTAAGGCTAAGGAACCATTAGGAACTTGAAAAAGTCACAGATAGTGGTGACCATCAACTTTCCCATTAGGTCATGAAAACCGACAGGGAGAAGGCACTGACACTGGAAACATGCTTCATTGAACAATTTCAACATAGTGGGATGTCAAACACATATATTTACATATATCTTCAAAAACCCTCTTCAAGTGCTTTTAGAATTTTTTGGATTCTTAGAAAAGCCATATTTCTTCAACGTTCCCTTAACACCCTTTATGAGAATTGACCATCTTTCCATCGCAGGAAGAAGATTTCCATCTGAGAGGCATCGAAGTATGCAATCTCTCAGGATTCAATGCCGAGACACCCCGAAAGTCTGGAAAGAGACTGACTCGATGACTCACATCAGTGACTCAATGGATTGGTTCGTTGGGGAAAATTTACCAGTGAAAACCCGAAAATCCCCATGATCTTCATGGGAAAATCTATGGCATCTATGGTCTCCGGTTAAGATTTTCCCGAAAAAAACCAATCCATTGAATGACTCGATGACTCACTCACTGATGCCACTCAGGGGATCTCGATCTCAGGGCATCCTGAAAAATCGGCTCCGCCGTTCGTCCAGCGGAATCAGCGGAAGGGACCTGAAAAGCATAGTGAGATCAAACCATGGGCATCTGCGGCCATTCTGTAATCCCAACCCCTTCCAATATTCAAGCCCCAAAGACACCAGAAGTAGTAGGGGATGAAATCACACACTTTCTTTTAAAACATATCACATGATTCACCTTTTTTATCCTTTTTTCTTTCAGATTCATTGATTTTCACCTTCAAAAACCGCGCTTCCAGCTGTGGTTTCACCCTCCAATTGCCCGCCTTGAAAACGCGCCGACCGGGCGCAAATCCGCGCCGGGGGCGGTCAGGGGAACACTGATGCCCGGCAGATTGGGCCCGTCTCACCAATGTGAAGAAAACATGACGTCAAGATATTTATAGATATTGATAGATATTATGAGATGCATTGATTCATATTGATTCATATTGATTCACAAACACTCACCATAGCTGCATATACTCGATAAACTATGTCAGTCTATGTACCATATAGTCATACTTATATATAATAATATATTATACACATATATTATGTAGATGTATATATTCAATATAATTATTCATATACAATGTAGGCATTGAGCTCCACCATTTCCATTTCATGTTTCAAATCGCTAGAGAAGTGGAGCTCGACAGAGGCGCTCGGAAGCGAGCGAGAAATGCACGTCACTTCACCGTCCCGAAAAGTTTTTGCGTCGCGCGAATGCATTCACTGGCGATGAGGATTTATGGTTGGTAAAGCCAATAGAAAACTTCGTCTCCCATAGGGATTTATTGTTGGGTTTACCACATTAACAAACATTAACATACTGTACATTAACATACATTAACAACATACATTGACCACATTTTGATGGTGGGGAATTTGATGGTGCGGAATTTCGATTCATGGCCTTCGCCAATGTTGGACGTCAACTCAGGCATTTGGCTGGCCCACTTTTTCCAGTTGCAGACAAGACCTGAGAGAGCAGGTCTTCACCTTTGATTCAGTGCATGTTTTCAACCATGTTCAACCGAAAGTTGAACCGAAAATCATGGAATTCATGGAACATTGGATGGTTTTGAGACATTTTGAGACATTTTGAGACATTTTGAGACATTTTGAGACATTTTGAGACATTTTGAGACATATGAAATCCAACATGTTGGTCTTGGCTTTCAAGGCCTGGTATGACTTCACTTCACTGGCAGCACCGCGGAAGCGTGTGGAAAAAGTGGACCTGCGGTTACGTGGCTACAGCTCACCCGAAAATCGCCATGGTTTGAGGATGTTTGACGCTTTCAAGCGGGAAAGCTATGGGGGTTTCGCGGTCTGTGTGTCGGACCCTGGCTCTTGAAACATCTTGAAACCCCATAGCTGCAGCATGCTGCAGCCATGTGGACCCCGAAGCCAGGCAGATTCCATCGCAGGCCTGGTTTATGCAGCCAATGTTCACGTGGAAGCCTCTGATTTGCATCCCAGTGCTTTGGTTCCGGGAACATTTGAACCCGTAGCAGTAGCATTTTTGGATGGGACATTGGTGGAGAATTTATGTTATTATGATTTATTATGTTAATGTTTTTTTTGTTGTTTTTGGAAACGTTTTATGTAAAACTTGGTAGCCTGAGGTGCGCCGTGGGCGGTGTGCTGCCGTTCGGCGCTGTCTTCACGGAATTGTTCTTCATTATGCCCATGAGCCCAGGGGGATGCTGGAAAATGCTGTTCGCATGCCATGGAAAAACGTTGGGAGTCAAACCTCTGGGTTGTTATTATTTTCAAAAATGGAGATCAGTGGTGAATTTCATTTTTTTTTGGATGTAGTATATAGTCACAATGTCACAATCACTGTCGTTGAATCTCCCTCCATGGTACGCAGAAAGGTCGTCTTTATGGCAGCACCAGTTCTACTACCTCTTCGGCTTTTTGGCCCTGGTCTTTCGCCCGCAGATGGGATGACTCTCCCTGCTTCCAAGAATCGGTGATGGGAAAGGTTGGGTTGGTTGTGATTGGCCTTTGGGATTTTGCTTGAAAACGACGTGATAAAACCTTTCTGACACCGAATTCAGGTGGATTTTCAGAGCTATGTTGAGACGGATGGGTCGGGATGGGAGAGAAACAGCTGTTGTTTTACTGTAAGAACTCAGGTGCTGGTGATCCTTCTCATCACTTGTGCAGAGATCTCCATTGCGTGCGCGGCTGAGAGAAGTACGATCTGTTTGGAAAAATTGGACCTTCCCGGTGAAAAAAACCTGGTGGTTGAGGAGAGGGATTGAACTCAATGACCTGCAAATTGGATCTGGTTGGTGGTTTCAAACATTTTTTATTTTCCACAATATATGGGATAATCCTTCTTGACTAATATTTTTCAGAGGGGTTGAAACCACCCAACCAGGTATAAATTGTAGAGGTGATGGTTGGTAGTAGACCTGCAAATGTACAGCCCACCCCGAAATTTGTGGGATCTCACAGGCTGACGTACTTCCAACTGACAGCGGAGAACTACAACTGGTGGTGGAGGCTAGGGGTGAACATGGAGGAAGTGGACGTCATGTGGGTCTCAGAACTGGAACAGAACTGGTCAACTGTCATGGTTACCCCATGTTACCCCCAATTGAGGGCCCAGAGCCATTTGGAGTTTGGGAGTTTCCTGGGAATTTCCACATAAGTACTTCGAGTTTGGATTTTTCGTAGCTTGATGATGGTTGATGTGGGTTGTATCATGTTGCATCAAGTTAGATCTGAAGGAAAATTGATTGACCAGGTCGTTCATGGCCAGTGCCTCCTCCGCTGTCTATGCCCCTTGACAATGACTTGGATGGGGATGGCAGGGCTGCTGACATCCAGTTGGGATATATTTGTTTTTTCTGGAAATATCGGGGAACTGAATTAGAAAATATGATAAAATATGTTGTTATGATGGGACATCTCCAGAAATCACATCAGCCAAATACTTATAATACTTGGTCCCTTGAAAAAGAAGCCCTGAAAAACGCTGAAAAACGCATCTTTTTCGCTAGCCTGTTGGGCTCCGAAAGTCCGAGGTCTTCATGTATTCCATCATGTACTTCAGCACGCGGCTTTCAATTGATAAAATGGTGCTCCAGCCAGGGGACTGGATGGCCAGGATGGCCAGGATGGCCAGGATGGCTGACAGGATGGCCATGGGAAACACAAACACCATGGTTCAACTCTTGAAATTTGCACTTTCCGTTTTGCGATTGTATTATTTGTATTCGATGGACAAGTTTTCAGATGCTTTCAGACTTTCAGGTATCAACGTTACTATATTTCGGCTACATGTTCATTCTCTCCTTGATCTTTGGTTTGCTGACTGGCTCCATCGGCCTGCCGCGGCCTCAGAGACAGAGACAACGGATCGAAGCGCCACATGTGCTCGCTCGGAAGTCGTTGGGAAGTTGATCCGCACATTTCCCGAAAAAAAAATCCAGTTTTGGGCCAGTTTCAAGTTCCAGAGATTCCAATTGGTCCAAGGACAGCTTCCTTCTACTTTGTGAGGACCATTTACGGGTCCATCAAGGTTGACTGATGCTGGCCCTGATGGTCGCTGCCGTCAATTCTCTTCTGGGGCTACCAAAAAAGTCAACGATGTCGGCCACCTGAACCAAACAGCAATGAAGTTGGAAGGGTCTACGCAAGATGAGTGTTTGGTTGACGTCGAATGCTCACGTATTCACATGATTTCACATGTATTCACAGCACTTCAATAATTGATCTGTGGTTCCAAAAGACCATTACGAATCTGTCCTTTTTGCTCCGGTTGCGTTGCTACATTTTCCTCGAAATCATGGGCCGCAGCAGAGTTGTAGATAGTCAGACCGCAGGGTCCGCAGGGTTGCCAGCACGGCAAAGCGCCGTGGTCATTGGAGTCATTGGAGTATTGAAGTCACTGGAGTCACTTCAGTTTCAGATTGATGGTGATGCTGATTGACCATGATTGTAACAAAAAACTATGGAAAATCCACTATAAATATGGCAAATATATAGAATTAGCCATAACTATGACCATGATTGACCATGATTGACCATGATTGACCATGATTGACCAGGAATCCATTGTAAGATGCTTCATCCTTCAGTATCCGAAAATCAGTTCAATTTCGGTGATGAGCCATGCTCTCATGGCCACGGAGCAAAGCATGTTGCTCACCCAGTGCCATGATACGAAGTGGCACAGCAAAGCATGAATCTTGCTTTTGGACATCCAACATGTCTAAAGAAAGAGACAAAGAGAGACCAAGATATCGTGACAGAAGCAAGAGTGGCTTGACATTTGTGTTTGAAGCTGTTGCCAGATGCAGATTTGGCGCTACAAAAATCTCTGCGAATTGTTTGGCTCAAAGTCATTGACGGCTGATTTTTTGGTTGGGGAGACGCAGCAGAGAAAGAAGCAGGCACGGTGAGGGGAATCTGTGGGTTCATTATGTTCATTGGTGCGCCATGAGCCACAGCCATATTAGTGTGCCCAACAAAAAGGATGTATGCCCTCAAAAGGGCCGTTTTTATAGGGAACCAGTGTGCTGATCACTCAGAAATTACCCGCGAATAAGCCACATATTACGAATCAAATTGCCAAAAGTCAGCATAAATACCATCATGCCATCAAATTATCAGCAAATGACACCGCACGATGAAAGATAGTGACTTGATGGTTTGATGAATTACCATTAATTACCCATAAACAGCCATAAACATCATATAAACATCATATAGTATACTTAGTAATAAATTATACATATACAGTCACATACACATAGTAACCTGACATCTACCCATGGGAGTCCCGGGTTTCCATCGCTCCCATCGCGATGGGAGGGGGTCGTGAACTTTTCGAGACGTGCATGGCCACCAGAGCGCTAGCGAGCAGCGATGGCGTCTCGGTGCCAGGCTTTTGAGTAACAGGGGGATGCCATGATCTCATCTGGTTGATGGTTTGGAAAGTTTGGAAAGTTTGGAATTTTATGACTTTCCATATATTGGGAATTTTATAATCAATCCCAACTGACGAACTCCATCATTTTTCAGAGGGGTAGGTATACCACCAACCAGATATGTGATGGATAATATAAATATATGTGATGGATATATGATGGATACATGATGGATATATGCTGGAAATATCATTTCTTTTTGGGACAATTTTTATGGGAATATGGCGACTCCACCATCAAAGATATGGGATTGGCATTGAGGATAATTGGTAGATGTGTCTGACATCTGTAAATCATGGATGTATGGTGGACATATAATGGCATTAATGCAGATGTAACCAACAATCCAGGGGACTATTCATAAAGTCAAAGATATACTGGGGATACAATGGGGATGATTTGATATGATGAAAATGGTTTGTTAGCCCGCCAAAATGGGAAATGGTTTGTGCTTGAGATGATCAATATAGTGGGATTGCCAGCAGCCAACTTTGGCACATGTGACTTATCTGCAAATGGGTATAAGACCAAGTCAAAACACTATGTGCCAAATATTACAAGAGATGTGGAAAAAGGATGAAAACGGTGGAGAGAACTACTGTATGTGGACATCTGGGAGGATCAAACATCTGATATCAATTGATATCATCTGTCAGATTCTGTCAGATTCTGTCAGATTCTGTCAGAGGTTTGAGGCTGTCGGAGCTGTCGGAGTTTCATAAAGCCCCGAGAGCCCCTTCCAGTTCCATCCGTTCCATCTCCATCCCAGGTCAGAACGGAGCCTCGGCACCCAAGTGCCATACTGAGCGAAGTGCCTCGAGGATTGCTGGTGAGTTCATGGTGAAGATGATGGGATGGTGATGGGATGGTTGGCTTTCAAACTTGACCAGCCACTTAAGTCCCACTTAAGTGGAGTCCAACCAGCACCGAGGCCGGCTCCGGTAGGTAGGAAGACATCAGCCGCCAAACTCGCCGCTCGGAGCTGATTTCGGAGCTGGGAAAGCGCCCAGATGAAGTTCGTTTGGCGTTTCATGTGGCATTCTCCAATTCTTTCCCTATCGAACCTATCAAAACCCTTCCGATTTGATGGGAATTTTCCCATCTGAAAAAGTAAACATATGTCAACATCATCCAGCGGAATTCTCCCATTGCTTCCACTCAAATGGTGTCAAAAAGTCAACAATGATTATTCAGGATCCCAACATATCGCAACCATCATTTCTGCGGAACCTGAGGCCAGTCTTGATTGGCAGCCACCTGCTAGTCCAGCCACGACCATGCGGCCCCAGAGCCGGGCTGCCCAGAGGTCGCGAAAATCGTTGGGAAGCAGCAAACGTAGCTACCGTAGCGGACTGATTCCGAGGATGAGATACTCTGATTTTTTTCTTGATATGGCATCAATGGCCAATCTTTTTTTGGTGTTTCAACAAACTTTCTGTAGGTGTTCCACCATCTTCCACCCCCCAAAAAATGGGTAAAAATGGGACGTCATGGCCACTTCGGCCGAGGTGTTGCATTGGATCTTGGCCGAGCAATCGTGGGGTGCCCAGGGGTTAGGGGTCGCAAGGGGTCCCATGTGAGACCGCTGCCATGTTGTTTGGAGGTGCGGAGGAAGGAACCTCTAACACATCTAGCAGATTTAGCATCTATCATTCTAATCTTCTAATCCTCTCCAAAGGTGTGAAAGAGTGGATATAAGCCAGTATACATAGTATACTACATGCTAGAAACTAGGAAACTGTAGAACTATCGCATGACTTTAGCCTTGGTGACTACTGGATATCAGAAAATCCGTCGGAAGATCCGTGACCTCAGCCCTTCCCAACATGTCCGAATATGTCCGACATGTCCCGAGGAAAGAGGACTAGGTGGATCTCTTGGAGCAACTCCCGCCTTCGAACAGGAGCTCAACGAAGATTGGTGGAAAATGTCGGAAAATGTCATGACTCTCTGACTCAACGTTTCACTTAAGTGGATAAGATATAGGGGTACCCATGGGTACCCTATCTTCAGATAAACCATGATAAAGCCACCGAAGTGAATTTCAAGTAGCCTTCAGTAATCAAATATGGGAATGGGTCATTGTTTTTTTGTTTTTTTTTCGGGAATGACACGAAATGATCCAGAAGCTCAGAAGGACCCAAGTTCCAACACAGTGGCAGCATCCCCCACCATCCTCCAGCATCCTTTTCCGAGGAGCTTTGGGAAGTTCGCTCTGAGATTGAAAAGGCAAAGCTAAGTGCCATGGCATGAGGATTTCACCATATTTCACACATAGCTCCTCTGATGGGTAGTAACATGGTAGTAACAAGATGTAACAAACAACAAGATGTGGATAATCACTATATAATCACTGAATGATGATCCATCATGGGCAACAAACCAACAACCATCCTAATGTAACTAATGAGAATCCAACCAACAGCAACAAACTGGGACGACCGGCGAAGATGGAGAACGGTGATATCGCCAGCACAGTCGAAACACTGGGACTGTTAATCGTGACACTAAGGGAGATGTACTTGCGATGAATGGACACGTTGTGTAGCAAATGCTGATGTAGCCAACAAATCGTTGCTGCAGTCGATCTAGATGCCACCAATAATGGAATAAAGAAGTGGTGTGTCTTGCAGCAGGCTATACCCCAAGAAACAATGAATACTTGGTGTATACGGTACACGGAAATGATGGGCCATCAACATGGAATGGATGGAGTGTCCAAAACAGACCACCCAATTTTGGGTTATTTTGGGCATCCCAAATTTGGAACATCCTTAAACCTGACCAAACCTTGAATATCCTGGACTGATATTTTTAGAGAGTCGGGACGCAAGTGAAACGCCAAGGACATGTGGCTCCCTTCCCTTTTTTTGGAAAGGCAATGCGCTTTCAGGTCGAGGGAGTTTTCCCCCCTGCGTGAAACCAGTGACCAGTGGAGCAGACATCAATGGTGTTGATGTTCAAATGCTGGACCAACATGGGGATGTGGACCGCAAACTCGACTTGGGAGGACGAGTTCGCAGCGTTGCAAATCACGGATGATGGCAGGTTTAGCAGCTTGGCTTGAGAAATGTGGCCTTGACATCTGCCTCAATCATTGGAGCTCCCTGACTTCATTGCGTCAACTGATGACATCGGTTTGTGTCGAATTTTCTGTGAATATCAGTGATGTCAAGTTCTGCAAGGCTACTCCTTCGTTGACTTGAACTATGAGGTGCAATGGGCTATTGTGGCTATCTGTGGTTATCTGTGGCTAATTGGTACAATATGGTACAATTCACCTCACTTCACCATTTAGGTCATTTAGCGGATGGAGATTTCTGGCTCAAGGATGAATGCGGCGATCAAATGCGACACGACACATCACGACACACAGAAAGGCAACTTCAAAAGAGAAGATCAGCTTAGAGGCTTAGAGCTGAGAAGCATATGGTGAACATCTGGTGAAAACATGGTCCATATCATATGGTGAACATATGATGAACATCCCGCAATCATAGCAATAGCAATCTCTGGTAGATGGCTGACCAATGGTCAGCACATCTCCTTCCTTCCCACCTACTGGGGAGCGCCCCCCCTTGGCTGCGGCCGTGCATGGGAAGTTGAGGTTCCCCCCCGTTTTTGTTGGGGATTCAGGATGATGTACTGTAATCATTTGGAGATGTTTTTGGAACTTTTTGGACGATTCTTGAACATGAGTTTTTATATAAATCAAGTTACACTCGCACGAGAATACATATATAAATATATACTGTATTATATATATATACAGATTATATATATATATATATACACATATTATATATACATATTATAACAGATTAATTACATGATATCTTGAGATATTTCCAACAAGCATCAGCTGCTGATGCGGTCGCGGCAGGAAAATTGGTGGTTTGGATGGCTTGGAAGCTGTGGAATTTCGACAGCTCAGGAAGAAGGAACGCTGCCGCTGTTTTCTGGGATATGTAGGTTGTTGGAAACTACTGTACTTCTGAAGCATCAAAGATGGGATTGGCATGGGATTTCATGGGATTTGAACATCAACACTGGGATATCCGCAAAGATACAGTGCAGTTTAAACTCTAAACTCTCTAAACCATACCATTGGACCATTGGCTGGCCACTTGCTAAGTGACTCCGACGGAACGAGAGTATGGCACGCAGCCACCAGGACCGGAAAGAGCTAGAAGCACTGCACCGGGAATGGTTTCCAGCCACTTAGCACTAGATGCATATTGGATGCAGGTTGGATGACGTTGCTGGAACTGTCCTTGTTTAAGACATGTTTTTGTTAACTGTTTTCCTTTCAGCATGCGGAAAATGGTCCGTAACATCCCCTCCTGCTGTTTGTTTGTGAGGTGGAGTACGGCAAGAGCTTCTATGACGAGGATTCTTGGTTTCAGATCCACATTTGTGTGGTCTCTTCCTACGTGGGGGTGCAGTTGAGGTAACCAATGGGTATGACCATTGCTATAAAACCCCATATGTTGAAGTGGTGGGAGATAACCCCTAGAACATCCTAGAACTGGATCTTCAACGAAACCTTAGGTTTTCAAACCTCCCTGCGTGCTCAAGTTCGCATTGTGAGTGGAAATTCTGCAGTGCTTCAATAGCAATAAATCAATGCAGATCTTACAAAAGGCCAAAAAGCGTCCACCGGGGAATTTCGAAAACACTAGGTTCCGCCAGATGCATTTTTTTGGGTCAAACCAGCCGATTTGTTGGGGTTCCCACCGACACAATCGACATGTCCTTCTTCCACTGCGTGGTCAACTGATGTACCGCCTCATTTTCGGCCACCAATAATGAGTGAATACGGCCAATTGTGAACCAACCCCCGAAGCTTTGCTGAGGATGCTTCCCCACTTACCCATTCAATCCCATTCATAATTAATATCATTACATTCTTTCAATGGGTTCCACATTTTTTCCATACGTTTTTTTTTTCCCATTGCTCCAAATTCGGGTTCCCAATACACGAGGTCTTCGAAAGCAAACGCGTCGGCAGCGTGGCTGCTCTACTGGGTGACCTGCTGTTAGGCGCCGCAACCTTCCGGACCCACTTCCAACAGTCGCGCTTTGACATGGAATCGGTCGTGGAAGGCACCCCCAGCTGAGGCTTTTGCGGTGAAAAATGATGGAACATCGTTGAACATCTATTGAACATCTATAGGAAACCATGTTTTTATCCGTGGTTATCCATTCAAATAGGAAGGTTCCAGTAGATTTTCAACCGAGAGCCAATTCGACAGTCCTCAGTTTTTCGGGGAAGTGGAATCCATCCCAAAGTCATCCACGATTTTGCTTCATCCACTTGCTGATGGATTGATGTTGGAATTCTTCAGTCCAACCGTCCAACCCAGGTGGTGTCGATGCTTGTATGAACGGAGCTGCTGGCTATATCCTGACCCTGGGAGTGGTGGATGCTGCCCGGGGCCATGGCTTAGCCAAGCAGCTGCTGCAAAAAACCATGGACAGCATCCGCCAGCAGCTTGGCCCCAAGCTGAAGGCCATCTGGGTTCATGTCGTGGAATACAACGCGCCTGCGACTTGGTTGATTCAGTCAAGGGGGAAAACACATTGAGCCATGGTTGATCTAGAAAATCATATGTGTTTTTTCAGTTTTTTTTTTAAAAGAGGTGTGTGAAGTACTATGTGACTTTTCCGGCGGGTTGAACTTGAAACCACCAACTAGACGCTGTTGTATTTGCTGTTGGGATATTCCATAATTTGCCCATAAGTTTCAGCCAGCTTCACTGCAGGACACGTCCACACTTGGTGAACAAAATATGAGCTGGTACTTTGTACATCTTTGTACTGAACTTCAAAGCCTACTTGGAAGTGTCAGAAATTCTTAAAGAAAGTAAAAAAACTACATACTGTATCTAACTTAAATTCTTCATTCAGAAATTCATGACATGAATCATGACAACCTGGCCATGTTGCACCCAACGTTGCACCCTGGCCATCAGCCAACGATGTCACATGTCACTCTATGCTCCACTGAGATGGACCAAGGCCATCTCGCTCTATGAGCACATGGGGCTTCAGATGGTGCGGCACTTCCCTAGGTTCTACTGCTTCCACAATCAGAACTTGGGCTGAAAGGCTTGAAATATGTTGAAATATGTGTTGACACATGTTGACACATGTTAAATGGGATTGGATCATATACACACCTATATATATAATACATATAATACATATTATATATATGGTATAAGTTGGTATAGTAATAATAATAATAATAATATATATATATATTATTGGATCGGTGAAATCTGAAATGACCCGTGGCATCAAGCGAATAGCGTGCCAGTATATTTGCTGTTTTTAAAGTTTGCTTCCAGTAGATGTTCATAGTTGGCAGTGTGTTGTTTAAACTTTGAAGTATCACCTTGGACCGCTCTAATTTTTTCTGGCACCCAGTTTCATCCCTCTGATTGCGATGCATTTGGAACAACAAGTCTAAGATGTCTAAGTGGAAATGGAGTGAAAGTGTTGGCAAACATTTTCTGGGGGAGATATCCACAGTTACAAGGAGGATTTCAGCAATAGCTTGCTTGAGAAGGCTGATGAGACACCTGGAAATTTGAAGCAATGCACTTTGATATCATGGATCAAATGATCAAATCGATGTTGGATAGGTGATTGGATCTTGGGTAGATTTAGGTATCATATAATGGCGAAAATAAATGTATACCCAAAGCTATATGGAATATATGACCTATGGTACATTCAATTCAATGACCATGGAATATAAATACATAAGGCGAAGCTTGCCCCATAACTGATGTGCTAATGTGCCCAGGGCACCTTTCCATCTCTTTCCGGCGAGGTATTGGGATTCATTGCTCTACGTGCTCTATGAGAATGGTGGACGACCACCAAATGACTTGAAAGCGCAGGTGGGGAGTGAATAGTTCATCCCAAGAACAACCAAAAACACCCACAGGATGTGTTCACATGTGGAACCTTGGTGTTTTTTTTTATGATAAAAAAAGCCACATATTCCATAGATTCTCATCATTTCTCATGCATCTTCAGTTACCCTCTGGTTATTTAACACAGCCATGGTATAGATGGCCCATAGAAATAGATGGTTTACCTATTAAACATGGTGATTTTCTATGGCTATGTTAAATAGCCAGATGGTATATTATCTCACAGGTGTTCATCCACTTTTGGAGGTGTGGAGAGATGAGATGCTGGCGATGCTGGCTAGCCTGAGTCACCCACAGGAAGTGCATCGACGGTGCCAGGCCTGGTTCTCCTGTTGCTACTGGGCGAATCCAAAGGGGTTGGGAAATGTTGGGAAGATGAACATGATGAACTTCCAAGTTGTGTAAAAGTAATGGTAGTAATAATTATGGTACAATAAATGAAGAAATTGCCATTTTTTTGGGGCTTCCATATGATTCCATCTTTGACTTGCAGTGTGCATAGAAGCTGCCTAGCAACCATTTTTTACAGGGTTTTTCCAGCTTCATCTCCCAACTTCTGAGGTTTCACTTCCTGTGCTCGTCGTCGCAGAAAGGTCAAGTGATGCAGCTGGATCTCGGTGCAGGATCTCGCTGGCGATGGACGCGATGCGAAGGCCATCGGACCCGATTTGTGGTCGCCGTGGAGGTTCAGCGGCTCCCTTGGCCCAGCGGAGGAAAACCACCAGTGCCTGCTGATGAAGAGATTTCGCGGAAAAGTGCGCATGCTGAGACACATGCCAATCAGGAGATAGTTGAATCATGTTGAATCCCCCAAAACAAGGAAGTCATGGGTCATCATGGGACAGGGAGCTTCTCAAAATGGAGAGGGTGGGTGCTCAATCATCGACTCTCCGATGGTTGGGAAATCCAGGCTTCGTAAGTCCGTTAATTTGTTTGTTTGGGCAAAAGTCTTGAGGTCATGCGATCTTTAGATCCTTAATTTAATATATTCCCAAAAACCCAGAAGATGGCTTGTTCAATTGTTCATCCCCATTTGCTGGGTATATGACCACCAAAAATGGGATATTCGATATTATGATATTAGCCAATGTGGTTGAAACTTCCCAATCTCCAGATAAATACGTCAAAGGGTTTCTTGGTTCAATTCTTACCTCGAATTTCACATTTTGAGCTTTTGGGGGTTCAATCAATTTTCTCAAGGCCAAGAAAAATCGAGAGTTTTATCCCATTTTTCTGTTGATTTTTGGGTTCGTCTGTAGGTCGACCTGGAGGGAGCTGACCAGCAGTCTCCAGAGGATCCAAAGGTTAGTCGTGTCCTCACTTATGAGGTGCTTGGGAGCAACTCGTTGTTGGCTGAGTTGTATCTGAATTGTATTTGTGATGGTTTTTGGGAGTTTTCATTATTTTTTCATTGTTCCGAAAAAGGCTAATGTTGGGGGGTTCGAAGAAGTTTTTCCTTTTGTGGCTGAGAGATGTTCAATTTCTGTGGATGTTTCATCAAGTTTGTACGGATGTGACTTGAAAGCACATTCATGACTTGGGAAAATTAATATGTTAAACATCGTTAAACTTCTGGGTGAGTTTCTGAAAACTTATTGACATATTACAATGATAAGTTATGATAAGTTATAAGTCATTTTGTTATTGAATATGAATGAATATGACATATATTTTCTATGTGACACAGCTTATTGACAGTTATAAATCATTTTGGAATGACAGTTATGACCCATTTACATCATTTACGGTGTGTCATTCCTGCCTCGAGGGCGTGCTGATCAGCCCCGTGGAGGAGATTCCACAGGAGGAGGTGACGACGAATTCAGGGCATCGTCGTTATCCAACTGATCAAAACAGAGGGGCCATGGCTCGAAACCAAAAAAAACAGTTTTTATATATGTTTATATGTTTATATATGATCAAAGCATATCAAACCCTCAGTTTATCTCAGTCTTGTTTGATCCATTTGATGATCTCCATTTGATGATGTTTTTTCTTTGGTTTTGATGGTCATGGAACATCATAACATATCATAAAAACATGATTAAAATCATCCTAAATTCCACCAGTCGTTTAACACTGACTGACCACGAACGAAACACGTCGTTGACACCGTCGGATCTCTGATCTCAGAGTCTCAGGCCGAGCCTGAAGCGGAGGGCAGTGCTCGAATCGAGGTGGAAAAATCTGCTGGATTTTGGGCTCACTTTTCAAATTCTCAAAGACCATAAAATATGGTATTGGCAAAAAAATGGTATTCAATTGATTTCAAATTGATGATTCAGATATATTATATATATTCAGATTCATTCTTGGTATTCAATTTGATGATTCAGATTCATACTTGATTCCTTTGCATCTGAATTTTAGATGTTTTCTCCATGGGTTTTCCTCTTCTCTTCAACCGCCGCCTTCACGCGATGCAACATGCGGTCGCAGCGTGACAGGGCCTGGCAATGGCCAAGCATGAGATCGAAGATGTAGGCCCTTCGGGAAAACCAATGCAGCCTACAAAAAGTGGGCTTGAAAAAAACCTTAGATTATGGGTCAAGATGGGAATTATTATGGGATATTATGGGTATATGATGGGTATTTCACGTACTTCACCAGTTGCCATGCCTATCAAGCTACAAACTTAAATTGTTAAACACCTATTATTCCATATTATTCCGATATTTCTGGGACCAAAATGGGATCCTGTATGCCACAAGAACATTCTATGAAGAAGTTGTGCTTGGATCATAACTAGACCAATCACTTGGGGGAAATGCAACTTTGCCCCCAAACTGAACTGGGACCGGGAAGATGACAAAATCTGATCAAACATGGGCTCTGAAAATGGGGTATCCATGGGTATCCCCAAATCTATCGATTTATCATGGTTTATCCTGTGTTTTCCCTTGTAAAATGAACGTGGCTGGGGGAATACATCACTTTCAGACGATCCACAAGGTGGGCGTGCCCAGCTGATGAGCATCAGCCGGAGCAGCAGTCGCTTTGCAATCGTGGTGCGATACTTGGGTCACCGTCAAGCGAATGTGAAATCAGGAGCCTGAAGAGGAACAAAAACCATCAAAAACCTATAGACAAAAGGAATCATGTTCCGAAAGGACCAGGCGGCCAGGTTTTTTTACATAGCAGGTAGCCACTAATTTTTGAACACCAATTAGATTCCAGGATCCATCTTTTTGTAGTGGACATAATTCCATCTCGGCACCTTTTACGGTGATGTTGGTGACGCAAGGCGTGCCCAGGCTGTGGATATTTGTTGCTGGAAATGTTGGTATCAATGAGGTGAGTCCCTACTTTCAGCCCAACGTGGCTGTGGCACCTGGGCTTGCACTTCAACTAAGAGGTGCATATCACTGCATATCAGTTCCGCCTTTTTTTGTTGTATTTCTCAGTCCATGGCTTCACGATTTCGCTTGGCAGTCCATCATTTCTAGCTATATGATCTATATGGTCAAGAAATATAGATTGCACTGCTCAAATTGGTTCCTTCCTACATCTTCCTACTTATCCTACTTGGCGCTCAAAATCTCAATAAGTTTCATAATATGTATTTCATATGTTTTATGGTGTTTCTATCGCGAAATATCGCGAACCGAGGTCTATTCCTTGCATTTGGCAAGGTCACCGAGGAGGCCCAGGAGAACCCAATTGGCCTACGTCGGAAGAGGCATGAAGAGGTGGGCCCATTGGTCGTCCAGGTGGATGTTCTTTTTGTTGATAGCATCATTGATGGCATCATTGATCATAGACTCATGTGATCTCATGTGTAATACGTGTCATCAATATTCATCAATCAGGTTTTCTGTTTTTTGTGAGTGCTGATCAAATAAGATAAATAAGAGATAAGGCCGAAAAAAGGCCGAAAACCCCCAAGGAATGTCTGTGACCAGGTGATTTCATAGGACCAGAAGGTGTCTGCGAGACGCCGTCTGCTCAGGGAGCTGCATTCGACCACGAGAAATGGCGATGTTTGGCGCTTGTCGATAGCTCAGATAGCTCAGATACCCTCTGGTAATGGTAATTTAACAGTTTGCTATTGAAAATGGCCATAGAAATAGTGGATTTTCCCATTAAAAATGGTGATTTTCCATAGTTACGTTAGTTTACCAGAGGGTAGCTCAGATGTCATCCAATCTCCGATTGCTGAGTTGCTGCTGAGTTGCAGGGTATGCCGGATGATGATGGATGATGCTCATACTGCAAAATCCCATCCAAATCTCTGTACGAAATCGTTCCACAAAAACCATGAAATTTTATTTGCCATGCTGATCATGATAATCATGATGGCTTGTCCCAACTTTCGGATGCATTTTCTACCCGACTTCTGCCCAGGACGCAACAAAGAAGACGGGCTCCCAAGCCTAAGGCGAGGCACTGGCCCTTCGCCCTCATATCAAACAGACTGGATGATTTGATGCGGAGATCACAGCCAAGAGGTAACACACCGCACAGCATTTCACTGTTTAATAAGTTTCTTGGTTGGTGGTTTGGAACATGATTCGTTATGTTTCCATATATTGGGAATAGTCATCATCCGAACTGACGAAATCATATTTTTCAGAGGTGTTGAAACCACCAATCAGGTTTAATACAACAAAACGGCGGTGGGTTGGGGTTATGTCTTGGGGCGAACATGCCATTTGTCAGTTCAGCAAGTCCGGCTCGACGTCGATGCTGCCTGCAGCAGCTGCTTGGCATATCAAAGGGGTATATCATAATATATATATATATAATGGAGGCATTTCTTGTGTTTATAGTATTTGGAGTATTTATAGTATTTATAAATGGGTCATAAGTTATAATCATGGTTCTTGGGTTCTCAATGGGGAGGAAGCAGACATGATTCTCGAGGAGATTCATTACCATTAAGGCCACCAGCGACCTTCAATGACTTCCCAGAAATGTGCGGACAAAAAAGATGTCTGTTAGCGATGTTTCACTGGAGGTTTGTTGTTGATACAATGGTGAATTCCCCTATGGTAATGTGTATTTACGTATTTTTTGTTCATGTTGACATCGAAGCATTTTATTATTATAGTTTGATATAATCTGGGATATATTTGGATATACATTGGATACCCTTAAGCCATGTGAACCCATCATATCAACCATATCCACCACATCATATCCGCTGATGACCTAAGGCTCCGTCCAAACGGACCAAGGCAGGGGTCACATGGGAAAATCGTTGATGTATCGATGTGAAGTGGAAAATCACCTGGACATCCTGGGAATCCTGATAAACTCAGCAATGCCAGGAGGCGGTCCGGCACTCAGTTGCCTCTGCAGTCCCTGGCTGTGGCTGGAACAGAAGCGACTCAGTCCGTGAAGTAGTGCTGCAAATTGCCCACCTACAGCCCCAAGATGCCTCATGTTGGCCCCAACTCTGCTAAAAGTTCCCAACCTACAGCCCCAAGATGCCTCATGTTGGCCCCAACTCTGCTAAAAGTTCCCAACCTACAGCCCCAAGATGCCTCATGTTGGCCCCAACTCTGCTAAAAGTTCCCAACTTACAGCCCCAAGATGCCTCATGTTGGCCCCAACTCTGCTAAAAGTTCCCAACCTACAGCCCCAAGATGCCTCATGTTGGCCCCAACTCTGCTAAAAGTTCCCAACCTACAGCCCCAAGATGCCTCATGTTGGCCCCAACTCTGCTAAAAGTTCCCAACCTACAGCCCCAAGATGCCTCATGTTGGCCCCAACTCTGCTAAAAGTTCCCAACCTACAGCCCCAAGATGCCTCATGTTGGCCCCAACTCTGCTAAAAGTTCTCAACCTACAGCCCCAAGATGCTTCATGTTGGCCCCGACTCTGCTAAAAGTTCCCAACTTACAGCCCCAAGATGCCTCATGTTGGCCCCAACTCTGCTAAAAGCTCCTGCTAAAAGTTCCCAACCTACAGCCCCAAGATGCCTCATGTTGGCCCCAACTCTGCTAAACGTTCCCAATCTACACCCCCAAGATGCCTCATGTTGGCCCCAACTCTGCTGTAGGTTCCCAACCTACAGCCCCAAGATGCCTCATGTTGGCCCCAACTCTGCTAAAAGCTCCCAACCTACAGCCCCAAGATGCCTCATGTTGGCCCCAACTCTGCTAAAAGTTCCCAACCTACAGCCCCAGGATGCCTCATGTTGGCCCCAACTCTGCTAAAAGTTCCCAACCTACAGCCCCAAGATGCCTCATGTTGGCCCCAACTCTGCTAAAAGTTCCCAACCTACAGCCCCAAGATGCCTCATGTTGGCCCCCAACTCTGCGTAAAGCTCCCAACCTACAGCCACAAGATGCCTCATGTTGGCCCCAACTCTGCTGTAGGTTCCCAACCTACATGTTGGCCCCAACTCTGCTGTAGGTTCCCAACCTACACCCAAGATGCCTCATGTTGGCCCCAACTCTGCTGTAGGTTCCCAACCTACAGCCCCAAGATGCCTCATGTTGGCCCCAACTCTGCTAAAAGCTCCCAACCTACAGCCCCAAGATGCCTCATGTTGGCCCCAACTCTGCTGTAGGTTCCCAACCTACACCCCCAAGATGCCTCATGTTGGCCCCAACTCTGCTGTAGGTTCCCAACCTACACCCCCAAGATGCCTCATGTTGGCCCCAACTCTGCTGTAGGTTCCCAACCTACAGCCCCAAGATGCCTCATGTTTGGCCCCAACTCTGCTGTAGGTTCCCAACCGTACACGTCCCCAAGATGCCTCATGTTGGGCCCACCTGCTGTAGGTTCCCAACCTACGCCCCAATATGCCTCATGTTGTGCACCTTACCCTGCTGTAGGTCCCAACCTACACCACCAAGATGCTCATGTTTGGCCCCACTCTGCTGTAGGTTCCCCAACCTACACCCCCAAGATGCCTCATGTGGCACCTACCCTGCTGTATGTTCCAACTCTACAGCCCCAAGATGCCACATGTTGGCCCCAACTCTGCTGTAGTGGGTTCCCACCTACACCCCCCAAGATGCCTCATGTTCCCCCCAATCTGCTGTAGGCCAGCCTACACCCCCAAAGATGCCTCATGTTGGCCCAACTCTTCTGTAGGTTCCCAACATACACCCCCAAATGCTCATGTTGGCCCCCACTGCTGTAGGTTCCCAACCTACAGCCCCAGATGCCTCATGTTGGCCACCCACCTCTGCTTTCGCTCCCAACCTACAGCCCCAAGATGCCTCATGTTGGCCCCTACCCTGCTGTAGGTTCCCAACCTACACCCCCAAGATGCCTCATGTTGGCCCCAACTCTGCTGTAGGTTCCCAACCTACAGCCCCAAGATGCCTCATGTTGGCACCAACTCTGCTGCAGGTTCCCAACCTACAGCCCCAAGATGCCTTATGTTGGCCCCTACCCTGCTGTAGATTCCCAACCTACAGCCCCAAGATGCCTCATGTTGGCCCCTACCCTGCTGTAGGTTCCCAACCTACACCCCCAAGATGCCTCATGTTGGCCCCAACTCTGCTGTAGGTTCCCAACCTACAGCCCCAAGATGCCTCATGTTGGCCCCAACTCTGCTGTAGGTTCCCAACCTACAGCCCCAAGATGCCTCATGTTGGCCCCAACTTTGCTAAAAGTTCCCAACCTACAGCCCCAAGATGCCTCATGTTGGCCCCAACTCTGCTGTAGGTTCCCAACCTACAGCCCCAAGATGCCTCATGTTGGCCCCAACTCTGCTGTAGGTTCCCAACCTACACCCCCAAGATGCCTCATGTTCGCCCCCAACTCTGCTGTAGGCCAACCTACAGCCCCAAGATGCCTCATGTTGGCCCCCAACTCTGCTGTAGGTTCCCAACCTACAGCCCCAAGATGCCTCATGTTGGCCACTACCCTGCTGTAGGTTCCCAACCTACACCACCAACATGCCTCATGTTGGCCCCAACTCTGCTGTAGCTTCCCAACCTACAGCCCCAAGATGCCTCATGTTGGCCCAACTCTGCTAAAAGCTCCCAACCTACAGCCCCAAGATGCCTCATGTTGGCCCCAACTCTGCTGTAGGTTCCCAACCTACAGCCCCAAGATGCCTCATGTTGGCCCCAACTCTGCTAAAAGTTCCCAACCTACAGCCCTAAGATGCCTCATGTTGGCCCCAACTCTGCTAAAAGCTCCCAACCTACAGCCCCAAGATGCCTCATGTTGGCCCCAACTCTGCTATAGGTTCCCAACCTACACCCCCAAGATGCCTCATGTTGGCCCCAACTCTGCTGTAGGTTCCCAACCTACAGCCCCAAGATGCCTCATGTTGGCACCAGCTCTGCTGTAGGTTTCCCAACCTACAGCCCCAAGATGCCTCATGTTGGCCCCAACTCTGCTGTAGGTTCCCAACCTACAGCCCCAAGATGCCTCATGTTGGCACCCGCAAGATGCCTCATGTTGGCACCTACCCTGCTGTAGGTTCCCAACCTACAGCCCCAAGATGCCACATGTTGGCCCCAACTCTGCTGTAGGTTCCCAACCTACAGCCCCAAGATGCCTCATGTTGGCCCCAACTCTGCTGTAGGTTCCCAACCTACACCCCCAAGATGCCTCATGTTGGCCCCAACTCTGCTGTAGGTTCCCAACCTACAGCACCAAGATGCCTCATGTTGGCACCAACTATGCAAAATGCTCCCATGTTGGCCCCAACTCTGCTGTAGGTTCCCAACCTACAGCCCCAAGATGCCTCATGTTGGCCCCAACTCTGCTGTAGGTTCCCAATCTACACCCCCAAGATGCCTCATGTTGGCCCCAACTCTGCTGTAGGTTCCCAACCTACAGCCCCAAGATGCCTCATGTTGGCCCCAACTCTGCTGTAGGTTCCCAACCTGCACCCCAAGATGCCTCATGTTGGCCCCAACTCTGCTGTAGGTTCCCAACCTACACCCCCAAGATGCCTCATGTTGGCCCCAACTCTGCTGTAGGTTCCCAACCTACAGCCCCAAGATGCCTCATGTTGGCCCCAACTCTGCTGTAGGTTCCCAACCTACACCCCCAAGATGCCTCATGTTGGCCCCAACTCTGCTGTAGGTTCCCAACCTACAGCCCCAAGATGCCTCATGTTGGCCCCAACTCTGCTGTAGGTTCCCAACCTGCACCCCAAGATGCCTCATGTTGGCCCCAACTCTGCTGTAGGTTCCCAACCTACACCCCCAAGATGCCTCATGTTGGCCCCAACTCTGCTGTAGGTTCCCAACCTACAGCCCCAAGATGCCTCATGTTGGCCCCAACTCTGCTGTAGGTTCCCAACCTACACCCCCAAGATGCCTCATGTTCGCCCCCAACTCTGCTGTAGGCCAACCTACAGCCCCAAGATGCCTCATGTTGGCCCCTACCCTGCTGTAGGTTCCCAACCTACACCCCCAAGATGCCTCATGTTGGCCCCAACTCTGCTGTGGGTTCCCAACCTACAGCCCCAAGATGCCTCATGTTGGCCCCTACCCTGCTGTAGGTTCCCAACCTACACGCCCAAGATGCCTCATGTTGGCCCCAACTCTGCTGTAGGTTCCCAACCTACAGCCCCAAGATGCCTCATGTTGGCCCCAACTCTGCTGTAGGTTCCCAACCTACAGCCCCAAGATGCCTCATGTTGGCCCCTACCCTGCTGTAGGTTCGCAACCTACAGCCCCAAGATGCCTCATGTTGGCACCAACTTTGCTGTAGGTTTCCCAACCTACAGCCCCAAGATGCCTCGTGTTGGCCCCAACTCTGCTGTAGGTTCCCAACCTACAGCCCCAAGATGCCTCATGTTGGCACCTACCCTGCTGTAGGTTCCCAACCTACAGCCCCAAGATGCCTCATGTTGGCCCCAACTCTGCTGTGGGTTCCCAACCTACAGCCCCAAGATGCCTCATGTTGGCCCCTACCCTGCTGTAGGTTCCCAACTCTGCTGTGGGTTCCCAACCTACAGCCCCAAGATGCCCAACTCTGCTGTAGGCCAACCTACACCCCCAAGATGCCTCATGTTGGCCCCAACTCTGCTGTAGGTTCCCAACCTACACCCCAAGATGCCTCATGTTGGCCCCAACTCTGCTGTAGGTTCCCAACCTACAGCCCCAAGATGCCTCATGTTGGCCCCAACTCTGCTGTAGGTTCCCAACCTACAGCCCCAAGATGCCTCATGTTGGCCCCAACTCTGCTGTAGGTTCCCAACCTACAGCCCCAAGATGCCTCATGTTGGCACCAACTTTGCTGTAGGTTTCCCAACCTACAGCCCCAAGATGCCTCATGTTGGCCCCGACTCTGCTGTAGGTTCCCAACCTACAGCCCCAAGATGCCTCATGTTGGCCCCAACTCTGCTGTAGGTTCCCAACCTACAGCCCCAAGATGCCTCATGTTGGCCCCAACTCTGCTGTAGGTTCCCAACCTACAGCCCCAAGAATGCCTCATGTTGGCCCCAACTCTGCTGTAGGTTCCCAACCTACAGCCCCAAGATGCCTCATGTTGGCCCCAACTCTGCTCTAGGTTCCCAACCTACAGCCCCAAGATGCCTCATGTTGGCCCCTACCCTGCTGATTGCAGCGCAGAAGGCTCTAACATACCATGTTGGTGTAAGTCGCAAGCCTGTGATGCCTTTAAAACGGTCCGGTGTAGGTGGCAGTTGCTGCGCTGGCCCAGGACGGTTGCAGCTCCTCCAAGCTCACGGGTGTGGCTTCGGCGCCTCAACTGTCCAAAGCTGAGGACATGTAGCCGGGTTTTGAGCCACTGGACCTGGTTTTCAGCCATTGGATAACTTGAGATTTTCAAACCGGACAACGTTTGGGTGAATTTTTGGTATCAAACATTATCAAACCTTCATGTTTCTTGGATGCCTAATTTTGAGTCATTTGGATTCGCCCGTATTTCAAATCCGAAGGTTTTTGAAACGGACGGTGAAACCAATGGAACTTCAAGGCCAGCACTAGTGGACAAGAAGGACAAGAAGGTGCATCCCTCAGAAATGTTCAGATATGAAATGTGATGAAATGTGCTGATGTTCTCAGCATGCTGAAATGCCTATAGCTGCTACAGGCGAAGGAAATGACCAGCATCACGGATTGGAGAGATTTCTACAAGCAACGTGCCCAGGAATTGTACCAACCTGAGATTGTCGAGATTGTCGCAACAGATGTTGGCAATCGTTTGGTTGGTGGAAAAATGGGGAAGATATGTCCACTGAGTCCACTATAGTTTGATATAGTTTGATTTCCATTGTTTTTGGAGATTCAACTGTTGTAACTCGGAGAAAGGGATCCTGATATATCTGATATGTCTGATATATGCCATTTTGTCAGGCTTGGGTCCTAAGTGGCTGCAGGGCGAAGCGTTTCGTTGTAGGCTGCGTGTCTTTCCTTGCCAAAAACAATGAGAAAGTCGCGTCCCCCAAACTCAAAGAAAATCGAAGGAAAGAGAAGCAGGTCCCGAATTTGCTATTTTGCTCACCGACTCACTTGGCGACTTCCGAAAATTTCTGGCATCCTGACATTTTATTTATGATATTTTATGATGATAGTGGCTGTGATAGAAAAACCGGCGTGTTGGGCCAACACATCATGTGAGCATCGGAGTGTCCCACTATGTTCGAGTGAAGCATGAATTGCGCACCATGTTTCTGCTTTGGAACCAAAGCAAATGCATGCGGTGCACATTTTACTGTTACCAAATGATTCCAAAAATACAGTTGACGCCTAGTATCTACCGTACCTCAGTACTCAAGTTTCTAAATTTGAAAGAGGCTTTGTTCTGCTTGATCCAGTCAGATCTGTTCTGCACGAACTTCAAAAGTATCTCCGGATTGTGTTTGAATCTGGAGAAGTTTCACTGGTAGCTCGCGAAAAGGAGCTCAGTTTCACATGGTTTTGAATGCTTAGGATGGAAGTGAGTTTTGCAAGTCTCTGTTCCTCTAGACACTGAAGGGCTGGGGTATTCTATCCAATTTTTGCATGCTGATTCCATTCGTTTTCATCAATTTTCATCCATTTCCATCCGGAGCAGCAGCGATATATTTCGACGACTTTCGAAGGTCTCCCGTACAATAATTATAGCGCCACGCAGACATCGCAGACCGCTCAGCTTTCAGAATCTCAGAAGCTTACACAGCAGGTTTGCAGCTTCACGTGCACAGTCTGGCCGCTGAAAATGGACATTTCAAGGGAGTCCCACTGTGGACGCCGCGCTGCGCGCACACTGTGGGCGCCAAGTTATCACATGTCATGGGATCGACGATGTTGCTGTGATGTCACATGATGTCACATGGTTCGGATCTCACATCGTGTTTTCTGCCTTTGCGCTGGGCATTCTTAGACCAGCGATGACAGCGAATGGCGGCAAGAAGTGACCATCCAGCAGGTCTGGTCAAAGTGCATCCCAAGGCAGATCAGCAGCAGTAGAATCTGGTCATATCTGGTCAGCCCATTAGAATCAGATTAGAACTGTTGTGTTATGTGAACATTGTGAACATTGTGAACTAATGCGTGACATTTGCTGAGCTTGCGGAGAGTTCGCACAACCTTCCCATGGCAGCAGCACACGTTTTGGCTGATGCCGTTGCGAAGGTTTTATGCGATGATAAGGACAGCTTACTGGGTATGAATCACCGCAGTGGATGAAAGCTGAAAGAACCTGCTCCACCAGAAAAAAATGCGTACCAACCGATATGATCAATTGCCAACATCTGCCAACAATCTCTGCAAGAACTTGTTGTATTTTGTTACATTCAGATCTGCGGTCTATGACGAGGCTATGAACCCCTTATTGAGATTCCAAACTCGGCTTTGCTCCACGTCTTCAGGAGATGCAGCGTGGCATCAGTAGGTCCCTGGGTGCCATCCACGACATTGATGAGCAGCTGGTTGCTATCGAAGCTGGACTTAGAGTTTTCAAGGCGACAAAGTTTTCTTTGGGATCTTTAAGAATCTTTGTAGAATCTTTGGGTGCTGATGTTGCTGATGAACCACAGCTGTGGGGTGTTCTAAAACATGAGTGTGCACATATTCCATAGATCATAGGAGATATGAGGCCTCCCAGATTCAGTACAACTTCCCCCTGGATTTCATTTTCTTTCGATTCTTTGAGCTCCAAGTCGCCAGAAACTGAGATGAACAATCTCATAATCTATCATAATCTCATTTATCTCCGATTCATCTCCATCTGCCAGAGTTTTTCTCAGAAGTTCCCCTTCATTTCCCTTTCAGACATCGCCTCATTTCCCCATGAACCAAGGATTCCCTAAGCGAAAAAGGCCTCGGTTTGCAGCTCCAGCGCGACGCCCGCGACGCCCGCGACGCGCGGCGCCTGGCCACGCCTCTGGCGCCGCCGACGGCCCAGCCACCGACGCCAGAGATGCGACAGAGAGATGGCCTCAGAGATCAGAGGTGGAAACATCTGGAAGAATGACATACTGTGGATGGAAGAAGATTCCATAGAAATCCTGCAGTTGATGGTGGAAAAATATCCCATGTATCCCATTATTTATAGGGTTTGCAACCATCTAAGGATATCCAAGGTAGCAGGATTTCTTCCATCCACAGTATGTATAGATATTATGATACTAAATTATCAAATAGTAACAATATCTATAAATATGGTCATGGTGAATATCTTTTATATTTATAAATATCATTGATATGAACTGATACATTATGATACATATACACATACAATTTAAATATACGTATAACTATACCGGACTATACCACGGGTATTCAACATGTATTGGCCACAAATCGAATTATCTTAATGAATCGGAATACTTGACTATGGTTTTAATATGTTTTAATATATTTGATTCAATTTGAAATATTCTGTAATAGACGTTGAAACTTGGATGAGTTTATGGATCTCCAGAATGGATCTTTTTATTCAGATTTCGGGGGTGGATTCTTGAAAAACATGTGGCCCAGTGGCACAAAATTACTGATGCCAAAATTGCATGACTGATATTGGAAGCCCCCCCCTTTTTATGAGCCATGAGGTAATAGACAAAAGTGGCATTTGAGATGGTGAGAAATTGAGCATCGCAGCATCACCATTTTCCAATGTCATCCCAATGTCATCCCGGTCCCAGGCACACCCGCTCGTCCTCCCCGCGCGGAACGCTTTGTGATGTGGTCGCCCGGGAACCCGGTTTTGACCACCAAGAAGTCTTCCAAAAACTGGAGAGTCTGGGCATTTTTGCTCCACAAGTTGAAGAAATTGTTGACATCGGAATTTTGCTTGCAACCTCCGCAAACCCAACAAACATTGGGAGTCTCTGGCACTGCATTTTTGATACTGAGACCAATGGTGGATGCGCATATCGCCGTTCCTGGGCTGCAGATTTGGTAGTCATTGAAGACACCAAGGATCACAGCAATTGAAGATAAAATTCCATACTGTAACTTGGTCTACTTACTTTCCCAACAAAGTCAACTTGGTTTGGGGCATCCCAATTTGTCGGGGGAAAGCATATCGCAAAGGCCCCGGTATTTTTGTGGCTCATTGGGAGGTGCGCGATGCCGACGAACTCAATGAGGTGGATCGAAGTACGTTGATCCTGGAGGCGGTTTGATATGGTTTGATGGGTTTTGGGTTGGCGTCAACCTGGGTTTTGGACCCAGTTTGGGGTGGTAATGTGTCCTTTGTTGTCAGTTGCTTCAGTTGTTTCCGTATTCCCATCAGTGGTTGCTTACAACCCCATCATTTGTTGGTGATGTCTCATCATAATCGCCTTCCAGAATCCTTGGAGTAATGCTTAGCTCACTGCTTGATAGGAATCATTACTGTCAATATCTGTCAATTACTATGCATTTTTTTCCATCGCACATGATTTTCCCTGGCGGTGATATCATTCTGGATCTCCAATTCTTTGGACCTTTTGGGACCAGTTTCGGCCCAGGTACCTAGGCCTCTAAAAGGCTCCACCTCTTTGCCTGAGCTGAGACGTGAGAGCCAGGAGACGAAGTTTGGGGGGTTAGACAGTTAGACATCCACCAATTTCGATGTTTTTTTGATATTTTTTTTCATACCTGGGATACACTTGTGCACTTTTCTCTGTAAAAACACGTGACTATTGAATTGGGAGTAGTTTGAGACCCGGTGATCTGGATGATTCATTTTTTTTGGGCAGAAAATTGTCAGATTGGATAAGAACATCGGATGGACCCCTGTGTCTTGGGCCTCCAACGGAATGGAGATGGCAGACATGACTAGGGCAGAAAATTTCTCACAGGAGATCAAGTCACGCAGAAGAAAGGCCAATTTGTGGCTTTTGGGACGAAATTTGCGAATCGCAAATAGTCTTCCCCAACATTGGATTGTTGCAAAACATGACCATGTCACCATGTCAAGGTATGTCATGTGTGATTCCACATGGGTTAAACGGTTATTGATTTTGAATCGTAGCCATGATTTGGCGAATCTCATTGTTGTTGGTTAGGTGAGTTAACATGTTAACTCAATTTTAACATTTGATTTCCTTTGCTACCTTTATTACCGCATTGTGACTTGTAGTTGATGGATGTTGATGGATGTTGATGGCTCAACTGGCTCAACCGGCTCAAGGCTCGGGTCACATGCAGGTACAACCAGACGCTGCAGCAGAACTGCGACGGAGTGCTTTGAACATGGGCCTGCCACCGCAGCTGCGGCTTGACAAAAAACATGTCGAAATCGGTGAAACTTGTGGCTGCGGTGAACACTCAGTGAACTTCAGTGAACACTGAACAGAAATAACTAGAAATATGTCCGAGATTTCCGCCATGACCTCATTAAATTTATTGGGCTGCTCAGTCGATGGTGGAAGACTGACATGTCAAGACAGTCGATGCGACAGTCGATGCGACTGTCGCATGGCCGAGGACTACGACCTACAATTCTCAGTGTATGGTTCCGGTTCAGAAGGCCGTGGATCCAAAGTGGTCCAGTGATTTGAAACGAACCTGGGACGGGATGGCGCAGGATATGGCAGGGCAGGATGGCCAAAGGGGTTCCCCTTTGTCTTTAAAGGTCACCAGCTTTCTCCAAATTCTGCATGGTGATGTACATTTTTAATCATTTTTAATCATTTTTGCAGGACAAGTCTAAGTCTGAAAGATTCAAAAGGGTGTTTTCGACATGCGATTTCGATAGCCTTGCAGCGCCGGGCGCCCTCACCTGTTGAAAACACCCAGTTCTGTGCATTTTCTGAAACATCTTGAAACATGTTGAAGGTTTTTTCAGCCTCAGGAGCGGACTGGCGCAATGCCCAACGCATCCAGTATGACAACCGTCTTTCGGCATCGACCACTGGCTCCATTTCTCCAGATCCTTGGAAAAATATTGGAACCAGACAGAACGAGACCATCCCAATTTGAGCACCAAACCATGGGATTCGGAAAATTCGGAAGGGAAATTTCGGCTTTTTTGCAGCGCCAAATAAAAGAAAGAATGGTCGAAACATGTCGAAAGTCAAACGAAAGGCAAGAGTTTCAGAACCAAGCTGACGAGCAATGCTTTCATTATCGATCAATCATTCATCAAAGAAGAGAGAGAGAGAGAGCTAATTCAAGCTTCAGGACATGTTTCGGATACTAAGGAGATGCACTTTTTGGAAAGACATCATTGAGAGCGACATATCAAACCGCGCTGGTTTGGGCAAGGTTTGTTGTCAGCTACTCCTAGCTTGAGCTGCAACAACTGCTCCAGTCTCTTGGAATCCCATGTTTGTTGCTTCAAAGAAGTGCTTTGACCATTGACTAGCTTGTAACATGTTGTAATATGTTGTAATGGACGTGTTCTTGCCGGGCAATTGCCCAAAAACCTGGTGGTCGCATGTAGAGACCGCAGATGGAGCAGCAGACACTGTCCATAGCTGCGAATGCAGCGATGGAGCACCTGCCAATTGGAGAGAGTTCCAAGCAGCTGCGCCTGAGGGGCTTCAATACCATCAGTGGGGATCGTTACGGGATCGTTTGTTGTGGGTTTACACTGTTTACACTGTTTAACACCATTGTTCATGGATCTTCAGGGAGATATCCCCATTTATTGCTTTTTATGAGCATAATTCCCCCTTCATTGTCACCTGAAGTCTGAAATTCTGATTGAAATCATAGCCAATCATGCCCATAAACCATTCATAAAACATTCATAAACCATGGCTTGAAAACCCGTTTCTGTCTATCCCAATCGATTGTTGACTTGCCGATGACTGGCCGCATGGCTCCCAGCGGGCGCAACCCCTCGCCCGAGAAGGTGGGAATCAAAACTTGCCCGTTGATCCCTGCCTTTGATCTACAATAATGATATATAATGAGTAATGATTGATTATTGTATATATTGTATATATTGTATATCAATGTCAAGTAGATCTCAAGTATGTTGCTTACTTACCTCAGAATTTAAGCGTTCTTGGACATCCCAATGATGTCGGTGAGCAGAACGTGTGAGGCCGACTCCATACCTTGAGGAAGGGCTCCGAATGGAGGCTGGTTGGGGCATGTTGCATGGGGCAAGGATTTGAACCTCATGGATGTTTTCAATAGTTTCACATTGCAAATAGCTGCAGCTGATTTGTTGCACCTTCCATGTCAGTTCGTAATGATTTTTTTACGGTTAGTTGATAGCCTACTTGCACAAGGAATTGCAAAGACTGGTGGCTTCGCTTTTCAAATGTACGCCTTCAAAGCTACACATTCTGCCAGAACGGCACTCATCAGATATTTTCGTCAGATGATACTGCAAATTCTGCAGAAAAAAAGATGGCCAGCAACCGCCCCCTCCTGGTGGGCGACTGGAGGTCCCGCTGTAGCCATGCCATGACCGAAGGTTGCCGCGACCGTGCGATGCTTTCGGACCTTGCGGTGGGCTTGCCGCATGGGCCACCACCGCAGGCGCCGATGTGGTGGATCCAAGATGTGGATGTGGAGCGTCCTGAAAATATGGGGGAAAAAACACCAAGAATTTGAGGATGTTTTGGAATGTCTTGGGTGTTTTTTTCTGGAAAGGTGAGATTTTGACTCTGCTTCAGCTTTGCCAAATCGGTTCAGAAAGTGATCTGTAGCCCGTTTGCGTTGCCAGGCAATCCTAGAAAAGAGACATTGGTGGACAGGTTTGCTTGCTTGGACCCCCAGACTGGTTTCGGGTTCTACAGTTGGTTGGCAAGTCCGATCTATGAAACTCTGTGGCCTAAAGTTCCCTTGGTCGCAAAGTACCCACTTCATCTTTAGTAACTTTAGTAACTTTAGTACTTGGTTTTTGAAGCAGTTGGAACCAGTTTGAAACGAAAAATTGCTGATGCAAACTGAGATTTCCCAAAGATTTGACACTCTGAGGTCCTTCTGATAGTGACAGCTCTCTTCGAGTTTTCAACTCTGGACGTTGTAGGAGGCATGCTCACAGGTCAGCCTGGGACAGTGGGACAGGTTGGGGCTCTATTTTCTGCCTGTGGTTGGAGTGAGTGTCTAGGCCCTAGGCCAAAATATGCCAAAATGAGGGATCAGACATGATTCACTGCAGGGGCTGCACTTTGGACTCCAATTCCTCTGACATTCAGATCCAACGAATCACCAACGAATTCGACGGATCTTGAATGATACAACACCAAAATGCAGTTTGATGTGCTATTTGCAGCCAGTTTCCTCATTTTTGGTTCCTGAATCTCCCCACTTTTTGTTGTTAAACACACAGACCATGGAATCCTGCGGCCATCTGCGGCCAGCTCTGATGCTCTTTTTGGCCTGCATGATGCTGGCGGACGGAATGGCAGAGCTGCCGAGGTGTGGTTTTCTCGGGCTTTGGTGATTTTAAGGTTGATGGCAATTGGTCGATTTTTGGCCATGGACATCCATGGACATCCAGGACATCCATGGCGATGGATATATGATGTATGATATCATTGATATCCCAGTAAAGACCAGTAATTATTTGGGATGAGGTAGCTATGGTTGCCATGAAGTTGCCATGCGGAGATGATCTCATGTTACAGTAAACGGTGAGCAAATTGGGGAATTTCTTGGGAACATTCCCGAGAAAATAGAACCAGTTGCATAGCGCAGTTGCCTTCGATCCCTGATCCATCTTGGATCCATCTCCAATTGGTCCAGCTTTGTTTCCAGCTGTCCGTGGCCGCGTCTGAGGTATGCCTTGGCTGGAGACCCAGTTGCAGTCTTGTCAGAGCCCAGCACACCCAGAGGTTAACATTCGGCAATAAAACCAGAAAGAGAGCATTTCAACTACCAGCACTTTCACCATCAGCTTTACTATCGCCATCACCATCATCAACAGTAACATGATGCATATATGCATACTTTGTGTTTCGCAGGCTTTCTCCATGCTGTCCATGCTGTGCCTATTCTTCGAGATGGTGCTTGGCCCTTGGTTTCGAAGTGTGATGAATGTGATGACTCAGTGATGACCTGAGTTGGAGGCTGCAGCGGCTGCAACATACTGTAGCGATGTGTAGCGACATGTAGCGACCACATCACACTCGCAGCTCAAACCTTCAAGGAGAGTGTGATGTGTAGCCATAGGGTACCAAGTCTGCAACGTGCCATGGCACCTGACTGTTGATGTTTTTAGGTCGCTGGGTGCTGCTCTGGCAGCTTTTCCCTGGTTTCAGTTGGGAACGACCTGATGTGACACCCTCGAAACTTTCGGATCAATGGCTCTTCGTCAGCAGCAATTTGTCCGCGAGGTCTCTGCCCAAATTGGTCCAGATTCGACTGGCTGAAGCGGCTGCTGCGAGCTATGCGCTGGCCAATGGATCAGCAGAGGTGGATGAGAACTTTTGCCTGGATGCAAGAACTCTGGTTGCGAATCGCATGGACGCCAGTCCGGAATCTGTTGATTTTGCCACGGAATGTTGCGATCTCTTGAGCTTTGACACACTTGGAAGTGATGTTTGTTTTCCATCATGGCCCTCTTGGTCCGTCCGAGTATGCTGTGCATATTTTGCGGCGCGCGGGAAAGCGGCCCAATTCAGTGCATTGTGGAAGGATGTGACTGAACTCTTCTTTGATGAAACACCAAGAGAACGAAAAGAGATTTCAGATTTATCCAGAGGCATCGTGGCCTATCACAAATCTGGGATCACCATATCTTCCAAGTTGGTGGGGCACGCAGATCCAGGCCCATTAAGCCGTTTGTTATTGGACAGTGCTGGTGACTTGCGCGTGCCCCAAAATATCAAGCTGGTGGATTATGGCGTGCACGAGAGTCCTAGGGGAGGCCGACCTGTGATCACACCATATTTCCAGGCCTTTATTCGGAGCTTTGCTGATACCACTGGGCCTGGAATGTTCCTACATTTCTCCAATCCCTTGAAATCATGGAGGCCTCAGTTGCAGGATTTATTGGCAGAAGATGGTGGGGGTTTGGTGTTGCACCTGGTGAGAAGGCCTTCGGACATGATTGTCTCTGGCTATCGCTATCATGGTCAGCAGAGACGAGAGGGAGAAGAATGGCTACACTTTAGCAGTCCCCCAGAATCTCGTTCGATATTTTGTGGATTTTCTTCAATTGCTTTGCCAGATTTTCTGAAGCTGTTTGGGTTTGAGATGGTTTGAGGAATGCGGGTCAGTGCACCACAAATCATAGCCATAGTAATCAAACTAGACCGGACTCAAATTTGGATTCATTAAACATCATCAACCGTAAAGCTTAGCAGGTCAATGAGTCCGACTGAGTTCTGGTCAACGCTGCCTTTTGGGTGCCGTTTGGCTGCCTTAGGACTGCCTGAGTTGCGACCACCAAGCCTGGGCCCAGATCTTTGGCCGTTGCGCCTATCGCTGCAGCTACTATCAGTTGCTGCAGAACTTGAGCACCGCCGAGGGGCTGCAGATTGAATACCTCCGGAGCCGCTGGGATATCAGCAAGATGTTGCAAAATGCCATGAAATGGAAGGCTGCTGGTGGCTGGGAATGGCGGAATGGCTGGGAATTTTGTATAAACCGAAAGAGATGAAAGATTGATGGTTGATGATGGTTGATGATGGTTGAATCGCGTTGAACCAGAACAACATTGAGTATTGGGATGTATTGGGATCAGATGTTACAAATTCACTGAGGAGGGCTTGCAGCATGTTTTCATATGTTTTCCAGTATGACAGTTGCCACTTTCCAGCTTGGTCGCCGGAAGGATTTGGAGAATGTCTTGCAGCTGCCAATGGAGAGCTTCCAACTGGACTTCAATGGCACGCTGCGGTGCATTGCGCGGTTCTTTCTGCAGGCACCTGGAATGGAAGGATCTGATGGATCGGTTTTCGCGCAGAAAGTGAAGCGATTTGTGGAAGAATCGCAGGTCGACTCACCCAAATTGATGACGTCTTGCCGAGAAGCTTTGGAAAGAGGAGAGACTTGCCGCTTTCCCAATGGAACCGCAATGCCACAGAAATTGATTAGTCAGGTGCATTCTCATGTATCCTCAAGGGTGGGAAAGCACTCGTTGAAAGCAGCTTTAAAGCAGACCAAAGGCTGGAAGCAGTTCATTCCTTTTGCAGACCTTACGTATGACGCTGCGATTGACACTGCCAACATGCGGCTGTTTGGGTGTCCCAAAGTTTGATCATCTGCCAGCTGCGGAACCCCGCCATGGCCATGGCCATGACCAGATCCGGGTCCCGAAGACCCCAAGACCTCGGATGGTGCCGTTGCCCGTGTGGCTTGGAGAACTTGGAGAACTTGGAGAACTTGGAGAACTTGGAGAACTCACTTCCTGATCCGAAAAGGATGGCCAGGATGGCCAGGATGGCCAGGATGGCCACTTTGCCATGCTGTGTTCGAAAAATGTGGCACCAGAAACTGTTCCTAAACTCTCATGCTTTCCCATGAAAGTCATACGCCCAGTAGAAAAGATGGATTCAGATGGCTTTTAAGTGCTGTTTCCGCTGACCGAGGCCACTTCTGTCTAGCATTGGTGGCCGGTCAGAGGCAGATCTTAAGCAGTGGCGGTGAGATTGACATTCAAAGCAGCCTTTGAACTTTGAAGATCTTTGAAGCATGAAGGTGACGACATACTGTAACATACTGGAATACCAATGTCATACCTTCACTAGCACATACTAGCACCATACCTTGCCATACATGTCTGCTGTGAGCGTTGGGTGTTGAGGTTTCAGTGGAACCGGTGGATCGAACGACTTCGAAGAATGAGCTTCGGATCACGTGACCCATGTGACATGGCCCGGCCACAGATATCCACAGATACCCGGCTGATTGGGGTTGCCCCACGTGCCTCAGGTATACGACCATCATCAAGACTACGCCTTTCTTCGACCGCACCAAAAATTACATTTACAACGGAGCCGGATCCTTAGATATCCCTGGACTTTGGTGCTGAAAAAATGGTGGCACAACTCCTAACTCCAGTGGTTTAACATGGTTTAACATGGTTTAACTATGTTTAAATTGGCAGAGAATGGGACCCAAAAACCCCTCTGATTCCCTTGAAATCTCACCCTATGTTGAATCTGGTGAATCCATATGTTGGGCATGTTGCGTGATCCTGTCGCTTGGTTCCAGGGTAGCGTGGCCATGATTCTGTCGCCGGTGACGATGTTACTTGGGGCGTCAGCGGCTCGGAGGGTATGGCTCTGTGATCTCTATGGTGCTGATCTGAGTTGGTGGTTTCCTCAAAATGGATGGTCAAATGGAAAATCTTGTGAACATCTTATGAACATCTTATGATATTAGGAATTTAGGGGTACCGCCATTTTCGGAAACCTCCACATGGGGGGACGGTCCAAAATGAACATCTGGCTTCGTCCCCAAAACATTGGGAATACCACAACATGGCCATGGAATCATAGGGAAAATGATGATCACCGGCATTTTATGACTACATTTCCGGACGCCAAAAATGGAACGGTGCGAACGAGGCCCCTACACTGGGATGATTTGAATGACTGACCACCATAAGTGGGGTTAAACGGTTAAACATTGACCAGAACCTGACTTTATGGTAGGAGAACTTTAAGGGATTTGTAAGGAATTTTATGGTAGGAGAAAAAGTCCAAGAGGCATAGACGTGTAATGATGCGTGATGCACTCAGGTGGGCAGCTTGGATTCTGAACCAATCCGCCAAAATCGGAAGATTAATCCTACAGAAAGACGACCCATCCAGTGGGGGTAATACAAACCATGGTCTCCGGTCGCAGTTTTTCTGGTTTTTCTAGTTTTTCCAATCCATTCCATGGTTTCCAGCGGATTTTCCGTAAATTTTCTGCCAATCTGCCCTTTGATCGGCCCTGCGTCCCAGGTATCTTGCAGGACAAGCGCATGTCGAGCTGCAGAGCAACGAAACCCGGGATCCATCCCCAAATTTGTAACCGCCTCAGTGTGCTCGGTCTGCTCGGTGTATACAGATATCATTTCAGTTGTACATGCAACATATGCAACATATATTTGTATATATTTGTTTATAATATTTTATTATGTTTATACAATTATTATACAATTATTTGTATCCGTGCTGGTTGTTTGTGTTTGGTCATTTTGTCTAAGAAGTTGAGGTTGAGTAGTATTTTGAAATATCACCTCACTGATTTTGGTTGCACACATTTTCTAAGGTCACACTTCTTTTGTTGGTTCTGATATGTAACATGCACTTCATTTGTCGCTGAGATGTTTCGCCGAGGACTTTTGAGGCCTCGAGGAATGCAAACAATCGCACGGTTGCGAGGATCAGGCCCCTATTTTTGGAGCATATCCCCCACGGCACATTCAGCACATTTGGTCATGCGGTTTTGTTCATCCGTCGCTGGTTGATATTTTCTGCAGGTTTCAACAGCCGAGTCAGACACTCAAAGAGTGGTGTGATGGGGGGCAATAACCAATGCCAAGAATAGCCACACTTGTCATCCCATCAGTAGGGATGTGAAACCTGGGGTACAAAACCAGTGGTCCGAAAAAAGTCCTGACCGTCCTGACCGTCCTAACCAACGTTTTGTGCAAAACCGGCAGATCATTTTCATGGTAAACATGGTGTGAAACATTGGGTGCCAGACATTCCACCAAGGTTCGGCAACTGAAACTTCTTCGAACCAGAGGTGCGATACAGAGAAGCGGTTGGTGGCTGTTGGCAGCAGCTGATTTCAAGGATTTCCCGAAGCTAAAAAGTGCCCCCGCCTGTACCTCGTTACCTCGCCTTCCCTGGAATCGTTTTGCATGGACTCATTATTTTTAATATCCATGTTGTTTTCTCGTTGATCATTCGGTTGAGTATAACTTGACACGGTCCAGTGAAGCCTCTGATTGCAAGTTTTCATACTTAGTTACTAAGTTAATTCGAGGTATTCCAAGTCAGGATTTCGGAATATCGTGGAATATCGTGGAATTTCAGTTCGAAGTTTTGGAATCACTTCCTTTGGTTCATCAAGCGCTTAAGTTCACTGAATCACAGGTTTTCTGGACCCAGTCATCGCCTGGAGCCGGACTGAGAGTGACGGAAAAACACCACGTTTCACCGACATGGTCAAGTGGCCAAGGCATAAAATGGAGAGTCCAGTAGTCACATCATATATCATCATGTATTATCATGTCAAATATATCACATGCTTGCGGATCAAAATTCAAAGCCTAACTGGGCTGGTTTGCACGGTATCAAATCAGCGGATTTTGTGAGACTCGAATTGGGACGTCAATCGAAACGGTCGATCGCCAAAGCGGATCAGTGTTAGGAATTCGCCCGTAGATCTTTGTTGAACTTGTTGAACTTGTTGAACACTGTGAAAGCACACTGTTGAAACACTATCAAAAAAACCGCGACGCCTTAGGATTGATGACTTCGCCTGTTGGCGCAACAGCGGTGCCCCTCCAAAACACGGCGGATAACACGGAACTGGCCTTGGAGGATGCCCAAAATCCAAATCTGTAAGCGATCCATGCAATCCTCCGACCCGGGAAACACTTTTCCGTCGTCAAAATCCGTAAGGCTTCCCATTTGTTGCCCAGGCCAAAGAGATGCTATAGGATCACACATGACCACGCGACGATGATCTATTCACAACACTTTACCGTTGAATCCGTTACGTCGTGCTATGGCGTGGTAGACCGTATCCGAAAACGTCGGACACATCGAAATTGCGCTGTAACCAAAGCTGTCGATATACCCGATATACCAGTGTAGGCGGTGCGGAGTTACTGTTCAAGTTGAGCGAACTTCAAGAATCCGGAAAGTTTTCTTTTTCGTAGTAAAAAAAGGTTGCAATTTTGCTGAGACATTTTATATGATTTTATATGATATGACAACATGCTACGATCAGATTCGCCCCGCCAGGTTAACCCGCAACAAGCGCGATTGCTCGAGTATCGATCTTTGATTCATCCTGCTACATTGCAACAACAAGAGCCGCGGCGATCCATGCTCGTGCTAGGAACTGTCGAGTCATGCTGCCATCAGTTTTTCCCCAACAGCGTAAGCCAATGGGGTCTTCAGCCCAGAATAGCTCAGGTTCAACGAGGTTCCAGAGAAAGTTCCGAAGGTTCCGGAGAAGGTTCCAGGAAACCTTGGTGCAAAGCCAAGTCAGGTTCAACAGGGTTCCGGAGAAAGTCTGGGAGGCTTTGGTGCAGAGCCAAGTCAGGTTCAACAGGGTTCCGGAGAAGGTTCCGGAGAAGGTCTGGGAGGCTTTGGTGCAAAGCCTGGTGCGAGCCAGGCCATCGAAACATAAAAAAGGGGGAGGGGATGGATGAATAGAGACCAAAATTGTTCTTAAAAAAAATGCAGTGGAGAGATAAGAAGAAGTAGAACTTGATGCCCTAGTCGTGATTCATACGGACATGCTATTACCGGAAATGCTTACGGGAACGCGATTATTCAACTGGAAACTTCATTCTTGAAGGCGTTACGCAAAGGAAGTTTGTTTTCGGCCGGGTTTCCTTAATTTTTGAGGCAGCGATGGCCATGGAAAAATAGAGCTGGAGCATGCTGGCGCAAGGGATGGATGAATCGAGATAAGAATTCTTAAAGAAAGGAAAACGTATGCGTTTCTGAGATGGAAAGTTAGATGGGAGGTAGACCGGGGATAATAGACGGAGGAGGTACATCGAGATCCGTATGGATTTTTTTGTTTGCCAAAATTACCCAAAAAATCGGTGCTGCGATGACATAAGCCAGAAACAAATGGAGCAAGCGATGGATGAATAGAAACATAGATTTGTAAAGCAAGGAAGATACGATTAAAACAAGTAGAAGTTGATGCCCCAATCATGATGCTAGCGGGAACATTGCAATTGGAGAATCCAAATTTCGAAATTTAATGCTCGCAGTCGTGGTGCTTACAAACTTGCTACAACTGCGGAAATTAAAAATTTAAAAGTGTTGCGCGCAGGACAATTGCTGTCCAACGGGTTTCGGAAATTTTTGGTGCAGGGGGTGGATGAATGGAAACAAAACATAGGAACAAACAAATAACAACAACAACAACAACAGGAATTTGGCCCTTTATTTATTGTTTCTCAAATAAGAGTTTCCCTTTTGGGGATTCGGGTCCCCGCAATTTCACAGCAGCATTTCAAGAACGACAGCAAGGAGAACAAGGGCGACAAAAACATTAAAAACAATTACTTTACTTCGTGTGACCCCCACCATGATATTTATACATTTTCTTACTGGCAAATCTTCTGGCATTCTATCTGACATATCTTCTGGCATTCTATCTGGCATATCTTCTGGCATATGTTCTGGCAAATCTTCTGGCATATCTTTTGGCATTCTATCTGGCATTCTATCTGGCAAATCTTCTGGCATTCTATCTGGCATATCTTCTGGCATTCTATCTGACATATCTTCTGGCATTCTATCTGGCATATCTTCTGGCATTCTATCTGACATATCTTCTGGCATCCTATCTGACATTCCATCTGGCATATCTTCTGGCATTCTATCTGGCCGTTGAGGTCCGGCAGTGCCCACTGGGATCTGGAACTCGTGGTTGAGGTCCGGCAGTGCCCACTGGGATCTGGAGCTCGCGGTTGAGGTCCGGCAGTGCCCACTGCAACCTGGAAGTCCCGGTTGAGGTCCGGCAGTGCCCACTGCGATCTGCAACTCGCGGTTGAGGTCCGGCAGTGCCCACTGGGATCTGGAGCTCGCGGTGGAGGTCCGGCTGTGCCCACTGGGATCTGGAGCTCGCGGTGGAGGTCCGGCTGTGCCCACTGGGATCTGGACTGCGAGGAGGAGGCGGCGGGTGAGGAGGCGGAGGAGGCAATGGAGGCGGAGGAGGAGGAGGAGGAGGAGGAAACCAGCTCTGATAAAATCTAACAACCCTCACCTGGCAGGTGGGGAACAGTAACACAAAGTAAACTTTACGACGGACGACGTCGCATCAAGAGCGTTACCATTGATACCCACCCCATCCCAAACCAAGATTTTCACGTAACATCCACGACGTCAAACGTCATATATCGTCCTATCGAGACGTTTAGCAATGATCCAACGTAGGACGTCCTAGCAAGAACAGTAATACTGAGCCCCGCCGGACTCAAACCAAGACCTTCCACGTAAACTTCACGACGTAGGATGTCAAGAGCGTCCATTCTGATCCCTACCCCAACCCAGGCCAAGACCCTCAACGTAAATTCCACAACGTCAGACGTCCCATGCAGAACGTGATACTCCAACCCAAGCGAAGACCTTCAACACACATTCCACGACATAGGGCTACGTATCAATCAAAAACGTTAATATACGTAAATTATTCTCGACCCTCACTCCAATCCAAACCAAGGCTTTTAACATGAACTCCACGACGTAGGATGTTCCCTCAAAAACGTTACGGTTGATCCCCACCCCAGCCAAAACCAAAACGTAAACTCCATGAACCATGTTGCGAACTAACTGCAGATAGAACATCAGCACATGTCCATACAATCTTGCAATATATGTGAGGAAAACATGTTTCAACAAATGTCGATTGGAAGAGGTACCGAACGCAGTAATCATCTCAGTGGGTACTGATTGCACGCATGAAAGAGCAAGCGCATCAAATGGCGCAACTTCATAACAATGTGCCTTCGTTTCTCATTGACGCCAAGTTTGCGCGGCACAGAGTGCTTGAACTCCAGCTCCGAGGTTTGGAACCCATGCAAGAATACGAGGTCAATCTGACCCAAGTGATTCGAGGCACTTTTGCAAATCTACTTGGAAACAGGCCGTTTCCCGTCATGAAAGCCGTCAATCAAGTGATCCGATTTTTTCTCCCCTTGAATGCTTGTATTTTCTCCGTTGGTTGCATTGGCATACCCGCAGCCAGCGTGCGACCAACTCAGCACACCGTGTCCTGAATCGACAAAAAGCGCTCGCTGCTTTGGGAGCGTGAATTTGGCGTGTTGAATGTTAGCACATACAATCATACATGTCATTCATGTGGAACATAGCATTGAATTTTGCACTCTCAAAATCGAAGCAGTCCTGATTTCTCCGTGGCAAACAAGAATGTGCAGCCAAGTGGCACGCAGGAATAAAACATGTGTGTGTGTGTGGGCGCGCGTTGGGAAAAAATAGTTGTCAGATAGTATGAGTTGGAATATATGTGCGAAATCAGATGTCAGGATACATGTGGTGGGGACGACAGCAAAGACATAGGTCAAAAGTTTAACATCTGGAGATTGGCCAGTATAAAAACAATCCATCCAAGACCGCGCGCGGAAAAAGGTGCGGAGGAAAAATTACTTTACTTCGTGTGATCCCCACCATGACATTTTTAGATTTTCTTACTGGCAAATCTTCTGGCATTCTATCTGACATATCTTCTGGCATTCTATCTGGCATATCTTCTGGCATTTTCTTGTGGCATTCTATCTGGCAAATCTTCTGGCATTCTATCTGGCATATCTTCTGGCATTCTATCTGAAATATCTTCTGGCATTCTATCTGGCAAATCTGATGCATTCTATCTGGCATATCTTCTGGCATATATTCTGACATATCTTCTGGCATTCTATCCGGCATTCTATCTGGCATATCTTCTGGCATATATTTTGACATATCTGCTGGCATTCTATCTGGCATATCTTCTGGCATATGTTCTATCATATATTCTGACATATCTCTGGCATTCTATCTGGCATTCTATCTGGCAAATCTTCTGGCATTCTATCTGGCATATCTTTTTGGCATTCTATCTGACATATCTTCTGGCATATCTTCTGGCATTCTATCTGGCAAATCTGATGCATTCTATCTGGCATATCTTCTGGCATTCTATCTGGCATATCTTCTGGCATATATTCTGACATATCTTCTGGCATTCTATCTGGCATTCTATCTGGCATATCTTCTGACATGCTTTCTAACTTTCTTCTGCACATTCTTTGTCCCATATCTTCCTACATGGGGTCCGGCAGGGAACACTTGGCGTGGATACTCGCGGTTGAGGTCCGGCAGGGAACACTGGGCGTGGATGGCCGTGGTTGAGGTCCGGCAGGGAACACTGGGCGTGGATGGTCGTGGTTGAGTTCCGGCAGCGAACACTGTGGATCGCGAGTCGCAGTTGAGCAGGAGGACGAGGAGGACAACGAGGACGACGAGGACAACGAGAGGACGACAAGGATGACAAGGATGACAAGGAGGACGAGGAGGACGAGGAGGAGAGGAGGAGGAGGAGAGGGGGACGAGAGGAGGACGAGGCAGGAGGAGGAGGCAACTGACATAAAATCTAACAACCCTCACCTGGCAGGTGGGGAAAAACATTGTCAATCCGCGTTGCAAACCTGAGAATTCTAGAGCGGAGGGCCGCCGAAACCTACCGATGGCGGACGCTTGCTTCAGCCACGTCATCCCAGTGCGCAGGTTTTTTTATCCCACATCGTGGGGTCCGTATCATGTCTTGGTATGCGCGCGATTCGGTGTTCATAGGGTAAATTGACTGACGGCTGAATGTGAGTGGAAACTGGCGACCACAGAGTGGCCCCAAATGGGAAGGAACAACGCGGAGCAAGGAACAGCACGACTATCACAACTGTTTGTTTTGATAAACGAAATCTTTGACTAGTTACAACATCCCTGTTCCTTTATTACATGTCTTCAATAATTAATATATGAAACACACATTGGCATCCCAAGGTTCCAAAGAACGACTATTCATTAAGGTAATCAATACAACATTGTTGGCGCCAGTCCGCTATAAAAGTGACAACGCACTACCGCGAGTGGATCTTCACAGCGTCAGTTGTCTCAGTGGACGTTCCGGTGCCGGGGACGTGTGGTCATTGTCCTACCGAGGAAAGATGCTAGCCTGGATTGCCTACTAGATGGTGCTGCTAAAAAGCGATTCCATTCTTGCACTTTCTGTTCTGAGTCATTCACATTTTCCTACTATTTTCTGCGTTGGAGTGTTGTTTGCGTTTTTTCATTGAACGTCTTAGTTTCCCCCTCCTTTTTTGCGCAATGGCCGAAATATAAAACTGCAAACAAATGCGAAACAGTGCGGCGCTCTCTTTTGACCACAAGATTTGGGCCTGAAATCCAGCGGTAGTTCCACTGCTGTTCATGGGTTTTCCATGTAGTGAAAACATTCTGACATAGTGATTTGTGCGTGTCATCCTTGCACTGAGCATGGTTGAAAGGATTTTGCACTCCTCCTTAGTCTCGTGAGCCTTGTTGCTCATGGGACTATTCTGACACGCTAGGCTGAAAAATCTCTTTTGAGATCAGCCATGCACGGGCTTCAGGGTTTCCCGGCACCCCTCGGGATTTGGCGTTGCCCGGCACGCCATCACCAAAATAAGACTGCAAATCAAATCTTTCTTTGCTTGGCAATCTCAATTGGTTCCAGTGCTCCTTCATTTCAATAGCTGCTGCATGTCGTCCACGTAAAACTTGTAGACCTGAGACAGCCATTCTTCTCCTCTGTTTCGTGCTTTCCGGAACACTCTCTGAAAGCAATTTCGAACCTGGAACAGTAGGTCTGCTGTGAGTCCTGCTCCAGTTTCTTTTGCCTCCAGTACGCTGTCGATTGCCCTTTGAAGTTCTCGGGCATCTTCATACAATTCGTTTGCAAGGCTTTCATTCTGCTGTGCTCTGAGGTTGTTCAAGAGGTTTTCCAACTGACTCATGGCTTCCTCTCCATCCACTGTGCCTGCACTGCCTGATGCAAGCTGGTTACCTTCATCTCATGCTTCAAGCTGTTCGGACTTTGACTCTGAGCATGAAGAACGTGTTGGAGTGGCCGATCTTTTCCTCGGAGGGTCCGTATTCTCTGGAGTCTTCTTGTTTTGATCAAAGATGGCCATGTTGGCCTTTTCAAGCACCTGCAAAGATTCTCGCTGCTGCGTTGTGAGCTTCTGGTGCCTGACGAACCCACCAATCTCGACCAGTCCAAACCGAATGGAGTCTCCGTAGTCCTCCAAAACTTCAAATTCTCCATCATATCTCTCCACATGCCTCTCGAACTTCCCACGTAGGTTTGTGAGCTGATCCTGTAGCGTACTGAGCTGGTCTCTGTGCCTTCCCAGCATGCTGTCGTCCTCAGCCAGCTGCACCTCGTTCCAGTACAAACGCTTGTCCAACTTCTTCCAAAACCAAAACGCTATGAAGCACACTGCCATCCATGCACATGCTAACACCATGAGGCTGGTCCAGATCCAAAAGCTGCTGTCCTTTTGGTTGGTCTCATTGCAAGTCTCCTCCTGGGCCGCAACTTGCATAGGCTCAAGGCCCATCATGGCAGTGAGTTTCAGAACGGTCTTTGCGATCTTGGATAGGCTTTTGCTGTTTGAGCCATAAGTGCGCAACTCATCGCGCTCCATTTCCCCCACGGTTTCTCCAGACTCCACATGCATCATGCCGATTTCACCCATCATCGCCACCAGTCTCTTCTTCGACAAAGGATTGGTGCCCACATCACTGATGTTAAAACTTGTAGAGATCTGTGAAAGTAACACATCTCCTTCTCTCACCTTCGATTGAACCCACAAGATCTTTCCAGCTAAGTGGCGCACCTTCCCAGCTCCTTGGCGTGAAACCAGCTGCCGAGCTGAAGAACTATCAGTGAAATGAACCTGCAGCAATCTTGTCCCCAGCATGAACTCTAAACACCTGCGGATGAATAGGCAGTCACACATTGCTGAAACGATTGAATGCAGTTCGCTTTCACACGACGACAAAGAAATGACTTTCTGTGTTCGTGAGCTGGAATACAAATAGTTTCCGTTCAGAAAATGAACACCGCAGGAAGTCGACCTGCGATGACTGCGATTTGCAGCCCAATCAGCGTCTGAAAACGTTTCAAGTACCCACTGGGCTTCTTCACTGACCTTCCATTTTCCATGCCCAGGGGTTGGATTGCAAAGTTTGACTCCCAAGTTTCCAGTCCCTTTCAAATACCCAATCAGCTTGCGCAAGTGCTGAAGCGCCATCAAAGTAGGCTTGGACATTTTCCCAGCCAGCTCCTTTATGCAGAAGATGGTGTCCGGTTTGTCTCTTCCAAGGTAAAGAGCTGAGCCAACAATTGACCTGAAATGGGTAGAGTCCTCCACATTCAATGCATATGAGGTGTCCTCCAACTGAATTGAGTTGTCGCATGGGACGCTGGAAATCTTTGCACGTCCAAACTTTTCTTCAAACGATTCAACCAACTTCTCAACATCAGTGCCAGGTGTTACAAGGATACCATCATCCAACTGTACCAGTCTTTTCTTCAAAAACGTGATGGAGCTTCCAGGTTCATCCAACTCCGCATGGGAAACTGAGAATTTCTCCTTGCACTTCTTCAAGAAGACATTGTGGAAATGCTCTTGGGTCCCGGCGTAGAGTAAATCATCTACATGCATCAAAACTGTTGCTTCATCACATTTCGCTAAGCATGGCTGCTCGGCACAAAACGTAAACTGCAGATTTTCCTCCAGAAACGTACGAAAATACCAATACCATGCTTTGGATCCCTGTCTCTGTCCTGGCAAGTTCTTGAGGATTATGAAGGGAGTGTTGTTGAGAAACACCTGAATGGGGTCAGTCTGTGGCACCTGCAAGAAGGCGTCCTTGATGTCCAGTGATGCCAGCAAGGGTTTATAGAGATCGCTGCTCCCCTTTCCTTCTGCTTGCCTTTGGAGATGCAGCAAAGGAAGTAGGTTCGAGGTATGGGCTCCTGTGGCAGGAGAAAATGTGTCGTCCCGTTTCTCCACCGCATATTCTCGAGCCACTAGTCGGCTCCTTCTCATCCATCTCTCGCGACTCTGGCCTTCACTGACATACAGTTTCTTCCTCCAATCTCTCACGAACTTGGTTGTGAGGCGGCCCTCAACTCGTCCTTGGTGACCTTCTGGTTTCACCAGGACTTTCATTTCAAGCAGGCGATCGATTTCGATCTCGTCGGCCACTAAGTCAACAGCGGGATCAGGAGGTGGAGGTTGTTCTTTCAAGGTCCAGTCACTCCAAACGGACTCCGGGGTTCCTGCAAAGTAGAGCTCATCTTCTCCAAGCCATACCTCTTCTAGATTCCCAGAGCTGTCATCACTTTTCCATTCTGCTTCGTACTCATCCATAGTGTAGTACTCCTCCATTCCAAATTGAACTGTCCTGACTGCTTTCTCACACTCCACAACATGAGCCTCGATCTTGTTGATCCTGGGCTTCTTGTGCTCCTCAACTCTCGCTCTTTTTGCTTCTGCTGTCTCTCCTTCGTCAGCATGTTCTCTGGTTGTAGAAGAGTGTCTTGGGCTTGCAGGGGCGTTGACTCCTGTATGGACATCTGGAGTCATAGGCACTTCCATTCCAACACTTTGCAAAGGGTCTCCACCAACACTGCTGGAACCTGCATCCTCGGTGGCAGTCTTTGCTGGGACTGCAGTGCTCGGTGGAGGCATCACCACAAGTTGTGGGGCATATGCTACTCTGGGTTTCTCTGTCTCTTCGAAGATGCGTCCATCTCCAAATTGAACTTCTCTTTGAATTTCAGCAGGCTTGTCATGCCCTGCCATTCTCTCCTGTTCTCCTTCTTCATTTTTCTCCTCCTGTGCCTTTGCTTTCACGGCCTCTGCATCTTCGTCCGCCAAAGAACTGGGTTGAAAAGGACCAATTGGGGCTGTAAAGCTCACTGATCTCGGGTTGACCTTCCTCTTGGTCGGTTGAACTCTTCCCCCAAAACCAACTTTGTACTGCCATGAAAAGAGATCAAACTGCTTGTAGAACGCCATGTATGAAGTCCAGTTTGTTTTGATCCTCCTAACCGACCTTGTAAGGATCAGTCCACTGCCTGTGTACAAAAGAAAGCTATCTTGGCCCTCGACCTTTCCAACAAACAACATGCGTTGCCACTTTGGATTGCCCTTGTAAGGCGTTTTGGCATGCCCCAGCACGGGTTCTCCAAATTCACAAACCTGACCATGGTAAACTTTTCCATACACCACTTCGAAAGCTGTAAGCCCTTGATGTGGATTGAACCTGTTCAGAATCCACGCAGCATGACGCATGCACCAAGTCCAAAGCGCATGGTTGGAGTTGATTGTAACTCCAAGCTTCAGTTGCAATGAGTGCATCAAGCTCCCAGCCAAGCCTCTGATGCGCTGGATTGCATTTTCTGCCAACGCATTGCCATGCTGGTATGCCGAAGGGGTACATGCCTTTGTTTGCAAACCCATTTGTTGTCGGGCTTGCACAACCAAACGCTGCAGCTGAAGCACTGAAGGTTCATTGTCGCACCTCAGCATCACTTCATTGTAGCCCAAGGTTTGGCAAAAGGCTATCAGCTCCTTTGTCGCTAGGTCGAACTGTGCCTTGCTGTTCATTGGCACACATCCCAAGAAACCTGTTTTGCTATCCACCATCACAAGCGCAATGACAGAATCAGGGTCAGTGCTGCTCTCTCCAGCCTTCGTGAAGAAATAGTCAAAGGAAATTGTTGGTACACTGCCCTCTTTGGAAGAGAAATCTCGGGGATGTCGATCTGACCTTGCCCTATGTGCCACACAGCTCTCACACCATGGTTCATATGGAGTGTGTGTAAGCCGGTGACGCTCTTGAAGAATCTCGGTTGGAGGTTCTGGCAAAGCTGGTGCCTTCGGTGTCCTGGTCTCTGCATTCAGGGCATCCTGGGCAGCATGGGTGATGGTCTGAAGCTCCAGGTTCTTCTGGTGTTGCAAGAGCCTCCCAAAACACTTCAGTTTGCTTCCTGACGTTGAGATTCCATATGTTGTGCAGCCTGCTCTCAACGCTGCCAAACTACTGTTTGCAGTCAAACTGATTCCATTGACAATCACCTCATCGTTGGTTGCTGGGAGCACCACAATTTGGGCTTCTCCTACTGGTTGTCCTGCTCTGGGCTCCTCACGTTCGGAGATGTCGACACCTTGGATTTCGTCCTCAGGAGCAAGAAGAACCTCATCGCCTGGGTCATCATGAGCTTCAAATTGTGCTCCTTGTGGACCCTCTCCCTCAAACTGAAATCCCATCATGACTGGGGGCTTTTCTCCTTCAGTGATGATTGTAATCACACTCCTGTTACCAACCATATCATGAAACTTTGCATCCAATTGCACGATTTCTTTCAAGGACTCGGACAACTCGAGTATGTACCACAAGCCATCATCACCTCTCACCAGTGTTGTTCGAAGCTGTGGGCCCTCCAGTGCAGGGAATGCCAGTGAAGGATCCTGGTAGGAATCACTGAGATGTCTGCCAACGATGTAACCCATCTCATTCACACTCCAGCCTATGGGGCTGTTGATCAACTCACTTTGCACCTCAGCCTTCACTGCTCGAATTGCCTGAAAGGTGTCCTGGTCTGACATGTTCTGCAGCAACCGAACGTGACCCAAAACAGTCATGCTTTTGTTCTGTAACTGCAAAGGAATGTTGATTCGGCCGCTAGAGTGAACTAAGGCCTGCTCCACACCATCGATTCCAACGCCCTGCTCCAAGAGGTGTCCAAAACACAGGATGGGCTGTGTCACCCTCGAAGAGATTGCAACTCGCTCTCTCAGAATCACACTCTTTCCACTTGAAGTTGGGAGTCGAATTTCAACCAAACGCATGCTTTCTATGGGGATCTGTTTTCCTTGTGCATCACAAAGTTTTGTCCCTCGTGAGTCCAGTGGCTTCCCAGCGCCAATGAGGCTAAGTGGGAAAACTGAGGCATCTGCACCTGAGTCCAAAAGAATCACCTGCGCTGCTGAATCATCAGGCAACTCTTCAATGATTGCCCTAACACCTCGAGGAAATTCAGTCACTTCCAGCTCGTCCTCATCATCACCTATATGAAAGTGAATTGCACGCACGTGTCCAACATCAAATGCTCCTGCAGTGAGATCGAAAACCAAGTCAGTTGAGTCATCCTGCATGATTCGTGCAACCCTGTACTGAGTTGAAGACCCTTGTGCTTGGCCTTGACCATGCTGTGAAACACTCGTCACTTGGGTGTAGCTACCTCCTGCAGACGATGAAGGAGATCCCTGAGCCATTGACTGCTGTGCTGCTGTACCTTCTGAAGGTTGTTGGCCCGAAGAACTCCCAACAGCTCTGACCTGTTGGTTTTGCCAGCAATCACGAGCAAAATGCCCGAAGCGTCCGCACAGGTGACATTGCTTATCACCTCGTCCTTTCCCTTTTGATCGGTCTTCTGACTTGCCTTTTCCCTTCTCCTGGCCTTTCTTCGATTTTCCTTTTCCATCTTTTCCTTTCGACTTGCCTTTGTAGTCGCCTTTCTGGCCACCTTTGTCATTCTTTCCTTTCGACTTGCCTCCATGGCCCTTCTGTGAGCTGGACCATTTTCCTTTCCCTTTCACACGGTCGATCTCCATGGGCACCACCTGGTCATCACCTGTGATTAAGCCCGACCATCGCTGCTGTGCCCTGTCCCATTTGAGACACTGTTCCCTCAAGCTTGCATATGTCATGTTCTCCTGCGCGCCCAAGTTCAAATGAGTGCGAAGTTGGCCACTGACACATCGCATGAGTATTGCAGATTTGACAGCATCCTGGATGTCGGTTCCACTCTTTCGAGACTCTTCGAAAACTTCTTCCAGTTTCAAAACCTGGGGTTGAAGTGGAAGTCCCATGTTGAAAGCCGGCCATGA